AGTACTCGGGCAACACTGCTGTGAAGGATTCTCACGAATGTCAGGAACTCAGGAAGGAACGAACGATGGCAAGGACTCAAAATGGCAAGAACGATGATCAAGAACTCAGGAGGGAAAGAACGCTGATCAGGAACTCAGAACGGCAAGAACGATGGCCAGGAAGTCGGAGGAAAGGAGCGACGGTCAAGAACGCAGAGCGGCAAGAACGATGGTCAGGAAGTTGGGAGGGAAAGAACGATGGAAGGAACTCAGGAAAGCAAGAACGGTAGTCAAAAACTCAGGAGGCAAAGAACGATGATAAGGAATCCAGGAGGGAAAGAGCGATGGTCAGTAGCTCTGGAGGGAAAGAACGACGAATCAGGGGAACTATGGATGGGAAGAGAAGTGGCAGGCTCAAAGGGTTTGGATGAATGAAGTTTGTAAGAATCACGGAGGGAACATTTATTTATAAGATTGATTGCATTGATTTTCATTATGTCAACTGTATTGTTGTATGTACGCTGCCTTTCCCATACCGGTATTTCTTCCCCATGTATGTTGCTGATCTCCTCGTGGAGTCAAACAACCTTTGTAAAAATCTCAGAAAAAAACAATCGATCAACAGATATAAAGCGCGAATTCATCAGCGCGGGAAAACTTTCTTCTCGTATAGTATCCCATAGCATCATCCCATCATCCATCCATCATCCAGCACAGATAAAACACCAGACTCCTCCAGAATACCACCCATGAAGACCATCGAATAAACACCGTATAAACTTGATGCCGCAAAACACCGCCAATGCAGCCGTATAAACACCCCCATGAATAGTAAACACCGATAAAGAGCCCATGAAAAAAAGTAAGAGTCCATGAGAACAAGTAAGAGCTCATGAGAACAAGTGACACCGTAAAGAACTAGAATTGTTCTATGAATCCGTGAAGTCTGACGCGGTAAATGCACGTAGGTCCGACATCTTCATCATCTTTGGTGCCCCAGTTATCGCGGAAACGAACGACAAACTCTCTGGATGAGAGACCATATCGGCTGAGCTCCAATTGAACGGGAAAGACTTGCACAGTCTCACCAGTGGTATCGTATGTGCCACGACCGATGCGGACCCAGTCGTAGTTGAGATCTTTCTCTTCAGGCGCATGTGGGAACAGGCCAGCAGAAACTTCGGCAATGTAATCTTGGTGCTTGAGCGGAATGTGCGCAAAGAGCTCGAAGTGGCGTGGCGTCGCACCTGGGTTGAGAGTCGCAGTGCGAAGGACGTGTTCGATGACGAATTCTTCAGGTGAGAACTTGTGTGGGGTGAGGACACCAAGTTGGACACCAGAGTCGTCGGGAGCACCGCACCAGCAGTCGCCGTGTTCATCCCACTTTGTGAGAGCCTCAACGGGAGTCCCAATCTTTGGAAGCGGGTACGAGAACATTTTGAGGATGCCCGTGATGAGATTGCTGGGAGCGAACGTGCCGCGTGGGCTGTAGGTGGCGGAGGTGAGGATGGGATTCACGACGGCACCAGTCGAGGGCGAGAAGTAGTTGACGCGGCTCAGCGAGGAAGTGGACGACTCGGCCAGCTTGGAATTGATGAGGGCCTCGATCTTGGAGGTGAGAAAGACGCGCTGCATGGCACGCTCGGCATGGGCGTCGATGTCGGCGGCGCTGACAGAGGCCGGCAGCTCGGCAATTTGCGCTGAGAGTTCGGATTTCACGGCCTGGGTGGCCTTGGAGAGTGCGCTGTTGTACTCGGCGGATGTCGATGCGAGGGCGGTCTGGAGGTGGGCGAGAAGATCGGCGCGAGCGAGCTGGACGTCGGATGCGACCAGGTCCTTGAGGCGGGCCTCATTGGTGCGAAGGAAGTCGTCCCAATCGGGCGTGGCGGTGACGGGCGCAGAATCCTCGGGCTTTCCAGGCTTGAATGGCCTGAGATCTTTGTCAGCGAGGATCGTGGTCCTCAAGGCGCGCCAAAAGTCGGCGGGGATCTGGACCTTGCCGCGGACCTTGGAGACCACGAGGAAGTCCGGGAGGCGCTTCTCCAAGGCTCGGGTGAGCTCGGCGTTCTTGGCGACGTCGAGCTGGAGCTTTGAGATGCTCAGCTCGGCGCGACGAAGCCGACGCTGGACATCCAGCATGTCGGCCTCGTTGAAGTAATTGAGGGGGTGGGCGACCCCGTGCGGAATGTACTGCGCGAGGGTCGCCGAGGCGCCCTGCGCGTACATCCGGGTCGCCCGACCCGCCGAGCCCTCGGAGGTGCCGAGGAAGATCATGGCCATGATGGCCGCCAGGAACGAAACCAGGACCAAACGAACCGTGGCGTTGGTGTACGCCGAAATAACGAAACCGCGGGCGCGGACCACCAGATCGGTGACAGAGCTAGCTGCCAACGCGATCGGTGCCGGCCTAGACGCGGCGGGCGGAACGGTGGCGGGAAGCTCCTCAAAAGCCGGAGGAGGTGGCGTGGGGGTTCGACGCGGCAGCGCCGGCTCCTCAGCGGGAGGAGCGACCGTCTTCCCCCGACGAGAACGCCCGGCAGCCAGGCCTGGAGGAGCGACGACCGGGGCACCCGTGAAGGTGCCGTTTCCGGCCATCGAGCTCTCCTGACCGAAGCTGGTCGAGGCTCCCGTCGGAGGAACGGAACCCGTGGTGGCCCTCTGGCCGGCCGGGGCTATATATCAGTCAGTAAAAGGAATGAAGAAGAAGAAGGAAAGTAGAATGGAGAGGAAATATACGCACTTCCGACGGTCGTCGGCGCGACGATGCCGGTCAGCGCCCCACGAAGATCCACCTCCTCCACTCTGTTCAGTGCCATCGGCACCACAGCCGCCGACGACCCGTAGGAGGTACTCTCCTTGGTGGCGATCACTTGGGGGCCCAACTCCGACGCAATGGTCGAGGGACCCCGCTTCTTGCGACCGCCCCGGGTAACAGTCGGGGTCGCCGGCGTGACTGCGGCGCGTGGGCCGCCAGTTATGCTGGCGGCAGCGCTGCTAGCGCGAGTTGATGGGCGGTACGTGGACATCGTGTCCACGGAGGAGAAGAAAGTGGGTGGGTGTGTCGAGGAGGTTGAGGAGTTGTGGCGGGGTCGAAGAAGGTGAGGATCGGTGGCGGTGTCGAGAAAGGTGAGGGTTGTTGGTCGAATGTTCTGTGAACAAGATTTAGTAAAAGTTCTCAAGGTTTGAATTCGGAAAGAGCTGACTGCGAAAGGTTGGAAACCGGAAAGCTTTGCGACCGAAGTCTGGAGTTGTGAAGTGAAGTGAAGTTGGTACGAAAAAAATCGAGAGGTCAAGTCCAGAGAGTTCAGTGATGCGAAAAGAGAAAAGAAAGAAAGACGAAGGTGGCGGGGTGGAAGGAGTTCCTATGGGCAAGGCTGGAGAGAAGCCAAAGTGGGTCAATGGGGTCTTCTTACTATTGTGAAGCTATTCAGAAGTGGTGCCTGGCTTGGCGTCAATAGAAGACAATAGCGAATCCAGGCCGCCACCACAAGCACAATGCTAGCGCCCACAAGCGAGGCCGAGTAAATAGGCGCAACAGGGCTCAATAGGGCACAATGGTAATTACAGTGTAATTATTGTCGAGCTGTCGTCGGCGCAGAATTGCAGGATCGAGGAGGTTGCGGAGCGCAAGACGAGGCACAATGGATGATGGCCATCCAAGGCCAGGCGGGCCTTGGGCTTTGTATGAGGGGATGGTCAATTGATCGAGGGCATATCATTATAGCACTCAGCTACAGGATGGCGATGGTGGGTGGACTGGGTCTTTTCTTTGTTTCCCTTGATCCCGAAGCCGTTCGCGGTGGCCTTGGGGATTATTCTTCGGAGCCTCTGGTCGCATCTACGACATAAACAAAAGATGTTGGACGCGCCGACGGACTCGACCGGGAACAAGGTTGATCCGTTGCATGGAGGTATCTCACTATACTTATTGTGGTGCACAGTACTTTGGGTCAATCTGCGCCGGATCTCGGACGTCACTTCCCCGAGAACTTCATCCATAGCACTTTTGAACATTTGATATTTCGAGAGAACAGCTCTCTTGTGGTAGTCACGACCAGATAAATATCGTGAGATGAATTGTAATGATTATTATTAATACCCAAGATGTCAGTCATTTCAGGCAAATGGTGATTTTCACAGAAGCTGTGGTGGACAGAGACGGATATCCCGTGCGCCGCGCCTTTGTTAGCCTTTGTCCAGCCTCGACCTTGCCATTTGATATTCGACCTTTGTCCGTGATGGTATAGAACTCCGGATTAGGCTGCTCCGGTGTATCTCAGTATCCATCATCTATCATCTCCTTTTTTGGGTTCTTTTGGCTATGAAGATCACAGTGGTGGTGGGCAACTCGGCGCCACAGGGAGACGATTTTAGACCTGTTCAAGGAAATAGTTGGTAGATCACCTATTCTTACGAAACTGACGATACTGACCACAGATTCGATGATCCTAGACTGACAGCTTTGGTCGCTGAAAGTGCAATTGGGCCCAGAAGAATATCACAATGGCCAAAATATATACAGTGAGCGATGACGGCTCCGACATCCCCGATCGCCCCTCCCGTGTTTCGGCCTTGTTATGTTGCAACACCCCACCCCACCTTACCCCTCATGCCATGTTCCACGACATCACGGACATTTTCTTGTTCTTCCACCCGCCACGATCTCTTCTCTAACTCCAATTACAACTAGAGACCTCCCTCTGAGATCAATTGTGAATATCCCGTCTCTTCAGTGACGACCTTTGACAATGGCCGTCGGAACTGTTCTCATCACTGGGTAAGCAAGGCTTCCGCCTTTCCCGCCAAAACAAACCGCAGATTGCGGGGTTCAATGCGGGGATAAAAATCGTTGTGCTGACGATATTCTCAACAACAGTGGCACTGGCTACATCGGATCCTTCACGTCCCTCGCACTTCTTGAGCACGGCTACAATGTGATTATTGTCGACAGCTTGTACAATTCGTCCAAGGTCAGCCTGGACCGCATCGAGCTGCTATGTGGCAAGCGGCCTATCTTCTACCAGGTCGATGTCACCGATGAGCCAGCACTCGAGAAGGTCTTTGAGGCGCATCCCGATATTGACAGTGTCATCCACTTCGCCGCCTTGAAGGTAGGCTCTCTTTATCCTCGTGGCGCATACCGATTGCGGCAACAATCCCTCGCGGTCAGCCCCTGTCGTGCTCAAGCTAACAACCCCCAAGGCCGTCGGCGAGTCCTCCGAGAAGCCGCTCGAATATTACCGCGTGAACGTCAATGGCACCATCATTCTCCTGCGCTGTATGGCTAAATACTCCGTCCCGAACATCGTCTTCTCCTCCTCCGCCACCGTCTACGGCGACGCCACAAAATGGGAGAACATGATCCCCATACCTGAGAACTGCCCCATCGGCCCCACCAACCCATACGGCCGCACCAAGTCCATGATCGAGAGTGTTATCACAGACCACGTAGATGCGCAGCGCAACAACGCTAAGAAGGCTGGACAGCCATATGAGCAGTACAACGCCGCGCTTCTGCGCTATTTCAACCCAGGTGGTGCCCACCCCAGCGGCCTCATGGGAGAGGACCCGCTTGGTGACCCATTTAACTTGCTTCCTATCCTTGGCCAAGTCGCAACTGGCCAGCGCGAGAAGCTCCTAGTTTTCGGCAAGGGTATGCTCGCCCCTTTTCCCATCTCCCCCGGTTTACAAGCCCAGCAACTCCTCCCCAAATAATGATTACTATGGATGGCCAAACTAACAACGCATAGACTACGACTCCCGCGACGGTACTTGCATCCGCGACTACATCCACGTCGTCGATCTCGCCAACGGCCATCTCGCAGCCCTCAACCACCTCCGCACCACCAAGCCTGGCGTGCGCTCTTGGAACCTCGGCTCTGGCCGCGGCTCCACCGTCTTCGAGATGATCAAGGCCTTCAGCACCGTCGTGGGCCGCGACCTGAACTATGAAGTCGTAGACCGCCGCGCCGGCGACGTGCTTGATCTCACGGCTGATCCGAGACGCGCGAATGCGGAGCTGGGGTGGAAGACGGAGTTGACGCTGGAGAATGCGTGTGAGCATTTGTGGAAGTGGGTGTCGAATAACCCGAGGGGTTATAGGCAGTCGCCGCCGGCGGATCTGTTGGAGGCTGTGAAGGCCGAGAAGGCTGAGAAGAAGGAGTAGATTGGTTGTAGATATTCTTGGATATAAGTAAGAAAAAGGGCGTAATAGACTACCAAGGGGAGGTGGTTTGAAGGTAGATTAGAATTCTGATATCATGCTATCTAGTAAATATGAAGCTAGAAACAGTCTCACGATACAATCGGCTCTACCAAATAATAGCTATTCGCCGATGTGAGATGGAATTGGGGTTAGGTGCGCAGGAGAGCGACCTTCAGTCACTATGAGCACGACTTTTGTGGTAGAGGACTCGGAATTTCTCGCGTTCAGCTTCCATATTATAGCACAAGCAACTTCACCCTCACAACATAACTAGCAGGCCCCCTTTACAAAACAAGCAACAATTTCCCAACCGTACCCCTCCCCTCCAACTCTCCCTGCGCCTTCGCAACATCCTCAAGCTTATACCGTCCATGCACCTTCACCCCCACCTTCCCATCCGCAATAAACCCAAACAACTCCGCAGAATACGTCTCGAACTCCTCCCTCGTCTCCACATACGCGCCCAACCTCGGTCTCAACACCTTAATATTCTTCGCTCCCAACCTCGCAATCGTAAACGGCGGAACAGGTCCACTCGCATTGCCAAAGCTAACCATCGACCCCTTCCTCGCCACAGACGCGAAACTGCCCTCAAACGTCGCGGCACCAACACCATCAAAGACCGCCGCCACACCAGCACCACCGGTGATCCTCGCCACCTCAGCCACAAAATCATGCGTCTTATAATTCACCAACTCATCCGCACCATTCTCCTTCGCCAGCGCCAATTTCTCCGCCGTAGAAGCAGTAGCGATAACCTTCGCCCCAACCGCACGAAGGAGCTGGCAAAGCCACAATCCCACGCCTCCAGCAGCAGCGTGAACCAGAATCGTCTCCCCCTTCTTGACAGGGTGAGCCTCCCGAATCAACGTCAACGCCGTAAGACCCTGAAGCAAACTCGCAGCCCCCAACCCGGCCTCAATCCCCTCGGGGAGCTTAAACGACGTCTGCGCCGGCACAGCAACGTACTCCGCGTACGCACCCCCAGACGTGAACGCAGCGACGCGGTCACCGATCTTGAAACCGTAGGTGTCTCCCTCAGCGGAAACAGCGACGACGGTCCCCTCTGCTTCTTGCCCGAGGATTCCAGAGGCGGGGGGAGGGTACAGGCCGGTCCGGAGGTAGGTGTCGATGTAGTTTACGCCTGCGAAGGCGTTTTTGATGAGGATTTGGCCGGAGGTGGGGGTGGGGAGGGGGAGGTCGCTGTGTAGCTCGAGGACTTCGAGGCCGCCAGTGTGGGGGATCTTGATGGCGCGCATGGTTGCTGGGAGGGTGGGGGTGGACATGGTTGTGTAGTTGTGGGGTGTAGGTGTTGTGGGGAATTGGATTTTTGTGCTGGGGAAGTGAGGGATTGTCCTGGTGAATTGATGTATTGGTGATTGGAAACTTGTAGCTGCTCTTGGGAGTCCTGGTGATGGGAACTTTTGATTGAGGGCCGATCGAGTTATATACCTACGCGACACAAGAGTGCTCCTTGGAGGGGTAAGTGGAGAAAGCTTATAAACACTGCGGGGCAGCAGGGTAGATGCCGACATAGGCCGTCAACGGGATGGCGTGCTGATTAATCGTAATAATTTCTGTAATTCCAATTGAGGAGGAGGGAATCATGAACGGTGGTTTTGGTGGTCGATGTTGGGGGTTTTGAGTAGCTTAGCTAAGAAGGAGGGGTAGATGTGTATTGCGTCAGTATTGGGGTTACTTTGACGATAGTGGCTTGTGTCTCGGCAGTTGCCAGGAAAGTCGGATGTGAAGAAGGAGATCTGCACTGTCGCACGACTGCTTTTACACTTCTTTTTTTGCTTCATATTTTATACTGGTTACTCATGATCTAGCCTCGTGTGTGGGATAGGTTCTATTTATTTGTGGTTTCTAGGTCATTGTAGCGGTTTCATCACGCTTTATACAAGTCCAGCCTGTTTTTCTTTTCCCCGTCTCCAGCATTTCATTGTCTTCATAACCCTTCCCATGACCAGAGTAGCCTACCACAGAGACGGCCTGAGATGAGATGAGTGCGCGAGAAAAAGAGACACACCTGATGCGTCGGCCCGTCCAGACGGGTGGGGAGAGACGCATATGCGAAAGAAGAGAAATCATCGTATGCCATGCAAGCTTCAATGCGACGAGCCAATAGCGCCATCTCGCTCATGCAGTGCTTTTCTTCGCCTTTCCTATTTCCTCCTCTCCAATGCTGCGTAGAATCTCGGCGACGCTCCTGATCCCTTTGAGCGAGTTCTCGTCTGAGCCTTGGCCAGGTACGAACTCGGCGTGCGCGAAGTCGATGAGTTTGACACTGTAGATCTTGGGCAGAACCTCTTCGTCTTCATCCTCGTCGTCGTCAGCGTCTGCATCCCCATTGACGAGTTCTTCAATCCCAACTCCATTCGTTGACACCTCTACTGCTGCGTCCCCATTCGTAGCCGCACTCCGCCCAACCCGCGTGGCCTCCTCCATCGCCTCCCTCAACGCCTTCCCATCGCCCTCATAAATAAACAACAAGCTCGAAGAATACATCCTCGTCTCCACACTCTCCAGCACCCTCCTCGCCTCCTCCACCTCCGCCAGAAACGCCTGCGCCACCAGCCTCCCCAACTCCTCATCCACGCCAGCACTCCTCCCCGCCCCTATAAACTCCCGAAACGCATCCGCCACGTTATCAACACCAATTTCCTCGCGCCCATAATTTTTATCATAAATTTTATACCCATCCGCATCGACATGCCCCCCTCTTGGTGCCTCATCACCCTGCCACACCCGCATCCCCGCGACCCGGAACCCATGCGACGCGTGCGTTGTCTCAGCCGTAATCTTGTCGAATCTCGCGCGCTTCTCAGCCGCCGCATCATCCGCCCACAGCCTCACACCTAACTTCACATCGAGGATATTGGGGCGGCGGAAGCCGTGTGTCGCGTTCTCGAGCACGAGGGCCCGGTCCGTCACGATGCGCTTTGTCTTGATGAACTTGTGGTGTAGCACGAGCTGCTCGGCATGCGCGGGCGGCGTCGTAGACTTGGGTAGAGTGGTCGCGCTGGCCTCTTCGAGGATGGCCGTCTGCGATTCGGAAAGGGTGAGCATGCCGAGGAAGGTGGGCATCAGGTCCGCGAACGCGGGGTGATGCGCGGCGGTGTATTCGTAGAAGGCGATTTCGGTCGCGGTGCAGGGCTTGACGAAGAGCTCGCCGGTGGGGTCAGTGAGGGTTCCATCGCTGCGTGGGTTAGTATATTTGACCGAGCTGGAGGGGTGGGGTGGGTGAGGCGCATAACATACTGTCCAGCGACGGCATGGTCGAAGCCCACCAGGTCCCCTATGTCAGGAAGCACCCTGCTCATTATGCTCTTTTTTTGTAGTAGTCTATAAAATGGTCATGCTGGAGAAAAGAAAAAGAAAAAGTCGGGGGTAAGGAGCCGGTATTTAAGAAGCAATGATGATAGGAAGTCTATGTACTGTACGCTACGCGCGCGATGCGTTGGTTGAAGCAGAAAGCGACGAGCTGCGCGAGGCTGAGTAGGCGGGGTGGTGGGCGGTTGGTGGTACTTCCGGGTCTGTGAGGCGGTCTGTCGTGGCAATAACCTAATCTGGCGCATCTGAGTTGTCCAAGCATCCCTGAGCATCCCTGAGCATCCCCGAGTGATTGTGGCTGTAGTGGGGGATAAGCGCTGGGATTTTGCTGGATAAATAATTTAAAATTCATTAAATTAATTAAATTTTAAGAGCCTTAATTCGTCAAATTCACAATCCATCTGTATCATCCCACAACGCGCCACAACGGCCGCGCCCGAACCGCGCCTCCGCCACAGTCACTACTGCCGCTTCATGCGCATAGCTCAGGGATGACAACGTATAGCATTGCCTATAAGATCACGAAGCCCGCATGAGCGATTTCGAAGTGCATATATTCGTTCCCGATATGTTGGACGCGGTGAGCATGACGAGGCTGGGAAGCAAGCTCAGTCGTTCTGCCTTGGCACAGCCCGCCGCCCTCTATCACCTCCTTCCCGTCCTTCAAACACCAACGGCGGCAAACACAACAAATGATTCCCAACACAAAGGTAGGGGTATAGGTGTCGGGGAATACAGGACATGCCCAACATACCCAACGTTTTGACGCTGGAGGCTGTTGTAGCTGTTTGTTTGTTGGCCTTTCGTTAGTCTTGACCAAGTTGGTCCATCCATTCATCTCTCAAGCGCTTCCATCTCATCTCAACCTCAGCCTCCACCACCTCCTCCTTTTTCCATCTCCGTGAAGCCGTGCCGTGTTGCAGCGTGCACTGCGCCCCTATGTATGTTGATAGCTTCAGCAAAGCAAAAGTCGACCGTTGAAAATATTCGTCGTATTAGCCCAGCGGCTAGCTCACTTCAACTTCACTTTTGCTCTTAACTAAATTTTACTTTCCAATTAGTCATTCAAGCTCTGTAGTATCTGAATTGAGAATTAACAATTGACAAACTTCCAAATTCCCGTACTTGATTTTGAGACCTGTTCTACTGTCACCCCTTACAAGTTTGTTTGTTGCTGGTCTTCGTTAACAGACAATCAACTATTTCTTCACCCCTCCAACTGCTGTCAAGTCTCTACCCTCTTCTTTCTCTATCTGCACTACATCACACAGGTTAGTTCTTCACCCTTGGACACAGGCTGTGAGTACAGGCCCCGTGTACTCACAGTCTCACTCACTGCGACATACTGACATGGTCTCGATATCAGTTGCACTGCCACCACAACCAACATGACTACACACACAGAGCAACCTGCCGCGATCACTTCCGACGGCGCCCCAACAACAGGCCCTGAGATCAACAACATGCCTGAGAGTGACCGTGGTCTCCGATACACCTCAGAGGAACTGACAAAGCTCAGACCAGCCCCGATGTCTCCAACGGGATCTCCCCAGCCTGGTGACCAAGATGAAGTTGAAGCTGTTGCCCGTGCCAAAACCTCGGAAAATATCACAGTTCCTGATACCAAGGCTGGAGTTGAACAGCGCCTGGAATTGACTGGAGAATCTACAGCTATTGCTGACAAAGATGAAGATAACCACGGACTTGACCAAATGACCAAAAAGAGACCAAGCATTGCAGAAGGGATGGAGGACAAGAATGGAGAGGCTGCATGGGCCACCGAATCCCAAGTTGCTGCCCCAAGTGTTGGTGCTCCAGAGGTAGTGGGAGCAAAAAAGAAGAAGAAGAAGAGCAGTGGGAAGAAGAAGAAGCCAAACCCAACAGGCTTCGAAGAGTTCTACGCCGACCCTCCCATCGCACCGGAGGATCATAAGGAGGAAGTCGAGCAGTTATACTACTTTGCTCGTCCATTTGCAGAGCGAATTGAGACGTGCATTCAGCGCTACCGCGCCAGGCGCAAGCTCGATGAAGAGCGTGCGAACATATTCAACAAATACTTGTCTTTCGGTGGCATCGACACCACGATCAAGGCATTCACTGGAGGGGTGGACAATGAGGCACTGGAAGAATTCGATGGTCCCACGATCGCTGATATCAACGCCACCGATGTCATGTTCGGCGGCGACGAGGCAGGAAGTAAATTCTACGATCCTTGCGCGCCACAAAACTGGGTGGTAGATTTCGAGGGCATCGCCAAAGCGTTTCTGTGAGTTCACCACCCCCAGATGCTTCCTGCCATCACTAATCTGAATCAGATCCTCCAGGGCTCCATACAACTTCGGCATGCACAACCAGAGCCTGATCAACAATTACTGCAATGTAGTCAAGAACTTTCTCAACTACATCCTCATGCACGGGGTCTGCCCAGAGTACACTAAATCCATCATCGCCGCCCAGAAGATCTGTGACCTCGCCAAGTCCGAGCTCCCAGCTATCCATGACATCGGCTCCTCCTTCCCAGGGAACTTTCACAAGGCCCTCTCCATCATGTGCCATGGTTACTCCAGGCTCCTATACATCGACCCGGCCACGATCTCTGACCACCCAGCCGACGCAGACCCGAACCAATACATGTCGGTCGACCACGCGCACCGCACCTTCCGCGCAGCAATGGCTCTGATGGGCACAGCCGAGCAGTTTGAAGCCATTGCCGCCATGAGCCTCGAGGAGTACCAAGCCCCGGCCGTTGTCGCCGAGGAGCTCCGAGGCTTCGAAGTTGTGAACATTACCCTGCCTGACGAGACGCTCATCAAGAGCTTTGCTGGCATTCGGGCCGCAGATGGTCGCACTGGCACCATCAAACCCCTCGGCCTTCTCACCTGCAAGCCTTGGACGCATCCCTACCAGCCTACGCTTGACCTCACCATTGAAGAGGAGCAGGGGCTAGCGGAGAACACGTTAGTGTATGGCGACGAGACGTTCTGGGTAGACGAAGACATCCTGGAGCACTGCTTTGCGGGTATGAAGTTTGTGGGCGTGGTGAGGGAGCTGGATTTGGGGTTGAAGTATCTGGACAATGTTATTGTCATTTACGCAAGCTTCTACACGTTTGTGGAGAATGAGCGCATGGTGAATTGGAAGGCGCCGAAGGAGAATGAGAGATTGCCGCCTTCTTGTGAGGATGCCGAGGTGGTGGATGCGGAGGGGGAGGGAGAAGGGGATCGGCTTGAGGAGTAGATGGTGGGGTGGGATACCTTGAGAGCTTGTTTCTGGGGTTTTAGATCATGATTACCGACTGCGATGATTTTCGGGCTGGGTATTAGGCTCGCAATAATTACTGGGAGCATTATAGCCGCCAAACAGGAAGATAATAGTCAATTTCCAATGATAGATTCTGACGCTATTATATGACTATCACCGTGATTTACATGTTCTCATTTTGAGACAGTCACAGAAGTTGTACTCTAAGCTCACCAAGCTACGTTAGTTCATATTTTTGCTCAGTTAGCCAGAGTAGTGCTGTAGACTATCACGGTTCCTGGTATAAGCGTACCTGTTCCTGAAGTGGGCTGACAGTCTGTGGCCTCATCGGAAAGATGGCCTGGAAGAAAACTTACCAACAATTAGATCCTTTAGTTTAATAGTGGCGTGAGCGTAAGTACAGTCCCATTCGCTCATTTCCCCTTTCCAAAAACACGAATATTCAGATATCTACTATCGTTCACCTATACTTGCACATGCTTGTCGCCGCTTATTCCTCTGTACTCGGCCATAACAGGTGCTATCAAAATGGAGCTCCTCGACAAATTTATAGCGCTCTTGGGCTCCTTTTCTCCCTTTCGTACCAACAGAGAACATCAACTTCACAGCCTCGAACATTCGCCTCTCAAGATTCTCCCGATAGAGCTTATTGTGTACATTGCGGAATTCCTGCCTCTCCAAGCCGCAGCCTCTTTTACCCTGACATGTCGGCCAGTCTGGTATATCTTGGGAAACCAGTATCTTGATCGGCTGAATGCCAAGGGCCGTGAACCTGATCGAATGGCATTCTTAGAACCCTTAGGAAGGGATCTACCCCGTCAAATCTTGTGCTACGACTGTCAGTTGCTTCATAGCAGTACAAAGTGGCGATACGACTCCCGATGGTCTGGTGCAAAACGAGCGAAGTGTACACTGAAAGATATGTCTTTAGATGTGCACATCAATATCTATAGGGGATTCAGCTCTATCGCATTTCAGTCGGCTATGAAGCTTCATCGTCATGGCCTCGACTCCAGTGTGCATCTTTCCATGTTGACCAAATCTCGATCCTCAATAAGCTTCGGGTATACCTACCGATGGGAGTCTACACCTCGGATTGTAAATGGTCATTTTATTTTACGCCATCAGCTTTGGATTCTGCTCCCAGTCCGGTACGCGGTTATAGTCCCCAAAATGATACCCAGCAATGTCTGTCCGCATTGGCACTCCAACTACTATAGGCCCTCAAGATTGGATAAAAAGATAGCCTGTCGAGTAAGCCACTGGGATGACTTGTGGCTGAATTCCAGGTGTCCGACATGTTCGGGCCTATTCCAGTGCGACATCTGCCCTACTGAGTTCCAAATTGACGTCAAGAATTTTTTGAAAAATGGCGTAGCATTGATACTAACTCGTTGGCTGGACTTGGGTGAGGGTCGGAATCTATCTGATCCAAGATATGCGAACCATGTCTATCATAGATTTGATGCTCATTATCCATACACTCCTGTGGAATTCGAAGCAGGGTCTATCAGAGCTGCGTACGAAGGAAAACAAATTGATTTCGAGAAGTTTTTAACTCCGAGACATACATTTGATCTATTCTGGAACGTTCCGCGTCCAGCATTGTGAGGTGTGTGAGTGTCCATCCTTTTAAATTCAATGTTAAGCTGCCAACCTTTTTAATTTACTTCTAGACTTCTAATTTAAATATAATTGTGGAGAGAAATCGATAGAAGAAAAAAGCATGGCACACACTAGAAGCACCAAATGCGTCGACAGTGCCTTAAGTCACTTATATCCTTGTCAATTCCCTTGACGGGCTGGCGGGCAGGTGTGCGTGTTATACTTTAGTATACTATAGTTGGATCCCATGAGATACCAAGGGACGGGATAGCTCTCATAATGCACTGTTGAAGTTTTGTTCTCTTACAAATAACTTGAATTTCGCCAGTGACTAACGAACTCTAACCTTCTGCTAGCGATTGACAAAACTTCTACACACGATAGAGTAGATGGGATATAAAGAGGCTTAAGTGGCATAAATTGACCGGTCTCTCTTCATTTTCTCAATCCAGCGCCAAAGCCTCTCGTCCGCCACAAAATCTTGGCTTAGTCCTGAAACCATGGTGATCTTCCTCGCTATTGCACGTCTCTCAATGCCTATTAGGGCAGCTTCTTTCCTCCCCACATCAGGTGTCTCCATCTTGCCAATGACAGAAAAGTAGTCCTCTTCGTCTTTCAGGATCTCAGGTGCCCATTCTTCGTCATCTGCCAGCTCTTTAGCAAGCTCAATAAGCTTGTGGCCTTTCTGCGATGCTTTGAAAAGAGCAGGTATATTGATTCCCTCTGCTGGTTTATAGGCCGATGTGTACAGTTCCTTAAAATAGCAGTAATCCTGTATGCCATTGAGAATAGTTAGGCGGGTAAAGAGCCATGCCCTACGAGTGCATTTCCATAGCCTGAAATCGAGCTTTGCCTCGTTGTAGATGCCGTTGGTAATGAAACCAGACTTGAACGCTGAGTCGAGGTACGGTTCTGTGCCATCCCGAGGATGCGGTAGACCTGGCGTCATAAGAGCCGTGGAGACAGGAACGGTAGATTCAAATGCCCAGTCAATGATGCAAGTAATATTAAGGTCATTATCGACAAAGATGTTACTTGCACTGAGATCAGGATGGCAGAGCGGAAACCCATTAATTGTTGGCCTTAACTGTGCTTCAATTAGGTCTCCACTGAGAAATGGAATCATTTGTTGCAGAAACTAGCCAGCTGTGCAATAGTCTAGTCTGTTTTGACCACTGTCAATTTTACCACCGATCTTGACAAAATCTTGCCATCGACTAACCGCAGAACGTCTGCTTTGAGAAGTTTCGAAGCCTTCGAGAAATGGAATCGGTGCAAAAGAGACGTTGTGTTAGAGCCTGAGCTCTTGAACATGAACAAGAAACACTGAAATCAGCGCCTGATAATATTCATCATCGTTCTTGAATGGGCCTCGATCTATATGGCTTAAGGTCTCCCGGTCGTGAAAGATAAATGCGGGAGAGAGGCACTTCCCAACACGGTATTATTACTCACATTAATTGCAGCGATTACACCACTGGGATAAGCGCCGTATTCAAAAGTATATGTGTGTGGTGTATATATGAATTAAGGCGTAATAAGGTCCTAGGTAAGGAGGTAGAGGGTAGTATAGTAAAGAGATCATTTGGAAGGTATGTATTATTTGGTGTGCCACTCTGTGATAAGGGTTTCTGCTAGAGCTGATTTTATTCAAGAATGCTAATAAATAGTGATTTATTATATAACTTATGTCGCATCACGGTGGTGCTCTCTACTGGAGGACTCAGCCCTATTTCACTGCCTTTATCAATTTGATAACAGTTTCCGTAGCCTCATCCAGGCTCTCCTTTGGCAATCTAAGAAGCTGATTGCTCGTGCCTCTGATCTTCTCATAGTTCCCGGAGTCGTCAGGATAGAACACTCTGGAGAACATCATTTTCGGAAATCCAGCCATATTTCCCCCTCGCATTTCGTCGAGACCTGTCTGATAACGCTCTCCCGAAGACACCTTGGTGACCGTCCAGTCCGGTGTATTTGTTCCAGTGACGCGCAAGACAGATCCAAGGATATCCTTCTGGCTGATCGTGAAAGACGAAACGTACACGTTCCGGTTTCTGAAGTGCTCTAAGCAGCGCGTCTCATCTCCTTCTGGCTGGACCGGAAGACTCAACAGAGCAGCGACAGCACGGCCAACTTGGGCGAAGGTGCTCATGCTGACCAAAGTCTCGCCATCATCATAGAAAGAGACAGACTGTTTCTCAAAGTCGAAGCCAAAGGCAAGAGGGTTAGCAAGGCACATTTCGTACCAGAAGCCAGTGTTAATAGCGATGTAAGAGCTTTTGCCCAATTTGGCAATTTCCTCAGCGGCCTCTCGCTTGGAGCGGAATACTGAGACGTCCCTGCTTAGGTCTTCGTTGGCAGTGTCTGGACTCCACTCGTTTGGAAGAACCCATGGTACCCCGGCATCACCCGCGGCCTTGATGAGTTTGGACTGGATATCTGGCGTCACAAATTGATGAAGGGTGATAACGAGGACATCTTGGCCCTGAAAACCGTCGACGAGGGATTGATGATTGTTATAGTCAACCTTTGTGACCTTCACACCTTTCGGAAGCGGGGTGGTGCTGTCCAGTCTGGTTATAGCGGAGACAATATGCTTGCCGGTTTTGAGCAGATATTCTGTTATGCCTCGGCCGCTATTGCCTCCCGCCTATATGTGCTGTTAGAAAATCGACGGAAAGTGAGAACTCAAGAGTTCGGTTAGGCGACCTACGCCAACGATAGCAACATTTCTCAATCGATTCCCAGAAACCATTTTTGGTAAAGGTCCAAGAAATTGAAATTGTGGAAGGCAAGCTATACTGCAAAGACAATGAAGGGAAATATCAGTAAATACGAAGGGCGGTAGGTGTGGGACAATCTTATATCTTTCCCGAGCGGAGACCGTTAGATCCGGACGAATTATTAGCCCGTATCTCCATCTCCCTATTTCCCTCTTCATTGCGGCGTACGGAGGAGGCAACGACCTCATAATTCCGACTGCCAGAAGAACTATCCCCTCGTCCGTCACGAGATGCCTATAAATGTGGGGCGGAAGAAACCTAATTAGGCAAATTTTATTGGTAAACACTGTCATCTAGTAGATCACAAAATTTGGGCAACTCTACGCCAATTGGCCATCTCAAGTCAAATGTTTCCTAAGTCATGACACAAGGTTTGAGCATGTACAGCATCGCAGAATTTCCAGGGCTTAGCTAGTCAAAGTCTCCCGGAATATGCCGGTCTGAGCGCCATAAAGTCTAGCTGCTGTTTCACAGAAGCCTGAGTCTATTTCGGCCGGTACGCCATGTCTAATACACGAAAGATTGCCTAATTAGGAAAATGCGGCCTACTCCGCACCGAACAGGGGCTCACCGTTGGATGTGGCTCGACTAGCGTTCAGCTAGCGGGCGGGGTGATTTATTCCGACGCCAATTCTACAGAGTGGCTCTGCCGTCCCGAAAAATATAACTGAACCAAAGGATCAACAATTTGCTGCATAAGCCATTTATCTCCGAGACGGACGAGGGGATAAGTGGAATCGCTAAGTCTATTTAGGAAGTTTGCAAAGCGATTTTGCTGTTTTAGATTATAATTGATTATTAAACAAATAGTATACGTGGTGATATGGGTGCCTCTATGTCTGAACGAGCAGTGAGTGCTCGGCGACGGAGCAATTCGATTCAGAGAACTAATAAACAGGTTACGACGTCACGTAAGCCGTGACTTTTGGCCCTACAGGCTCCAAGAAGGGGTTTTTAGTAGTGCGGAGTCAATTTCCATCTGGTAGACGTCGTCGCGTTATCTTTCATCATTCATCTATGAAACTGACCATTTCTATATCGCTTACACCATCTCTCTACTGCGCATGATACTATAAGCTTTATCTGCGCAATGGGTTCCTCCAAAGGTGTGAGTTTCAATCCAAGTCCAAATTCTGAGCGTATGACTTATCGTATAATTTCCTCCTAGAAAAGACCTTTGACCAATTTAACTAGGGGCCTGAAAGCGGACCTATTGATCGATATCACACTGCGGACTGGTGCGGCATTAATAGTGCTTATAAACGTGGGGTTATAGGGCCGTAGTAGCATCCGCCACTCAAGTCGCCGCGGACTAGACTTAAGTGCACCTAAAGTTGGTTGTGTTGTTTACTATCCACTATGAATCGAAGATGCCCAGACCTGGACTTAGCAGGAAAGAGCCCCTAACAGGTGCGGAGTGGGCCGCATTTTCCTAATTAGGCAATATTTTGTAGCGTATAGGCCTACATAGACTTAGTCTTCTGTGAAAAAGTAGCTAGACTTAATGGCGGTTAGACCGGCATATGCTGGGAGACTTTGACTAGCTAAGCCCTGGAAATTCTACGAAGTTGTACATACTTAAACCTTGTCTCATGACTTAGGTAACATTTGACTTGGGATTGGCCATGGCGTAGAGCAACCCTATGGACCTAGTTCCTAAGTATATGAAAGGGTTTATGGACGTCTAGAATGAAGTTGAAGAGCTTAGGATCGTGAGAAGTTTAATATGAAATATGAACTTACACGCATCCGTCGGTAATAGTTTCAAACATATGTAAGCATCTACTAGGCATCATCTTGATCAGTTGTACTGCGGGGCAAGTTTTGGGTGTGAACTCCGTAATCCAACCTGAAGTGGTTCAGGCAATGCGATTTAGCTCGGCTAGCGACATACCCCACTTCTTAGATTTCCCTCCTTGTGCGGGAGAACTCAGCAAAACCGAGCTGGGATAATTTGTATAGGAGCAGGGATTAATGTACAGGAATTCCTCCTTATAACGGATTTTTTTCCTCTCCCCCATGCAAATTATTTGTGTTCGGTGTATCTAGGTTTGACTGTACATGAGACTAAGCGAGGGATTTTAAAATTGACACCATTTTCTTAAAGTAGAAATATAATGAGATGGTTAACCGACATCTATAGTACCACAAGCCACTCTTGTGTTGATGCACTACGCGACTCTAGCTCTCTACGCAATATCCACTTTAGAAATTCTAGTGGTACTACCAGTTCGCCAGGTTAGAATATGGATCATTGTATGCACTTGTTAATGATAACCCAAATGCGACCTCTACCTCGAGGGCGTTTACTCCTGGCGTCCTGTCTTTGGAATTAGAGGCACTTAGAGCAACACAGACGTTAAATAGAATCATCATCATAACCATATTAAGATTGAAGGTATGTAGACAGGTGTAGAATAATATGCAGGGACCATGACGTGCAACAGAGGAAGAATCACCAGATTAGGTAAATTGCTGAGCTAGTAGCCATGCAGGGTTCTAGGAGACCGATAACAAGATCAAGAAGAAGACTAAAGTTAAGACTTCCCTAAAGTGGAAATAAGAGAGAATTGCCCATGTCATCGGCACGTCGGAGATGATAGAAAAATTAGGTCATTTGGTAATCAACGCCAAGTGTTGGATTACTACTCCATATTGTCCATTATAAAAGGCACGAGATAGTAAGCAGAGATTAATGTTCAGCACAACTACATTCCTCTAGTACAAAGGATCTTGAACTTCCAAAACCCGTCACCACCGCGTTAAGTCCTATAACACTGAGTCGCCTTCTACGATGCCTTCAATCCTGCTTTTGGGTGCTACCGGTTGCGTGGGCTGTAAGTAACGTGAATTTATCTCCCGAGCCCGCACGTCGTCGTGAGAGCTCTCCCACACTTTATTCTAAGATCAGAGAACCACACATACAGGTCTCTGAGTCTCTTGGTTTATCGATCTATTCGACTGCTATCGGATTCACCAAAAGCCTCGGTGTCCGTCATTCCGTTGATATTGCTTCTGCTATGTCGAACTCATAGAGATTACTAAGCGCTTTCTTAACACTGCAGTTGAGATTGACTGACATTGTGTTGCAGCGCACCTAGTCATCGCCCTCAAGAAAGAATATCCCACTTTCCCTGTTACGGCTTATCTGCGTAACAAAAGCATTGAGAAGTACTTGTATGAGACAGCCGGTGTTCAGAAGATCGTCTACGGGACGTTTGAGGAAACCGAGAAATTAGCAGCCTTGGCAAAGGATCATGATATTGTTATCAATGTAGGGTCTTCCTTTGATCCGGTTCTTACTCGTGCCATTTTGGCCGGCCTTAATCAGAGACCTGCGGGTGTCAAGTCAACACTGATACATATGAGCGGAGCTGGAAATTTCGTCGACACTGAGTCAAACACTGGCATCGCGAATCCAAACTGCAAAGTGTGGAATGTCAGTGAACATCTCTAGTTTTTATGGATGAAGTATCTGACATGAACAGGACTCCAACGTCAAGGACATGGAACTGATCAATTCAGGAATGCTTAACGGTGCTCCCGACGAAGTGTGAGCCTTTCAAGGCTGATTCCGATACTAGATAAACACTAATGTGATGCAGTATCCTCAACGCCGGAAAAGAGGGCAAGATTGGAACGTATATCCTCTTTCCCACAGCTCTGTATGGCCGGTCCACTGGACCGGTGAAGAGCCCTGGCGTAATTCAGAGCCTCATGATTCGGCAGGCTAAGGAGCTTGGCTATGTCCCCTATATTGGTGATGGAACTGTCCGTTTCAACACCGTAAGTATTCCAACCCATGCGGGTCTCTTAATCTTCCACGCATAATCTAACCAGCCTAGATGCATGTCCTTGACATTATCCCCCCGCTACTCCGAATGATTGACCTGTCACTGCAAGAAGAAACGCCTCAAGGTAGCGTCTACGAGCGCTGCTACATCATTGGGGCAAACCTGAACAGGTGGATTGAACTGAGCGCAAAGTTTGCAGAGGTCTTCCACGCTAGGGGCCTGATCCCTTCTCCAATTCCCAAGTCGATCAAGCGGGAAGATGTTGATGATGGAGGGGAGCTAGCGATGCTCATGTCTAGAGATCAACTCTTCTTGTCGGAGCGGGCAGAGAAGACATTGGGTTATAAGCCAACGCAGAAGCCCTTAGTGGAGGACTTGCAGACGGCACTAGAGTACTTCGATCTGTGAGGGGTATTTTGGGTCCCTAGATTTTGTTGGGGTCAGGGTTCGGGTGACTCTGCATCGCTCTTTTTCTCTACGTATTCCGACGACACTTCAGATCATTTTAGCGGCTTTTTCAATCAGCATAATAGTGTCGCGGCACATCTCTGCATGATATTGTAGATGCATTGAATGCACCCCTCTCACGTTACAAATTAGAAGATCAATTTGCTTTCCCATCTGCAGCTTCGTGATGTGCCTGAGAAAGTGCCCGCTCAGTTAGCCAACCGTTGCATATTTCTTCGCCCGATCACGCATGTCCTCGAGGCAGTTCATAATGAGTTTCATGCTACATGTCTCGCTAGTTCGATATTCCTTAGCATAATGTTGCTAGAAAGTTTTCCATTTGTAATCGCCACAACGATAAAGAGTCTAGTTGAAGAAGCAGATTCTGATATAATTAACTTGAATTGTTAGCTTGTTCTAGGTGACATAGCTGGAATAGCTGCAAAGTTAGAAGGCTAACGATTTAAGTTTTCTACGCCGGCTGCTCCATTGTCCTAGGTGTACTCCTGCATTAATTCCATTATGATTATTCCTAGCGCTTTCACATCCCGAGGCTCCTAATTTCTTTGAGGTTTGTTACAGTATTGCTAGTTTGCTATAATCAGTCCTAGCTTGACGATATCCTTCACGCTTCACAGGTCTTAGATGAGAGAGAGGCTGCTCACTAATACCCACCCCCATCCTAAGCTCGGGTTTCCAGCAGGATCGCAACTCGGCTGCCTTTATAGGCGACACCTAGTTCTAGCAGCGCGAGAGGACCTACCTCCACAGGAGAGATGGTAGACGGTAGTGGATATTTACCTCGCAGGAATGCACTTGTCGTAGTAGTATTTATAGAAGTCCTACGCCTCTAGCCATGCGCAATAAACAATATGTTTTTGAGTCAACGATTAGTGGCCTCAAAACAATGATCCTAATGATACTGATGATCCCCCTCAATATTGAGATTCACATCGAATGAGATCCACGCCCTTCATTTTAGCCTTAGGCACAAATCTCCGAAAATCGAAACTGCAGCATTGTCAAGGCAAGACTACACGATACGTGCACCTCGCTTAGATAAAATGTGATATGACTCTTCGCTCCTTGAAAGTTAAATCTTCATATTCTGCCTTCATAATTTTCATTAGCTATAGCATCCCTCATGACCTAAATATCTCTGTATACCCTAACAAATAACCCCACGCTACAAAACATGTCCACTATTATTCGAGAGTGGGAGTTTCGAATCGTCTTGCCACGAAATCATCTCTAGTGGTTTCCTAACCTCAGCGGACCACCTTTCCAGAAGTTCTAAGCAGCATAGCTCTCGCAAAGCCTAGATATACCGAAAAGTACCATTTTTAAGTAAAATTTACATCTAGGCAGAAAAACTATAGTCTTTTCCTAATACCGTTTCTTTATCCTACAACACCTTTATGAATTTCATAAAATGGACCTTATACACTTCTATCTCCTTAGCTGTCTAGTCCTAGGGATTAGGATTTAGTATGAGCTACGGAGGAGGAGCATTAATAAAATTGACGTAGTGCTACGTAATAGAATTCCTAATCTAGTAGCGCCTTTATCTCAAATGTTTTAGAATCTATAAGTATGTTTCTAGATCGTAGATCGTTAAGAAATAACTTAAAAGGACTATTATAGTCTATAGAGCTTATAAGCTACCTTATAAGCATTTTAATAGTTTAAAGACAGTAGTATTCTTCTTAGCACTTAACGTCGTCTAATATAGACTTAGGATTCTTATATAGAAGGAGTGTATGCTAGTTAACAAGTTTGTTAAGGTATACTGTAGTTATTATAGAAGCCTCCCTAATATCTATAGAGAAATTAAACATAGAGCTAAGTAGTAGTAGTAAGAGGTATTCTAACTATAAACATAGAGCCCTGTTAGTCTCTAACCTTCATTCGTATTTAACGTTAACAGGCTGGATTTATCATGCTAAGATCAACTGTTTAACAACATTAATAATCCACCTATCTGATTAAAATTATGTTTAGACAGCTCTGAGTAGATTTTCGCCATCTGCTTATAAATGAAATCTAAAGTAGACTGGTCTATTTTAGGTTTAATCTTACTGTCCTAATAAAGAACCTCATCTAAACGTTTCCCTTAGATGAATTCTATAATAGTAAAAGGTCCTAATCTAGCGAATTGTCCCTTAGTTCTTCTAGACGCCATAACTTTTAGGATTAGAATTTTAGTTATCTCTTTAATAAATTTCATAACGACAACTTCCTAATTGACCTTCTCCGTTAGGTACGTAATATCGCCGGGTATAGGGAAGTGAAGTAGCTAGTCATTATGGTCGCTCATGTCGAAGTGCAGCCTAAAGCAATAATTTAAGGCGCCTTTAAATGTTTCCATAACTCGACAGGGCTTTGTACTGTGGAACTCTAAGACGAAACCTTCTAATTCCGAACCTAAACCATTATCATGGTCGTATGATGCAAGTTTGTCCTGCCATTCAGCACGAACAAGTCTGTTTGATTCTAGAGCAGCCGCATTAACGCGCATTTTTAGTGAGAACGTCTAACTGTCGATGGCTCGGAGAGCTAGATTTGCCTCGACATTGCCTGTAGAAATGTTGACCTATCGGGGCGTGTCTTTAACTAGGATCGATGGTCTGGCGCATCTGCACTAGGGAACATATATAGGAGAGTGGTGCGATTTGTACCTGAGATGTCAAGGTATGTGATGACAAGGTATGTGATGAACCGAACGCTTTGGAAACCCATGGATGCCATAATTCGCTAGATTTTTACAGATTATCGAAATAATTATTTTGCATATAACTTAGTACCTGCCACCTTAAGTAACAGTCAACTTTTAGACGTAAATGCCGAAAGACCTCACTAATGGAGCATGCCTCAATGCCTCCCGTGTTATATCCTCTAGCGTTAGCAATATTAGACCGTCCGTTACACGCGGGCAGCCGCAAGATCCACAATCGGAAGAGTAGTCGCGGTGATACTCAGAAGGGCAATTCAGTAACTAGCCCGATGAGATATTCGTTTTACAAGCATTGTGCATTTCGAGAGCTTAAAGGCTTTGTAAGCATGGTCTGCCGCCACCAGTCTCCGATGGTTCTCCTAACGCGATCGAACGTTGTCTCTCTCATAGTGTTTGACATATTCGACGCGTTCCTTTGTTAATAAATGTTACGGGGATGATAGTGGCTCTTTTTCCTGGTTTCAAATGACGATGATGTGTTCCTCTGGTGATTAAGGAGCGGGGTAAGCGAGTGGGGAGATGGGAGGTCTTTTCAAGCACGTCATGCGTTAATCGATAATCGTCCGTGTTCGCTCCGACCACTTGGGTGGTGAAGCTAGTATGTGAAGCCTCTTATAGAAGTCTAAAGTAGAATCACGGTAAAAGGGTAGGTGAAGAATTTGATCTTTTACTACAGTCGAACGATCATCTCAGCACAACAAAAAAATTGTCATTTGAACTCCTAGTCATAATACTTCATCGTCTTCCCTTTAATAACCTCTTGTTCTCCTGCATCGCTTGCACCGCTCTTTCCACTCACATTTCCAGCAACCCGAGCTTTGATCCATTATTTAGCCGTCACGATCTCCATCCTCACTTGATTCTAATCCTAACCGCTTGAGGACAGAACTGTCAACGGGGACGAGTGGCAGCTTGTCCTCTGGTCTCACAAAATGCAATACGCCAATGCGGTCCAAACAGAGAGCCGGTGCCGTGCAGCCGTCGTCGTGATCAATTATGTGCTGCGGCGTTGAAACTGGGTCTACTTTCCGCTTTCCGCTCTAGTGTTTTCTTGATTTCCAATTCTGTGCTAGTTTCCTGGTGGCCATCTACCTAGCAAGTAGCAAATTATGGCTCGTATGATTTGATGAAGGCGTGCTTTAACGCCCGAAAGCATCATACACCTTAACCCCGAAAAATGAAGAAAGATTAAGCCTAACTCAGTAAGTAGGTCGTGCGCTTCATACAGTACTAATGAGATAAGGGGCACATCACACCATTTTCTAAATTAGGGAATTTGTTAGACTCAACCCCTGTATTTAGCCAAGGCGCTGTTTCCTTATTAGGCGATGCTACGCCGTAACCCCTGTAGCTTCAGAATAAGGGCATTCTTATAATGCTCTTCAATCAATCAATCCAAATACGATTCATGCACAAGAAGACCTACCTCGGTCAACAGAACTCTAAAAGTCGTTAACCTACGCCACTCATCAATCATCGCTGTAGCATAAATTGGCTGATAAATCGCTATCTGGAGACTAACCCGAAGCTCCTTTTAGAGTTATATTTTGTACGAAACGAGCCTGCTAGTATGAATTTCGAATTTTTGTCCGCCATTCGATCATCTCTTATAATTTACCTCGCATAATCTACCTCGTATAATCTACTTCGTGTGGGGTGTTTATCGCTCGCAACGGCTCATACAACATTGGAATTATGTACAAAGGTCTATTCAAGGTCTACGGACAGTCTACAAGCTTCACGGGGTTTAATGGCTACGATAAAGGAGCAAATGATGTCGGAGTAGCTCCTGCTGGCGAACTTGCTTCAACCGACTGTGAGCGAAGCGAGCTTCCGATCCGACGATTATCCTCGGCCAGCCGCATAGGTTGGTGAGCTATGATCAGAGCCGACGACAGCCAAAATTGTAACGTGTGAGCAGGGGTAGTAAGCTAATGGAGGGATATAGTGGAGCTAGCTTTAATAGTACTAGTACAGTTTAAAAATGTAAGGCGATCATAAAATCACGAGAGTGCTAGCCTTCGGACTTTCAGGAAATAAGGCGTAGTGATGACCAGCTGTAGTGGTTGTTATCCCAAAATCAATGAGAGAATAGAGTGGTTATGTGGCGAAAAACATTTAAAACCACGTGATTACGACTATACAGTAAAGCCTCCTTAAGACGATACCCCTTTAACCGATATCTTCGATATTACGATTTTTTTCGGAACCAATTAAATTCCCATATAACGTACGATATCCACGATATTGGTCCAAAACGTAGAAATATCGCTCTATCGTAGGATATTTTGGTAATTCGTACCAAATAATTACTATATATAGCCTAGTTCCTCAAAATTAGCGAGTTATAATTGGTAGAGATTAATAGCTCAGTTCAGACTAACCTTAATAAGTAGTTTATGTATATCCAATATCACGATATCCTCTTTAAGACGATACTAAACCACAGGACGGATTACATCGTCTTAAAGAGGTTCTACTGTATATGTATACGCACAGAGGTAGGGAGTAGTGACTAATCGAAATTAAGCTTAGTCAGAGTGACGTATTATGCGACATAGTATACATACACTAGCAAGACGACGTAGATAATTATTCAGCATCATTTCCTGCTTGTAAGTCAACAACTTGCTTCTTTAAATGCGTGTTTAAAGCTTCTATTAACTTCAATTACAATATTCTCTACGATAATAATTCCTTAATGGTTGACTAAGTACCGGGTGAAGCATGTCCTCGCAATCTGGCAAGGATCATCAGGTGGCGCCTGGGGTCGTCACAGGACCTTCAACATCTCTTTATGGCGTTCAACCAACTAGGTAAGGAAACATTTGCGGATGTAACCAAGGTGGTAATATATGTATTGGCTTTATGCTTACCAGGGAAGGCCGGAAGGCAGCAGGGAACCAGGCGTAGCAGATAGCTTAAACCAATCAGAAGCTGTGGCCCAGCCTAAGCAACTGATATTTATTACCGTCACTGATCGGCCAGAGTCGGCCAAGGCCACATACTCCCATGTTGTTCGAACCCAGGCGATGAGATCATTCCTGCGCGCAAAGCGAGAAGAGTCGACGTTCAGCCCCAAGAAGACGGAAACAGCCTCGTCAAGAGCTGCCCCAGTTACAGCTAAAAGTTCCCAGACAAAATTCAAACTTTCTACTTGGTCTCGAAAGAGTCCCAAGAATAATAACCCTTCTTCTGCACCGGATGAATCTGGTGCAAGGATATCAAAAGAAACGGAAGTTAAATTTCAGGTATGATGCTATGTAATGACCATCTATTCCAGTCGTGCTCACTTCTTACTGCCAATCGACACCATATTACACGGATATGGAAGTCTTTCAATACCAACCACACGGGAGACGCGGCTACTTTTATACCACTGTGAGTATCTTAATTTTCCTTTACTTCCTGCTCTCCGAGGATGAATGATAGTTACTTACCTCCTGTACAGACAACACCTCATATACAATCAACTCCTTTGCTCTCAACCCCGAGGGAAACTGGATCTCTTTCAGTTTCAAAGACCCAGCACTGCTCCATGCTACCCTTGGCGTCGTTGCGCTTCATCGTGATCTTCTCATCCACCGTGAACCATCTGCGGATTCCTTGACTCACAAAGGACAAGCTATTCATGCTATCAATAGTCGTCTACTATCTGGTCAACCGCCAAGCGACGAGAATCTCGCCGTAGTAGCTGTGCTAATAAAACTCGAGGTGAGTCTCTTGCACCTAACAATCATGACTGATTCTAATTAGCCACATGGGAACTAATTTGATTCTCAGACCTTGCATGGAACATCAGACGCATCAAAACCTCATATGAAAGGACTCATGGAGATGCTTAGGATTCGAGGTGGTGTGAATAATTTAATGCACAACCAAGTTCTTTTGCGAGTGTTAACTTGGTACGAGTTAATAATTTGGACAAATTGCGTTACATTATTGCTAACACGCAGTGCCAGGATCGATCTACTATACGCCACAATGTGGGGTAGCAAACCCTGTATTGCTCCAAATCAACTTCACCCTGGTCCTCTGGCGGTTATCCTCGAAGATATCGCAATCAAGTACTTGCCTATCGCACAATATAAAGAAGGTCCGAGCATGTTTAGTCTCAATGAACATATCAACTTTGATGTATGGGAAACTTTACAACAAATCTCAGCAGCTAAGGCGAAGGCGAGTGAACTATCACTGGAGGAGAGGAAGACCATTAGCCATGTCATATATCTTGTCAATCACCGTCTGCTTATGGACCTCGCGAAATGTAACTCGTGTGAGGCTTCAAGTTTGTACAAAGCATTTTCGGTCGCCGCGATCCTATATCTGCACTTGATAATACGGGAGATCCCAAGAATGGCAAGAATTCACCTCCCTCTAACGGAAAGACTTCGATTATTTGTGAAGTGCGCATTTACTACCCAGGTTATCGAGGGACAGGTCTTGGGATTTGTTGTATGGATGATATTTTTAGGGGCCGCAGCAAGCCCTCCAGGAGAGAGCAGCGATTATTTCATCAACCTTCTGGCGCTAATCTTGGAAACTCTGGGAATTCAAGACAAGGATCAACTCAGGAATCAACTCAGAGAACTCGCCTGGTTTGATGATATTAGCGATCGGTATCTTACCATCGTCTGGGCTGAAATGACGGCTACATCATGAAAGAGGGAGACTGGAACGACGTTAGATAGATGATATCGAAGGATTCGGATGAATAATACGAGTTAAACGGCTTACGAATATAAATCGCTCGAAGAAGCTTCTATATCTCCCTTGATTTTACTTCTGCTCTTCAATGTCGTCACAAGATGAGGCGCGGCGGAGTTCAATATATTGGATCGAATATTTCCTAACTGGGATAATGGTGGTTACCGACCAATCACATTAACGTGTCAGCACAAATGCCACGGTCGTCTGTGCCATTCTTCTAACAATGTTTTTTAGCTTCGCACAAAGGTTAGCTAATCCAAGTAGAGAAGGACTAACTTGGAAAAATTCCCGCTCTTAGACAATGATGTCATCTCATTATTGATGAAACAATGCGCGTACAGGTACTACAGTCAAATTGTGTTCGGCGCCAAGTAACGCATTGCTCGCTGGTCTAGCCGAGGAGTATATATTCAGCAGCACAAGACGCAGGTGAACTATTGTAGCTCTTTCACAAGAGATCACATACACATACACACATACATATATATACTCTCTTTTTTGTGGTCGACCTCTGCGTTCGGTCTGCAAATAACACACGACATCTCGCTGGAGGAACCATGTCTATCAAGCTATACGGAGCGGTAAGCTCTTGGAATACGCTCCGTGCTCGTCATGCACTTCTTGAGAAAGGAATGACTGTGGAAGAAATTTCATTAAACTTGTCGGCTCAAGAACAGAAGGTCTCTATTTCTTCCCATATGAAAATATCAGAGCTGGCGACTAACTGCAAGCAGAGACCTGATTACCTAGCTCTCAATCCATTTGGCAAGGTCCCCGTCTTAACTGAAGGAGACTTCACTCTTTTCGGTACTGTTTAAGACCTGGAGTAGTCTCAGAGTAATAATTGCTGATACCACTAGCTAGAATCACGCGCCATAGCTCGATACGTTGCCTGGAAATACAGCAGCCTCGGGAAGCCTCTAATACCGGATGTGGAGAATAGCAGGTCGATCGCACTCTTTGAAGAAGCTGCTTCTATAGAGCTTACACAATTTGACCACTTTGCTCAGCCTCTGGTTCTTAAGGAGATTATTGCCAGGTCAGTCATTGATTCAGTAGCGGAAGTGGATTTGACGCGTTACTTAAAAAAACTACTGGCTAATGTATGCAACGAGCAGATTCCAAGGCAAAGTGGTCCCTGAGGACGAAATTTTACCTCTCCTTCAGACTCTTAATGTCAATCTGGATATTATTGATAGGATTCTTTCGAAGCAGAGTTTCATGGCAGGGAGGCAATATTCCTTGGTTGACGGATTTTACATGCCTCTTCTACACATGCTTCTAAAGGTGGGGTATCAAGGGTTAATACTAGAGAGGAAGCATCTAAAACACTGGTGGGAGACAGTTAGCGAAAGACCAGCTTGGAAGGAGGCTGTACAGCCATTGAACAACCTATACGATACTTTTTAATTGGAATTGCAGCTTGTTTCAAACCAATACTAGTAGTGCCTTTGCTGTTGACTTTGAGATACTTCTGCCAATCCCAGACAGTTTCAATCATCCGATTCCCTCTGCGTGGGTAACATCTAGTTAGCCATATACGGCTGCCATCTTGCCACATTGCTTGCCAAGACAACTACTAGAAACCCCATATTTTTAGAATTAACATCAGCATGCCACCCGTCTTCTCTTCCAAATCTTATGTACTGTCTTGTCTATTATATGCTGCGGCGGCTCCTTGGATCTAAGCGTAAAAGATCAAGGATAATGGGTTTTCGCATTCCCGTTTACCTGGAAGTAGTTTTCTGAGTAGTCTAGTCCGCCGTGGTTAGCGTCCCTGTGGGCTGACCCACTCCATAGAGTTCTCGAATGCGAAAACCAGTGTATTCGGTGACGGGATGTTTTTGAGCTCGATCCTGCAAAATTGACAACCGTGGGCGCTCCAAAGTTATCCCAAGCCACGACCGCCATGTCCCACCCTCGTAGTTGGCAACCTCGACGATCCACAGACTCTAATACCGTCATTCGCAGGCGCTGATCTTATCCTCAGTGTGACCAACTACTAAGAGCTTTTTTCCGACCCGACTGCCGTGCTAAAGCTCAGGAGCTCGGTATCGATTGTCGCAAGTATGCGTATGATGTAGAGGTGCAGCTGGGAAAGAACATTGCGGCTGCTGCTATGAAGATCATAGACACGCTCGAAGAAAATGATTCATTACTTCTACCTTGAGCCATGCAGGCTCGTGTAGCAAGGGGAAATTCACAGAGCTTTATCATTTTGATGCGAAGGCCGATGTCTTTCCTAGTTATATCAATGAGAAGTATTCTAGCTTGGCGAAGAAGGTGTCGCATATTCAGACTGGATATTTCATGTCTAGCTATAAGCTGTTACCGGCTGCCTATCTCAGCAAGGTAAGATTTTCTAGGCCACCTCGCCCCAACCCGATCTTCCCTGTGATATCCTGTACTGCGCTCCTTTTACCAAGACGTAGGATCCGCATCTGAAAAGGTGGTACCGACTGATATCTCATTATACCATACCTAGCGAGTACCTTAGGTACCTTTCATGCCGCCGTCATCATGCCATCTATTCGCATAGAGACTAACGTGGAAATTAAACGCATAGCTGTCATTAATTATCGTTAGGACATTATATATCTTAACAACTTTAACGCTATTAAGCTAGAGTTTGTAGTATCCCGTGCTGTCTAACTGCTAGTCTGCTTAAATAGTGACTCTATGCTAGACTCCTACTAATACTGTTATAATGTTACTAAAAGTGTAAATCTACTATACGTAGATAGTCCTATACTTTAAGCAGGTGTATAGTTAGTCTCTAATAATCTATACTATACATATAGGCATCTAGTTATTATATCCTATGTTAGTAAAGTTAGTAATAAATTACCCCAGGTTATACAACTAAGTAGGAGAGAATTACTAGTCCTACTATAGGTAGAAAGCAAATCTATAGAAGCCTTATTTACTAAGCTTATAGACGCTAGTTTTTGCTTTCTCTAAGTGAAAGCGTCTAGTCTAGCTAGAGTTGTAAATCTATGTCATCTTAAGAGTAGTAGTGCCTTTATAGACAACATTAGTAACCACTTTAATAGATCCCTTATCCTCCATTGTCTAAGCATCTAAGCTAGAGAGCGTACCTACATTACTAAAGCTCTAAGTAGCTTTAGTAATAAATCTAACAGCTAATAAAGCCGCTACTATAATAATCTTAGAAAACATGTTCTATCTTCTCTTATTTATAAAGTACATGCTATAAATATAGGGACGTTTGCTTAAGCTAATCTTATTATCTTATAGAGCAATGTGCCCTTATAATGTAATTCTAGTAATGTGTGATTTTCTTCTTTCTATATCTGGTACTATAACGTTACATGTAGACTATAGCGTAATCGTTAGATCTAACCCTCGCTACGCTATTTTTAAAGAGCTGCTACCCTCTTTTTCCCTAACTGCTCTAGCTTCTAGGCCTTAACTCTAGCTTAGTACAGCTGCTTTTTAGCTTTAGCAGTAGCTACATCAGCAGCCTAGGCTTCTTTGCCTAGCTGTTTCTAGGTATCCCGCTCTACTTTAGACACCTGTAAAGCCTAGGCTTCCTCTGCTGTAATTAAACCCCCTAGTTGTAGACGTAGCTGGCTACTATAAATTGATTAATTAATTAATATGCTACGTAAGCTTCTTGCGAGCAGAAATTTCCATCGTTAGGCAGGAGGCTTAATGCCTAACCAAAATGGCTCTAATACGACTCTCATATGTGAGACATGGTGGTAGTGGTATATAACTGCAACAGCGCTGGAGAGACACTGCGATTAGTGCCCTGGGCGTTAAATCCTGAGTAGACATACACAGAGTATATCCTCTCTGTAAAGTGTAAATGCAGGATATTTTAGCTTCTCCAACAGGACTAAAAAAACGGTTACTTCTGTAGGTTTGCTACTAATCCTAGAGAGTTTATCTCAATGTCTATCATAACGTAAGCACATTTAGTAAGTAATTAGTTTTAGTTGTCTATTCTATTATTCTGTGCTATCCTATCTTTCGTATCCTTCTGTGCTTTATAAAGGGTCTTTTCCATCTAAGAATAGAGGTGCCTATCCTTTGTTTTTTAACCACTATAGCGCTAAGAAGACAGGGTGGCGTAATCCTAAGCTTAGGACTACCTATCACATGTAGAAACACTAACTAGATCCGTTTAGCCCCTACTAAATAGGATTTGCGGTCCCTTACTAAGTTAAGGGGCCGCGCACCTACGGATCCACTTAATATAGTTCTGACAGAGCATTACAGAGTAGTGTACTATTTGGTTGGTCCTTAGGAAGCATGGCTAAATGTAATTGGTCGGTAATCACCATTATCCTAGTTAGGAAATATTCGATCTAATATTATTGAAGCCCGCCGCGCCTATTACGACAGTCGATCGGAGACAATATGCAAACGGACAAAGCTGAATGTTTTTCTCGGGACACCACATCGAGGAAGCACGTACGTAGGTTGGGGGATGATCGCATCAAGCTTAGCGAGCTTAGCCCTTCAAGACTCAAACAAACGGCTTGTACAAACTCTTGAAGTCAACGATGAGGTTTTGGATAATATTCATAGGGAGTTTAAGACTATACTTGCCAAATGCGCTATCAAAGTACACTCGTTCTAAGAGGCGAAGGGGATTTCCGGCATGAAAGGTCTGGACAGCAAAGTAAAATACCAGACTGTAACCTATGGAGCTGCAGAAACTAATACGTAGCACAGGTAGTGGACAACTTCTCCTCGAAGCTCGATCTCGCTAGGGACCAAGAAACGGTGAAGACCATGGACGCTTAAACTCAATATTTGCAGCTTCACATTGCCTTTTTTAAAGCATTCTTCCATTGCCGTCGGTTGCAAAACACATATATGACGCCGAAGTTTGCTAAGAGCAGCTACTAACTCATTTTCTGGTAGTGATGGAACTCGGGCAGCTCCATACGGTATGCATTTGGCTCATCTGCTGGTACTTCCTTTAACGATGTTGAAGCAGCTTGAACAGCAAGGTTTATAATGTGTCTAATACATCTAACATCGCCTTCTTTTGTTGTATATGCCTATGGTTGCTGTAATGTAGTTTCGTTCTTGCATGCTAAGTTCTCATATTCTAAGAGCATGCTAGTGTTTGCAGAAGCGTTATCACGAGTGATAGTAAAAACTGCAGGAGTAATACCATAGTCGTCTGTAACAGCTATAACTGCTCTGCAAGATATTCACTAGAATGGAGACAGATTACGAGGATTCCCCTATCCTCTTTACCCCACTCAAACTACAAGTTGAAAAGTGAGACTGTACGGTTCGAACATGAGCTAGAAGAGCAGAAGACATTTTTACTCAGACGGTGTTTCGCCTGGTGACGATACTGCACGGTTTGTACAGAAATACTGCGTACTATTGAGAACATTGGTTAATATTGCAATACTCAATTCCAATATTGTATTGCATGATATTCAGACGCCCAGGTGTTTGTATTATTACCCACACCGAGTCTTCTGCACCTCCTCCCAAAGTCTAATGCCCTCATCATCCAGTTCGTCCTGCCACAACACAGTTCTGAAAATATCTTTCACACGCTCCCACCTTCGCAATTCAAATGTGTCGCAAAGATCCCTAAACAGTCTCACAAACCACGGCTTCTCAGGTCCACCATCACTAGACACCGCGCCAAATCCCACCGCCCAGACAAGTTTCTCTCGACTCCGCACATCCAAGCCCCACTTCCACAAATCAGCCAGCTCAAAGACTGATTGCAACGCAACTTGGAGTTTGCTCGTTTTGACAACGCCGAAGTTGCAGAAGTTGTCTCGCAAATTTGCACGCAAGTATATCAGAGCTGCAATGGCACAGGAATGGTCGAGCGGGTTCTTGAATGCGGGAGGGTTGTGAATCAGGTCGAAAATCCTGCGTTCCATGTGCTGAATTTCGTCGCTGATTTGGATGCGGGAACGGTTGAGAGGACTGAGGGATCGGCTTACTACTGCCAGTTCGGTGGCGAAGGTTCTGAGTTCATCGATGACGGTGTCAATATTTGGTTTGGTAGAAGGCATGATGGACGATGGCACTCCGAATTGTGTAGTTTCCTGGTGGCAGAAACGTGTTTCCGTAGGAGGGAGTACGGCGAGCGGGGGCTCAAAGGCGGGAAAGCGTGGAGGCTGCCACAAGTCATTGGCCGTGTTCAAATCTGCCCTGGTTTGAGTTAGTAGAGTATGTTAGGCTGCTTTCTCAGAACATTGAAGTTGGCTTCGAAAAGGAGCGCAACACTTGTCCGCAACTCATATATATTCACCTCTGCTCCAAGCTCTTGCTGGATATATGACGGCAGTGGAAGCCCACCAGGGTGACTCAATCCCTTACCAAGTAATCAATCGTTTTAGGTCGAGGGGAAAGTTCCCCCGTTCGAAACCACCGCGCCTCGTCACCATATCTTTTAAACCTCTCATGTGAAGCTCTATATTAGGAAGTGATCCATTGGCCGACTGGCATAATAGTCAGCGGTTTTGCGTCATTTGATACACCCACTTTAATTAAGGGGAGTCCAACCTCATATATGATCAGAGTGGCAACTGCACTCATCGTACCATTACTGCAACTCTCCGTCGGGTCTTGAAGTCTCTCGTGGATTATCTGGATTGCACTCGAAAGGTGAAGTAGGCTCTCTACTGGACTCCCGTATCGGCACTTCAGTCGAAAGGTCGCCGAGTAGTGAGAGAGCACAGCACTAGGAATTTCGGAATCAGCATCGTTCAGTTAGCTAACAGAGTCAGAGTTGATGAGCTGCGAAGACACGTCTTATCCGGCGTGTTTCGTCCAACATATTTTAAGATATATTTAGGGTCTGATTTCATGAACCAATGCCGACTAGGAAAACTATAGGCCGGATTACGTACTGGAATGCTGCCTCGTCTTGAACTGCAAGCCCGAAGAAGGCTTTACAGTATGGTATTAGAGGTGAATCATCTTTAACTGTTGTTAAGTTAGTAATTTGAAATATGTTGTGAATCGTCAAATGAAAGTCTCGGCATGGAGCGAGCAATATAATGATAGAGGAAATCAGGCACATCATCAGAATTTTACTTTGGGGGCGGAAGCTTTGGAATTCTTCAACGCTCCAACTGCTATTGATAATGATGGAAATCATTGCATAAAACCACTTGAGACAACAAAAAAGAGAACTGTGAGGGTAGCATTCATATTTCATACTCCATATTTGGATTTGTACTCACAGTAGTCGCGAATCAAGATCTGCTCCCGAGGGGTGATGTTCAAAGACATGGCGTCAAACGGATCCATAGCGCAAGAACTTACGCCGTATAGGGAACTACCTCGAGGGTAGAGCAGTGTTTTCAACCAGGTTAGCTGTTGCTCTTTGGTCCATCTTACGAGCTCCGCGACGTTTTCTTGACTAGAATCATCTGGTGGTGGCCCGATTGCAGTCCTAAAGCTGGATTCTGGGAATAATTTATTTTCTTCATTTTCCCTAGCTATAATTCTCTGCCTTGGCCTCGTCACTGCCAGGCGAGAAGTTCCAGCCAAACGTTGGAGCGCTGGTGATGCTCTGACCGCCGAAGGCTGCTTGTCCGAACCGATGGATGGACTCGTGAAGTTCAGGCTTCTTTTGCCTCGTTTATTCGCTCGTTTATTCGACGTCAGTTTCAGACCCTCTGGGCCGAGTCTGAATCGGTGAACTTGGCCCGTCGTGGAACCATCGGTACGCTTCATTGATGGAGGCTTTGGGCAAGCTCTGCGTGAAGGCGCCCTAGCTCTGCGGCCATAGTGAGAGGCGTTCTCTCGAATTATTCGTTTAGCCGAGTCATCTATTGTCGTCGTGCTAGTTGTATTCACGAATTGTAGGCCAAGACTTGCTTCAGAATCAACGATTCTCGGTGTTGAGCACGTTATCCTATCTGGACCTCGCACCGCTGAATTGCTTTCCCTTAGCTTCTGCCACAGTCCAACAGAGAGACATCATAGGAAAGGGCTCACTTGATGACTTCATTTTCAATCTAACTTTGTATCGTCTTGGTCAATTCTAAACCCGAAAATATTGTCCGACTGCGCGTCTCAAAGTATTTGGGGCTTTAATGCTGATTTAACATGGTGACATAATGCATTTATTTTGCGTTAACTCTGATTCCATAAGCACGTGATGGCTAAATGGGAAGGCGTGGAGCTTGTCCTGGTCGGGGCCGTCCATCCCCGCCATTGGTTTATGTAAGCAACGAGGCTACAAGGTTTTGACAACACGTCTTTAACTTCCAGCTCTGTCGACACCTTTCCTTTCTTCTCTTTCAGGATTCTTGCAAATTAGAATCGTAGATCAAAGCTTTATCACGGAACCCTCATAACAAAGCGGCAAAATGACCATCTCCAGCCAGCGAAGTGAATCAAAGCCGTTGGCCACGCAACCGCCTCCATCATCTAAACCCTGTGCAAGCCATCGCATGGACGACTATCTATTCGATGATATCAATTGCCCCGAAGATGAGGAACTAGAGATGTGTGAAAAGAGACGTCGTGGCCTCAGTGTGCCGTCGAACAGGGGCAGCGAGCTTGAGTTATACCGCAGCCGTTGGAAAGCTAGTGCTAAATCCAACTCCTTCTACACTAGGTTTGTCCTATATTTTAAATATTAAGCCTATGCCTAATAGATAATAAACTAATTAATATTAAGAATATTACACTAAAGAATATTAATCTAAGTTATGTTATAAGTAAAACATGATTCCACTAAGATCCTAATTACCTCATGTAAGGAATTACGCAGGACCTAACCTTAGTAGCAGCGCGGCCCTAAGCTGACATCGTCAAACCCTCAGGGTTACGGCTTAGTCATTAGGGTCCTTAGGGTTCTCAAAAATAGTGGACGCGCAGCAGGCTTGCAATTACAAACTTGGCCGGACACCTGGCAGACACGCATAGCGACCTTCATTTGAAGACTCGAAAAGATATCGTTTCTGAATATTTGGGTTTGCAAATATGCCGACCACCAGATTATAATTTTCAATTTGGACTAAGGCCGATCCGATGCACTGGGTAAGTGTCAAACTGCAGACCTTCTTTACAGTTCCTGGAAATTCCCTTCATTACTTCTGCGCTGTCGTCCTGGGGGCAAGGCAGCTGCGATGGACCTGTTGTTCTCCGGCCGCTGCATTAATGGGCTGAAGAGCATGCCCTTGATGACACGACTTCTGTTAGCTAGTCCACACCATTTAGACGCACACAGTCGGCCGTTTAAATTCCATAGAAAACGGAGACCCTCCATTGAAGAGATGGAGTAGATTCCGTAGACAGCATGGGGTCGGATTGGAGGATAGTCAGTACCAGACAATTGCCCTAGCCGCTATCACGCGTGCTGCACATCTCAGTAATGAGGACCAGGCCGTGAATAACATCCACGATATACTCAAAGCGTAATAGGGGTGTCGTAGGGTTTCTGCTGCGTATCAAAAGTAAGACAGTGTCACGAGCAATCACAATTATAGTTCAAGCGTATGATTTGGTGCCTTGGTAGCCATTATACTTGTGGAATGTACTGTTACGACTCCCGTACAGGATTCTTTACTTCTTATCCGGACTCCGAAACATAGCCTCTCACCCACTATTCCTCTTCAGCCGATGCACCAGTTCATGAATCGTCATGTACTTCCGCATCAACACCCCATCCCAACATGCACCTCCATCTTTGTCCCCACGCTATCCACACTAATAATGCTACTCCTCGAACTCCCAATCGACCCCCGATCATCCACCCCATCCATCAAATTTTCTTCCGGCACCACCGCAATCCTGCTCCCCTTGTCATACCAACTGTGATGGTTCGTGAACCGCCCCTTGGGCTTCACCCCTGCTTCCGCAGCCCCGACTCCTGCGCCACGAGCGCAGACTCTGCAAACGTCATGTGCCGCGGCTTACTGAAGTGGAGGCCGTGCGAGCATGTGTGCTTCTTCCCCTTCACCACGCACGCGATGCCCTTCTTCTTGTCGTCCGCCTTGCGCATCTCCTCTCTCCAGCTCCCGATGATCTCCTTCTCGACCGTCTCATACCCGCCACGTTCCTGCAAGATGAGCAGTTCCTCAAGACCCTGAGCAACACGCGAGAGCATGACGTGTGTCTGCAGGCAGAAATCAGTCGACTTCTCGAGTTCTTTGTAGATACTCTTGAGCAGGTTGGCTGGTACACCGGTCACGGCCCCGACGGGCTTGAGGACGAGGCCGCCAACGCCCTTTATTACGCCGGACATGGCGCCCCCGATGCCGTTTTCTTGAGCGCCGTGCACAGGCTGCGTCACGAGGCCGGAGACGCCGTCGATGATGCCGAGGGCGAAGTCTTTATCAGCAGCCTGGAGACCAGATTGGAAGCTCGAGATCGGGGCCGTGTGGCGGACCGTGGTGTCGCCGTACAGCTTTGGTGCGTTGTGAAAGCCGCCTGACAAGGCGGAGAAGAGGTCGAGAGGTGCTTTGAGCAGAAATTCGGCGGCGTGGGCTGTGAATCTCTTCAAGTGCGTAGGGCGGTGCTTAATGAGCTGGTGCGGCGAGATGGGGGAGGCGGGGTCGGACCTATCCAGTATATCAGAGGATCGGGATGGCTCTTTAGCGACAAATTCCTTCTCCTCTTTCTTGAGCTTTGGGAGGATTTCTGGGGACAGCTGGATGTTGTTAATGGCGTCCATGTTTGCGTAGTGTGGCTTGGGCTCCTTTTCGGTGCTAGTGCTGGTGGTGCTGGTGATGGAGGCTGTGTCGGTGCTTGCTTTGTGCATGGAGGGGTAGGAGGAGTTGATGGCCTCCGAGGCAGGGCGCCGGGCGCCGATAGTTTCAAATTTACCGGTGGGGAGGGAAGTGGAGGATGAGTCTCTGGAGTTGAGATCAGTCAAGGAGTCATTGGCGGTGCCAGAAAGGGAGCCCCGGGAGCCGTGGTTGTCAATTTGCGTTTTTAGGCCGTGATAGAATTCAGTGGGGAGATCGGCGACGCCCATGGCAAGGGAGCCAAGGGCTCTAATGAGAGCGGAGGTGACACCGGAAACTGGATCCCAAGGGCCGTCTTCGAGTTGGTATTCTCGTGGTCGGTAACTATGAGGTGTCAGTTATGAGAACATGTGATAAGAGACAAAAAGGGTAACATACAGCTTGAGATCCTTCAAATCAACCAGCCCCTGATTGATCAAAACAGTGGCCGCAAGTCCACTCAATCTGACGTCTGTCTTCTTGACTCTCCATATAGCTGGTCTATCTGAAAGCACAGAACATCTAATTTCGTCGCCAAGATGCGCATGGAACAGTTTAGCTCCCTCTCCCGCACCATCCTCCTTAGGCATTTTCTCTCCTAGCTGCTTCGCCCTGATGAGGGTCTCTGGTTTAAGAGCAAACTCAAGCTGCTTCACCAGGTTACCCACACTCAACTTCTTGAATGGAATTGGCTCTGGCCCAGCACCCGCTCCGGCAATCATCTTTGCCCAGAATGGCTGATCGCCAAACAATGGGACGACAACAGTTGGACGACCTGCAGCAATACCTGCGGCAGTAGTACCAGCTCCACCGTGGTGAACCACAGCAGAAACGTGTTGAAAGAGGAAGTCGTGGGGAACGTTGCCAAGCATGAAGATATTGTCTGGAATTGTCAAAGCCTCGCCTCTAAGGCCACCCCATCCTTTAGGTGCGAGGGCTCTGATCCCGAGTTTCTTAGCAGCAGAGAATATCATGGTGGTCATCGCATCAGGGTCGTCAACGACGATAGATCCGAAGCCAATGTACACAGGTGGTGGGCCGTCAGCAAGGAATTTGAGAAGTTCAGGCGCAGGTGTGAATGACGAGGCAAGAGACAAGAAGTTGAAACTACAGATGGAAATGTGTGGTCCCCAATCCTTCGGCTTTGGAATCAAAGCAGGCGACCAGCAGTACGTAAATGGGATTCGTAGCCTGCTGTTCATTACTGGTGCCCACATGAGAGAGATGAATGCAAGATTGAGAATGGTGCGACGGAACCTGTTGATCACGTCGCCAAGACCTTGCCAAGTCATCATTTCCACCAGAGCGTAACTGAGGAAGTTCGTTTGGTCGCCGTCAGCATTGGAGGACCGGACGTTGACTAGAGGATGTGGGAAGGACTTTGTTGGTGACCAGGGCATCGTGAACATGAGATGAAGAGGGATTCCAAGCTTCTCAGCGCAGTGGATGTGGGCGAATGACGGTGGGTTAGCAATGATGGCATCTGCAATAAATGGAATGCCGTCCTCTACTTGTCGTTTAGCTTCAAATATTGGGTCTCCAGTGCCATCTCCTGCCTCGATACACGATCTCCAGCATCCAACAAGCATTTCATGGGTTCCTTGTCGACGCCTTCCAACTTCTCCACTTCGAAGAGTTGCAATATCTGGGATAAGACTAGGATTATGGACCATGAAAGCCATAAGTTCAGCAGGATCGCCTCCAATGTTAAAAAAATCGAGACCGTTCTCTTCGACTAAGGATCTGAAGATTAGGTGGGAAGCAATTCGTACTCTGTGACCGTACTTCTCGTGCAGGACCTTGCCCAAGGAAACGAAAGGTTGGACATCACCTCGGGAGCCGACGATCTGGATGACTGCATTCAGTGCTGGGCATTTCTCGTTGACGCCGTGAGTGAGATATTCGTGGACTTGCTGGATGATGTTATCATGGTGGTGCTCGAAAGCTGGCTTTAGGAGTTCTGTGAGCTTGGAGGTTTTCTCGTTGATATCGATGTCGAGACCGTGATCTAGCAGTATCAGCTGAGTCTACTAAGGGGTTCAGGATTCCTGCATTTGCGGCAGTCTCGTGAACAAATGGGAAGGCGGTTGAGGATGGAGGATAGCGGGTCTTCGGGGGCGATGTCTTCTTCTGGTGTACTATTTGGTGCGTCCTCGGGAAGCATTGCTAAATGTGATTTGTCTGTAGGTTGTCAGCATTATCCTAGTTAGGAAATATTTGATCCAGTATTATTGAAGCGCGGCGGACTTCAATATTATTGGATCAAATATTTCCTAACTAGGATAATGCTGACAACCTACAGAGATCGTTCCAGTATGGTGATCTGCACTTCAGAAAGTCATAATACAGGTGGATGACGTGAGTCTTAAACTTGATCGAAATCTAATTCTCGGCGAGACGCAAACTATGACATCTACGCTATATTCCAAGGCTCTATGCATTCTCTACCAAGGAACAGGGTTGCCATCAAAGCCCACAAACTTGCCGGACAGGGTCTCCTTTGTAGTTTGGTCAATCTATAACGACTATTAGATATCATTCATCAAAAACATGGAGTGAGTGGCATATCTGAACAATCTGTGCTTACCTGTTTTATTAAACCAGAGGCACTATCTTGAATAGTAACCGGAATCTCTGCCAAACCCGCCATGTCAGCCGCATGCTCACCCATGCGTGTCTGGACCCAGCCCGGATGCAGAGCAACCGCGCTGATCTTTGGATTCTCAAAATGGATCTTGGACGTGGCGTAGTTGGCGGCCGCCTTAGTGAGGCCGTAGGCGATAGTCGGCATAGGAATAGTGTCCATGAGGCCGATACTGGCGATAGTTGATGAGGTGATAAAGAAGCGGGGGTTCTCCGACTTCTCTAAAAGGGATTTCGTGGCCTGGAAGAGCTTGATCGGAGCGATGGTGTTAACCTCGAAATGCTTTCGCAGGTCTTCCGGCGTCACCTCAGAGACCGGGCCCCACTGCGTGAGAATACCGGAATTGGCCAGGACGACATCGATATGGCTGATACCATGCTGTGACTGGAGTGATTCCACAGCATCTTGAGCATCGGTATCGGAGCTTGCATCGACCTTGACAACGATGAGTTTGCTTCCACTAGCAACAGGGACTTCAGCAAGTTCTGTCGCAGTCGAGTCAGAAATGTCTCGGAGAGCGGCGATAACGGTTGTGTTGGGTCGGGAAAGGACTTGGGAGAGAATTCCTTTGCCGATCCCTCGATTCGCGCCAGTGATAAGCCAGATTGACGACATGGCAAGGGTGAAAGCCTGCGGTTATGTAGTGATTTGATGGTAGAAGAGGGAGGATGGATGTTTTCTTGTTCGTATTGATGCTATTTTTGCGAGTAGGCTGGGCGGTTGATGGTGCACGAAAGGTAGGTATGAAGTCAGTGTTATATAGACGAAGGCTGGTGGCTAAAACCAGCTTTGTCTCTGGGGATACTTGAAAGCGTGCTTTTGGTTATCTACGCCCTCTAAGTTAAGCCTGGTTGGTGATGGGGATGAATATTTCCTAAACGGGAAAATGGCGCGCAACAACTCCTGAGCCAACAAGCGCTCGCCTCAGCTGTGCCGTCGTCCTGTGCTCACATTAGTAACACCTACCATGACATAAGGATAATCTCCAAATGGCGATGCCATGCGGTGCGTCAGGGACCAGATCTTAGTGCCCCATTCTGATAAAGACAGTCTACGTATTTACGGGAGAGAAAAATCGATTAGCAATCGACGATACTTACTAACTAACCCAAGCAGAAATCGAATATTTCCTAACTGGGATAATGGTGATTACTGACCAATCACATTTAGCCATGCTTCCCGAGGACCCACCAAATAGTACACTTCTCCGTACTGCGTAGTCAGAACTATATTGAGTGGATCCTTAATTATTCGCGGCTCCCCAACTTAGCGCGGCCCCCAACTTACTGAGGGGCTACGAATATGATTCAGCAGGGACAAAACCGATCTGGATAATGCCAGACAATCTCATTTTGACTCACTTGCCACATTATCAAGGGTTTTCTTCAGCCACATTTGGCAACCGCACCTGCAATTTGAGCGTCTATTCCATAGGTCACATGGAACTTAACAGCCAATCTTGTCAGTGAGTTCCCGGAACCTGAACAATTTATTGCAGCACTACTTATGTTCGGTCTCGACGTATGCCTTTCCCACCACGAGACTTCACAAGCACTTCACTTGCTTCGTTCTCATAAGCCGTCGCGTTCTCCATCTACTCCTGATTGGCCGACCACATCAACTCCCAAACATGGCCATCCGTATCTTCAAAAACTTCTACCATACATGCCCTCATCTCCGGGAGCTAGGTCGGGTCCGCTGCACTCTCTACCACTAATGACCATCTCGATACTGTATAGCAGAGAGCACTACAACACAGTTGAAGCTGTATTGTATGTCTGCGAAAGCCCCGTTTATGGCAGCTGACGGGGGGCAGCAGGTAGAGTTAGAGCCATTACAAGTTTGCCGTCACACATAGGACATTTTCCCTTCTGCTACACAAACTGCGAGCAGAGGCAGTTATATTAAACGTTTCGCATGATTTCAATATTCGACTTTTTTCCTAATAACACCCTGAATCACTTCCTCTGCACTCCCACACTAATCCGACAACTCTCACTTCGACGGACCTCAACTCCCCTCTGTTTTCTTCTTACTACCATCTGCAGCCGACACCCTCCTCCTTTAAACCTCTCAAATATATTCGCCATAGATCTTCCTTCTTCTTCTGTTGCGGTATCATGTAGGTTCCGTAGCTATGTAAACAGTTAGAAGAAAGCTTAGTAAAGTCACTTCGGTATACAATTTATCTAATGGGTTCGTCTGGTCGTATATTTTAAGCTTATCAGCAAGCTACTTCAGCAGTTTTCTGCATATAGAACAAGTGAAATGCTCTGTATCTGCCCATGATGAGTAACATGTCGCGTTGCCATGTTATGATACACATTTGGTGAGACGAATGCGAACAGTTTAGCAAAAGGCACGGGTCTTCTAAATACATTTGTTCTGAACAAATGGAACACTCTCCCGTTACTGAAAGGACTTCAGTAGTTCCTTTCTTGAAAAGCCCACGGTCGGTAGCATATTGAAGCGTAGGGTCTTATAGGCCTAACAGTATTATATTTACTCTTTTCAACGTAGCCTGAGCTTCTACATTGTCTGGATCGTAATCTAGAGCAGTTTGATACGTCCTTAATGCTTTTACTAGGTCCTTGACGCTTTTAAAAAAGCAACTACATCTGTAAAGGGCCTTAGACATCTTGTTTTTGTCCATGTTATCTTTGTGCCGAAGCGCAAATTTGTTCATGTCCATAAGTTCCTGGCCATCATATTTACTCATCTTGATGCAAGTTTGGACCTAGTTGGAATGGAGATCGAGCTGAAGCTGAATCTAAGCTGGAGATGTGTCTTTGCCATTAAGAATATGGAGGGCACTTGAATAAGTCTAAAATGCTGCGATATAGTTCTTCTGTCTGTAGGCCTCATTGCCCTTCTCCTTTAACTCTGACGCCTCCTTAAACAGCATAATTTGCTAATGTCTAGCGACAATCGGGCGTATTTTTCGACAGTATCTTAGCCTGGTAGCGGGTGGGAAGCGCTCGCGAAAGAGCCGTAGGCAGTAGAGGGGTATCGTTGCTTACGGATGTAGCAATACTTAGATTGACAGTAATGTCTACGGCGGTCGTTCCTCTGGCATTTCTTCTTGAATGTAGGATAATATGTCCCCTATTCGAACATCGATGGGCTGTCCTGCCTCGAAAATATTAGTGATGCCTTTATAAGGGGGTCGACACTAACTTTGGGATTAGTTGAGGTGTTTTGCTATGCTGGAAAGGCGCTGGTGTACGCTAGATCCGGATGACTTATAATTGAAACGCACATTTGCCTTATGGATAAATTCTAGCTAGCCATAATGGTGCTAGCGGATGATGGTGCACTGCGGCTGGAGCGTAAAACTTCAAATGTTAAACCCTTGAATATCATTGTAATTTTACTATAGAGAGCTGTTTGCCTTCGGGGAATACATGCATACCACGGTCTATGTAAAGGCTCATCATCGAGCCTTAAAGGAAACGGTAGAAGAAAGGGTTAGCATTGAATCGAATCTTAAAGAATATCATGGAAGACATGGTCATCATCGAGTCTCAAAGGCGGCTTAGGCTACAATAATGACAAAATTAAATAACCAGAATATCTCTAGTAATGACTCCAATGTCTTGGCATTGTGGCTCAAACAAATATTAAAGAGTCTACAAAGAGGAATCCGATTTTGAAGCTGACTGTATTATCCACATTGTGCACAGTAAACATAGCCAAGAACGCAAAGATGTGGAGAGACCTAATTATATTATAGAACTAAAGATATGTTCGACCTTTGTCGCTCTAGACCTTCTACTTCTCTATATGAGCATGGAATAGATTCGCTTTTAGATGCACCCGCCTATTATCCTTGAGCCGTTGCTCTATCGTGCCGCTCTGAAGCGAATAGCTTACTACCACCCCCCCATTGACGAGCTTTATTTCTCTGTTATTCCACTCTTGGAAACCTCGGCCGCTGAAATGTCCTAGTCCGTTTCTCAAAGCCTGCCAACAGGGGTAGGTCATCATGTCCACACTGACATCGTGGCCCCATTTTAGAGCTACGAGTGGTTATCTGCGCCTCGAATCAAGCTCCGTTAAAAAGTCAGTAGGGAAAGTAACAACTACAGCGTAAATCGGTCCCCATTGAAAGTCAATGTCACAAGGTCAGCTATTTTCAGTGCGGACACCCTCGTAGCTACTGGTCCAAAGGAGTGGGGCTAGCTTGCTACGGAGTTGGACCAAAGCTTCCTCCCCTAAGCCACCTGACTCCGTAATATCACCGGATTTCCCTACTATAATAGCAATAAGATTGATTACATATCTCAAATATCACTTTATATACGCTGTGGTATATGAGATACTCAGTAAGAAAAACTCGCAGTATATAAGAAATAAAGTACCTCGTTGTGGTATACGAGGTATTTGCTGATAATATTATAGAAGGGCTATTAAGACTGAATAGATCTCGACTAGACAGATCTTCTCAAGACCAACTCTATAACAAATAGCATCCCCTCAAGAGGATCCAGTCTCATTCCACTAGTATCCAGTGTGCTGCCTTCATTTGATACTTAAGCATCTAAGAATACGTTAATCAGTTTCGAAAACTGGTCCGCATACTCGTTCAGGAACCCGTGTCCGACGTCCGGGAACAAGTGTAGGTGGGCATCCGCATTGGCTAACTTCTTGAAAATGACCCAACTGTTGACTGTCGGGATGAGAACGTCGTTGTCGCCATTTGCGACGAGAACGGGGATCTTAAGTTCATGTAGACGGTCGTAGGAGCCTTCAGACGCGAAGTCACGACTCCCCCACCGGATGACGGCGCCGATCTGAGCATTGGTACCCTCAGAACCAACGTAGTCGGAGCGATTCGAGCGAGCAGCGTTCATGCGCTTCCACCATGTGTCGCCAAGGGCTTGCTTTTTTGCCGTCAGCGAGTAGAAAGCTGTCAAAAAAGCATCGCGCGCTTCTTGCTCATTAGACGCGGTGGCCAAGCGCTGAGTAGCAAGCGGGTCACCACCTTCGACACCTTCACCAGCGCTGGGCCCAGTGCCAGCCAGGACGAGCTTGCGAACGACAGTTGGTGCATTCAGGGCTGTCATCTGGGCCACAAAACCTCCCATAGAGAAGCCCAATACATCAATCAGGGGAATGTTCAGGGCCTTAACGACCGCGACGACGTTCCAAGCCCACTCTGCATACGTTCCGGGAACTGTGCCACTGCTCTTTCCAACGCCTGAATTGTCGATGAGAATGAGCGGGCGGACAGCAGCGATGGGATCAATCAGCGCTGGATCCCAGTGATCGAAGGTGCCTCTGAAATGCTGCAGGAACACTAGAGGGACGTCGGTCTTAGCTGTTGAGCCGAAACGAAGGTATGCGAAGCGCGTGCCATTGACCTCGACGTATTGAGGCTCGGCTGTGCTGTAAGTCGTCATGACTTCTGAAGCCAGGGCTGGACTAGGAGCTTTGGGAAATAAGGCTTCGAATTTATAATAGATTACTCGTGATGGAACAGTCAGGAGCTGACCGTGTTGTTATGCTTTCCCTGCTGGACGATGAATATAATGACCCAGGAGGTTATCCTCACACTCTTTATATATGTTCGTCTCGAGTGCATTCATAATCAACTCAAGTTGGTACGTAGTTAATTCGTCTCTTTGTTAGTGTAATCTAACCCATATTCTTGGACATGGGTTGGATTATCGTAGCGTGCTAGCTGATAAAAGGTTTGGTGTTGTGGAGTAGTTCCTAAAGAAACGTTCACCGCAAGCCAACATTTAGTAATCAAAATCATATGGTCGATTTGTGCGGAGAGCTCCATAGAAAATGGTTGTTGAGAGTTGATTGAAGGATTGATTGATTTCATGCTAGGGATGTGTCAAATACGGGCTTGAAACACACTAAAAGGCGGTGTATGAAAAGGGTAATACTCGCATTCGCTGCGAGGCTCGCACTGGGTGCCTATGTAACACGCGCTACTTAAGTTAATGCGTCCTCTGAAATTCGGTTAAGTAAGCACTATACCATTTTCCAAATTAGGGAATTCGCTCCAATAAAAATGGAATAAGCTCCATCTTATCCCTGTCAACGCACTACTGTAGTGTATCCACTCAGAATGTTAAAATATTACTCTTACGGTCTAGTCTAAAAAACATTGATTAAGTAATTAGTTACCATTTTCTAAATTAGGAAATTCTGAATGTTAACTCACGTCGGCAGTTTGAATCATCGCTAAAGCATAACTTCGGATGGCGATTTATCTGCCACTTTAGTCTCCTTGCTGATGAATAGACCCCGTGGCGATAGACTACAGTGGACCATTAAATGATTTGAAAGCAGGAATTACAGTGGCTTCACATTGCTGCTTACACACTCCTTCCTTGATAATATTAGATTGCTGGTATCAATTTCATGGTTCCCTCAGCCACTGAATAATCCCTCCTCATCTCTGTGTATATATGTATACTCAGATGGCAAACGACCTTGTATTTATCACTGGTGGCACTGGCCATGCCGGAGGATTTTACTCTTAGTAGCAAGCCGGCTTCCACAGAACCCGCTCATCTGAAGTATTTGTAACGCTGGGTCTTAAACTATAAGACTCACAGAGGTTTTGTTACGTTGGTTTACTTATCAGAGGAGGCAGGGGATCAGACACAAAGGCTTTCTTAAAACACGTTACAGTATATAACAAATACTATATTAAGTTGAGCACGAAGCTCCTATCTAAGAACTAACTATCTACTTATATAGTGGCGTCTTGCCAAATGGATCTTCTCTGCTACTTAGACGATCCCTAGGTGATACCTAGACGCTCCTCATACGATCCTGGATCACAAAGGATCGGGATCACGTGGTCTGGGTTCTCATAACCTCCTTTCGACTAATGACTGTAGTTTCCCTTATGCAGCTTCTCAGCCAATCCCTTGTCCGGCGCTAATGATGGGGTGGAGCCGTAACAGTATTAGGCCATGCAGTATTAGACCTTCACCCCATCAATCAGGATATCCACGCCTTCCTTGTTGTAAAAGCTGAACAGACCCTCTATAGCGCTGCTCTCATGCGTGGGATACGGGTAGTACCAGATCAGATTCTCGTACTTCTTGCCCTTTACAGTCAACGAAAAGTACCTGTCAAGCCTTGGTTAGCGCTGTTCGCTCAACCCAACTCCGTAGGCCGCCATACCAAGCTTCTCCCTTATACGGGCAGGCCGATTTCAGATCGCTCTTTTCCACGCTTCCCCAGTCCAGGATACTCGTCGCGGGGAGGTAGTATACTCCCTTAGCTCTAGTCTCGTTGAGAATCACAGCCACCTTTGACTGCGCGACTATCTCCCCGTTGACTTTGATCACAATATCGTGGGTGACGGCGTGGGTGTCGATGCGCTTGTAGGGGTTCTTGATGGCCTTGGCGAGAGCACCGTTCTCAAACCAGGCGTCTGTGTCCGTCTCAGATCACGACTTTGGCAGCTTCAATGCCATTGGAACAGCATTGAATAGATGGGGGGACAAAGCAAAGGCTATCTTACCAAGCTCGCTCCGGTCAAATCTGATATATCCCTTTAGTGGTCCATCGACAAACCTCGCCCATGTTGTCTTCTTGGATCCCACAGTCAGGCTCTCGATGATAGCATGTGGCTGGCCATCTTTTCCTTTGACCGTCTTAACTGGAGCAAGGCTGACTGATTCGTTGGGGCTGTCTGTCTTGATATCCTTGTGGAGCGTCTTTGCAGGAATGTAATACCGAGGATAACCAGTTTCGGTTTCCCAGACCAGAGATGGCTTTGCAGTGACGGTAGTCGAGGCGATATATAGACCCCCCAGCGCAAGCGTCAGTTGCTTCCGGCCTACTTCGGAACGGAATGTGCCATTGTTAACGATGTTGCTGACTTCAGCTACGTGTGTCGACGACATGACAGCGAGTATTTTGTTGTTGAGAGATTATCGTGCAGAGTGCAATATAATCCGGCGAGATGATAACTCTAGATGGCCAGAGCCTGCTGTCCGGATGAGTGGTGTATGACGAACATCAGCGTACTTATCAAACAACTCGTATATTCCTAGCACTCTGGCAAGCCACTGCAAGCGAGTGTTGATGCCGCTCTGTCTGATTCTTACAGACCACCTCTATATTCTTCTACGTCATCACCCATGGTGAAACCAGCTAGGCCATGGCCTGCCTTGGTCTGTGTGGGAAAATAGTATGCTGGTTACTTTGCGAACTAGAAGGACCCGCTTAACTCCGACTGCTGTTTAATGTGGCAAGGCAGTGAGCCGAACGTTAACCCATAGCGGAGAATCCCAAACCTTGATGTGTAAGTACCATTATCTAAATATGGAAATAAACCTAGCTCATATTAGAGCTACGAGGGGATACTCCGGCCAATCTAGCTCTCTTCGTCGTTACGGGATAGAAGAACATACATTTGTCCTAATGGTGGCTTTGATCACATCTGCTTACCATAACAGCACTAGAGCACGGTATTCTCCCCCTCACGGGAAAAGCCATCACCTGTTGGTACAAGCCGGGCCAAACATGGACAAGCCAATTTGGAGAGTTGGCAACCACAGTTGATGAATGCAGGGCTGAGCTTGTCGGCGCATATCTCATGGACGATCCTGAATTACTCTCGCTTTTTGGTTTCACAACAGACTCTGAGATTACAAACGATGACCATGAGTCTCCTTCACAGTCTAACATATGTTACAGCTACTCTAATGCATAATTAGTTACATATATCCTGTATCTCCAACTAGGTGTCGATGGCCTTCGAGGGCTACAGAATTTCAACATTGACAATAAGGTAAAGTTCCTTCAGATATACTGTTATTAACAATAATTAGCTAACCTTCCGATTCTAGAAATGGGGCCAGGCGCATAGCAGAGTAAGTAGCCTCATTTCTGCGTACTGACAATATGATACTAAAAAATCATCGAAGGCTCATTTCGCAATGTTGAAATGCCTAGTGACCGACGGGAACGGATTTATGTCTGTTAAGTGTGACTTAACTGAGAAAAGTCTAATCGTTCAGGTGGATCGTTCCAAGATCCGTACTCATGGCAAACGAGCCCTTCGAAATATGCTGTTGAGACTTCACATATATCGTTGTACAGCTGACATTCAGTCATGTCGCACGTATTATGAAGAATTGTCAAAAGTAGATGGCAAATACCTCGAATGGCGGGATATAGTTCTTGCGAATAAGGAGCCGAAATGGGTGTTTGTCCAGGCGAACACTTTCCTCCATGGAGATCAAGTACGCATCCGAGAGTATGATGCGACCGACGAAGGCGTCATCCAAAGCTGGGCAAAGCGGAGGGTGTAATGCTCTACCAAGACCTCGAGGCATTAATGCTGAATAACCTGTACGATTTGGAGTACAGTCTGAAGCAAAATAAGGCCCATCCCACCAATTATTATCACAGCCCAGAATGTGAGCCACGAAGCAGAGTCGCGCTTATCCTCCCATAATTGCTTCCAGGTGCGTGGCTTCTTCGACGCAAGGTGTCGTAGTAGCGGCAATAATCGACTCCGAAGAATGGGAAAATCATGGGATAGATCGTATGTCTCTCGCTCTTGCTTAGGACCGTTGGGATTAGATTGGTATTGTTTCCGACAACAAAGCTGTTCAAGAAATGTATCTTTTCCATTCTCTGGAATATTCTCAAATGGTGTGAGAGTCTGGAACAGTTGACGGCTTGCTTTACTTTGCCCGAACAGTAGGCGATATGACAGGATTATCTCTTGCAGCATATGGGCAACGTCGGCCTTTGTGGCCTATTGTCCCCCAGTGACATCCCGAGAAGTAGCACACGCATATATAGTACTGTTTTCAGACTGTCCAGGATCATCTGAAGGAATATTTGCGAGGCAAAATGAGGGATATCGAAAGAGAAAGAGTTTGTTCAAGTATGGATCGAACTCCATATGACACGACAGGCTGTCGACCCATTCAATATCCACATCGCCAATCGAAGATAGGATGTAGGCATTAAAATAAGCAGGCGACAGGGCCGTCTCGATGACACAATGCGGCTTGCATCCAAAGCTCTCACATTCCGTCAGAAATTACAAGGAAACAGACTCAAAACATGTGATTCTCTATACGATGTCGCAGATATGCTTGTCCGACAAGGGCGCCTTTCCTCAGCTATGTAAGTTTCAGATTCTCTCAGCTTGTTTGAATACACAGAGACTGGAGGCTAACGCTAAATAGCGAGCTCCTCAAACAGCTTATAGCTATATCAGAGACCTTAACCGAGGCCGAAGGGCAGCTTGCGCGAGCCAACTACAAGCTGAGTGTTTTGTATGGCGAGAAAGATATGCTCTCAGAGAGCCAAGCTTGTAAAGCTCGCGCTATTTCTCTGAGAGATAAACTGAGACCTGAAAGCAAAGATAGACCGTTTGAGGAAAGCGAGTTTATGAAGCTATGTCTTTTTATGTTGTGGTAAGAAAGAAAGGAATATAAATATTGTTATATTATTTTGCATTCCCCGTCACTCAAAGCTGCGAGGACATCTACGGATACTGTGCCTCTGATGGCTAATTACGGCTGACTGGCTGCCAAAGCAACTGTGCCAGTACGTTTTAAATTTGTGGACCATAACAACCCCTCCCTTCGGCACATGAATCGCTGCTGACGGGGCTGATTACGGGGCCACCGAAGCAACTGAACGAGTGATTTTTAAAGTTGGACCCCAGATTGCGTTCCGCACTGATGGGGATCGGCATTGGGATCGGGTGGAGAACGCTAAGCCCCGCGCCACGTCGGTCCTGCTTGGGTTAGCGTGGTTAGCAGCTCAACCCTGCTTATTTTTGGGAATCCAGCGGCACATTGAGCCGAATTGGGAATAGTAACATCCATCAACAACTTGATATTGTTCTATCATTTCCGGATTTCACTTTTAAGCTGACGGTGCGACGCTTCAGCCTCACCATCAACTTGCCGCCCCAGGTCTCGGCGTAAATCATCACTTGTTTGAGAAACTTACGAAGCCACAACGTGTTGACAGCAGCGGCACATTGAACCCACTTGGGTTATTATACGTCATGTTGCGATATTGGAACCCCGTGGATCTGCGACTGGCGATGAGAGACAAAATTTATATAACGAACAACATGTCGCCCTCCAAAGTTCCAGGACCAGCACACATCCAGTATAACAAAGCTTACAGTACTCCTTTGCTGTAAAGCCTTGGAAGATTCAACATGCGTTTTCCACTTTATAACCTACTTCTCATCCCGACATGTTCGAGATCAGTACTGGCAGACTTGCTAGTACCTAGCTACGAACCCCCCGTGGACATAGCCAGCAACAAAAGCCTTGTCGCTGTAGCATGGAGGAATGCTACGGCAACCCTCCATAAATACCTCAGTGATGGCAACGAAGACGGAGTCCCGGTTGCCATAGCTGCAATGAAGAATATCACCTTCTCAGTCGGCATGTTTTCGGTGAATGACCCTGCTGCCAGCAAAATGCAGTTCCACTACACCTCTCCTGAGATTGCGAATGCGCCAAACGGTACAAACAAGGTAGATGGAGATACCATCTACCGCATGGCCAGCGTTACAAAGGCCTTCACTGTCCTTGCAGGTTTGCTGGAACTGAACAGCACTCACTGGGAGCGTCCTATCACCGACTTTGTTCCTACACTTGCCAATTATACTCAAAATACACCCGGAGAAGATGATCCTACTCATATCACTGAATGGGGTAAAGTCACTCTCAGTGCTCTTGCGGCTCAGATTGCGGGGGTTCCTCGCGACCCATTTCTAGTTGGAGAAATTATAGACCCTGCAAAAATAACGGCCATGGGCCTACCACCTCTAAATCCAAACGACCCCCTGAGTCTCCCGCCATGCGCACTTCCCGAGAATTATAATAGCACCGACAGTGCCTGTAACGAAATACCGTCCATCGAGAGCATCCAGAACCGACCCCCGACGCTCCTTCCATGGACAAGCCCGGCATATGCAAACACCGGCTTTGTGCTGCTCGGCGTCGCAATCGCAAACATCACCGGCAAACCCCTGGCAGATGTGTACCGCGAGAGCATCTTCGAGCCCCTCGGCATGAAATCATCCAACGCCACGGTGCCACCCAAATCCGAGTGGCACCACTCTGTCATCCCCGACCTCACAGCCTTCGACATCAATGCCGGCATCCTAACCTCGTCGGGTGGCCTCCTCTCTACCACCAACGATATGGCCAAGTTTGGCGTCGGCATCCTCAACTCCACTCTTCTTCCCGATGACGAGACGCGCAAGTGGCTTAAGCCCGTCTCGCACACCGCGCACTTCGAGTACTCAATCGGCCGCCCGTGGGAGATCTTGCGCTACACGCACGCATCGGGTGTTATCACGGATATTTACACCAAGCTGGGCGACTCGGGCGCATACAGCGGTTTTATCGTCCTCTTACCAGATTACAATGCGGGTTTCTCGATTTTGTCAGGCAGTATATCATCGCTGCGATTCAGTGTCGTGGCGCAGATCGCGGAAGTCATCACTGACTCTATCGTACCCGCTTTGGCTGCCCAGGCTGCTAAAGAAGCGGAGAAGAAGTTCGCAGGCGTGTACAATTCAACCATACCAGGGCTAGAGTCGTCACTTACCTTGTCGGTCAACCATACTGTGGGCGCTGCGCCGGGTATAGTGATATCGTCTTGGACCAGCAACGGCACCGACGTTCTTGCCGCGCTGCCAGCAAGACTTGGACCGGGCCCATACCGGCTCGTACCATCCATTTCAGACTCGGAGTCGGGAACTGAGGCGTTCAGATTAGTCGCATCTCTTGATGCGCCGATCCCACCAAGCGCAGAGGCACCCAAGGGGTTGTTCACATCGATGAGCTATCTCGCCGCGGACTGGATTCTCCTCGATAGTCCCACATATGGTGGCATTGGGATATCGCTTTTTGTATTCAAGATTGGATCGGATGGGAATGTTGAAGAGGTCAGACCAGAAGCGTTCAGGGTCAGCTTGAAACGAACGGATTGGGGCTGGGGATGTAATTGAGAACAGGACTTGAGTAGTACTCCGCATCAGTTAGAATTTAGAATGATGGATTATTTAATTAGACCGTAATTTATGCTTCAGAAACTCCATTATATAAGCGTCTATATTCAAGAAAGAACATTAGCACCTGAATCAAAAACAAAATTGCAATTTATATACACGAAACTCCCACGTCCGTTAACATGAAATGAACTAGGCTACTTGAATCTGGAGTCTTCGTCAACCCAATCTCTAAATTTCACCTCAAATGGCGCCTCCAACGTCGCTTCAAATGCCGCCTCAAATGCCGCCTCAAATGTTGCCTCTAATGATGCCTCTAATGTTGCCTCTAATGTTGCCTCTAATGTTGCCCCTAATGTTGCCCCTAATGTCGCCGGATCTCTGCTTCCTGCGAAGTATGGACCCGTCAAGGCGTTTTGAGGGGAAATCTGGGGATTATGCTGAGCCCCAAAAAAGCTCAAATCCATGGAACTAGGTCCTAGCCCTTCTCCCTGTTTAGACTGACCCCCGTTTTCTGATAACTTCGCTACAGTTACCAACGGGTCATTATCATCATAAGGGGCGCCGTTATCGTTGTAAGAGGTAGGATCGGTCGGGGTGGAGCTACCGAAAGAGAAACCATCGCAAGGGTTAGGGGTGTAAGACGAGCTCGCTGTGGTACCGAACCTAGGGTCTTGCCCAAAGACAACAAAGGAGGGCGGTTGCGCTGGTGGACTCATTGTAGGTTCTAGCTGCGCCTGAGTAGGCTCGGGTTCTGCAATCTTTTGGCGTTTGATCGCTTTCCGCTTCCCCAATTGAGGCTTCGCTGCTGGACGTTTCGCCAGTTGGCGCTTCGCCGTTGAACTATTCGGCGGTTGACGTGTTGTCTTTGGTGTCTGTGCTGCCTGTAATTGTTCAAGTTGCCATTGACCTATCCCCTTCTGGAAAATCTGTGCGAGGAGAATGCGCTGCGGTTCATTGAAATAAGGGAGGTTTCCCATCCTTGCTTGGTTAACAAGTTCGCCATAAACGCGACCAAGAAGTTCCTGATGCGAAATAGTCACCGTAACTAATAATGGTTAGCAAAAGCTATAAATGGAGCTAGAGGGTATACTGACATGGATTACTAGGGATTTCGACGTCAGGAAATATGATGTACCAGGCGACTAGCCACTTCCCCAGTTCAAGTCGCGCTGCTGCTACTGTAGTGCTAGACTGGTTGATGTAGAGCTTGAGATTAGCATCAACCCACTTGTCGTGTTCGTCTTTATTGCATACGCTAGATGCAATTCCATGCTTCGCATATTGCTCTATAGCTTCCTCGACTTTTTTCTTCCGAGCTTTAGTTATCCCTTTCCGATTTGGTTTATCATTTTGAGCTTGAAGATCACGATGGCTTAGCTTCTCACAAGGAGTGAGCGATTGAAGCAGCTCTTCATGCTTCGTCCAAGAGCACTCATCCTCAAATAAGCGCTTGCAGCGCTGGCATTCCTCATAGAGTATATGGTGATTCAGGTAGTGGTCGCTAGTTAGTTGTCAGCATATATTATATTATGCGATTCGAAGACATACCTCCACAAACGCCGGAACTCGGGTGCCCAATGCCCCTTCCCATTACAACACGGATATCTCGCTGCCGCATGAATACAGAGCAAGGGAAGATGATGAAAACCCTCTGCAGGTAAAACTTCGTGAGAATCTATGGCCAACACGTTTTGATCTTTGTTCTCTGTGTCTGTGCCTCTGCTAGGTGAAGAAGATTGGCCTTCAAAGGGTGTTGCACCGCCATTTCCGGTGGCGTTGAAGCTTCCACTCCCAGTGTCCCGGCTGGGTTCGCCTTCCGGTGTGTCTGAGAGAGGTGGCGTAGTTGTTGAACTTCCACACTGTTCGTGAGTCTCGTCAGGGCATTCCGGTATGGACTCCAGAAGCTTAAAGCTTGGAACCTTGGGGACGAGGATCTCTTCGGAGGCAGGACACTTTGAAGAAACGTCCTTGCCATCCACATCCACAGCTACTTGAGAATCGGCATCGTCCCAAAGCCGTAATGGAGTCATATCTATATCCTCAATGGCAATGAGACCCTCCAAGACTGGTCCATCTGTTTTGCCACATATAGTTCGACTATTCGTTGGAATTAGTGACCGGAGTAGCACGTCGTTGAGTGGAATTGGAATCGCCGATTCGTGCGAGAGGCTCCACCCTTTCTTCTCAGGACGACGCACTGTGATGTTTCCGATTGCGGTTCCGCGTAGAATCTCCGTTACGAAGGTCGATAAGTCCTTGAAATACTTACTTGCGAGGAGATGACCCAGAGTAGGTTCTTTGGTCTTGATGACTGAGAGGTGGCCGAGGCGTAATACCTTTAATGCGGGCTGTGGAGGAGTAGCCGATCGTGTAAATGGAGATTCTGGCACGGATGACTTGGAGTCCTGCAAAGCGCAAAAGGAATAGTGGCCAGTCGATGCACCTCTGATGCTGATAGGTTTGTCATACCGTAAACCGTTGTTGGGCCCATGATTGATGGAGTGTTGTCGGTGAGGCCGATGAGAGCGGCCGACGTCGGTGTCGTCCTTTGCTGAAACTATGTAACATTTAATTCGATGTGGTATATCCTCGAAATATAACCGTTTCGCTCGATTTGTGGATGCTTTTAGGCTCGACAAAGCTTTTCGGGCTGTCGTTTTCAACTTCGCCCTGTTCGGTGATGGTGGTGCGGCCACGGCGGCCCGCGCCGTAGATAGTTTCTTTACGAATCTCTGTCAGCTTCTCAATTAAATCCATTGCGGTATCCACTTACCAGTTGTCCAACATTGTTCCTCCGGCTTGATGGAAGAACGTCAGCCATGGTGTTGGTGTTGGCGAGTTGCAGGAGCGCGCTCCTCCGCAATGAGGGATGAGAGTTGATAATTAGATAGCCTTAGTAGTTGAAAGTGATGATCTGGATAGTTGTTGTATAATGAAGGGTCCAAACTACACGTCTTAGAGAAAAACATCTCGCTGTATCCCGCGATAGTGGGATACTGCGATGTTCTGCCAGCCTTAGAATCTGCGAGATCTCGCAGAATGCCCAGTTCGCCCGTAAGTCTGTCAGACCGGTCGTGAGGGGCTGCGCTACTATTCCCGTAGTTATGAATTTTGATGTGCGGCTAGCAGGGTCCAAGAAAGGACTCCCATCGTATCATTTGAGGTGAACATGGGTGAATTGAGACAGTTACGCTTTTTGTGAATGATGCCGTTTTTATGCTCGACACCATAAAATGACTAGAAGATACTCTTGTGGGGGGCATGGGATCAGAGTTGTTGACAGAGCCTAGGGGTTGCCCATAAGACTCAGTGTCGCTGTGAGCGTTCATAGCGACTGTGAATACTATCGAGGCTTTCAGTCTCTTGGAATTGTATAGCTGCATATTATCATATTCTGGGTGTTGCGAAGGCAAGGTGCTTTAATCTCGAACTCAAATGAGGGGTGGTTGTATCATCTCAATGCCAGTGGCAATCCTTGGCGAAACAATCCATCTTCAGAAAACGCCCCGCCCGGTCGCCACAGTACCAACTTGATTCCTGACCCAAAATTCTACTTGCGTTAGCAACTACAGTAAGGGAAATGAGAGTATACTCTCAATAAAAGGTACGGTCTCACTGTGTCCGGCCAAGCACGTTGCAGATTTGAGTTCTTATAAAGTAACCGTCGCATACTCTCCTTGCGCTGTAGTTTGGTACAAGCCCATATATTATTCGTAACAAACGTCAACGCCGACATGAGTACCTCGCAACTGAATGCCCCCTTCCTTTCTCAACACTTTTCAGCCCGCCGTCACTCACGCATGCGCATTCCTATGCGCCGCAGCCTCAACCGCCCGATCCCAATCCGTCGTAGCGAGGAAGAACCCCTCACCCGCTGCCACCAACCCCAGCCCCACCGCAACACCGCCCCACAGCCCCTCCAACTTCCAATCAAGGCCAAACCCCGTCCCGAACGAAATCGGGAGCGCGATAACGTAGTAACAGAATAAGTTGATATAGCCGCCTATCTCCTGCCTCCCCAGGCCACGCAAGAGCCCATTCGACAGAGCGGCAAGCGCATCAAAGAGCTGGAACGCCGCGCAGATAGGTAGGACACGCGCGACGAGCTCGATAACCTCCGGGTCGTCGGTGAAGAGCTGGGGAATGTGGTGGCGCAGAGTCGAGAGCAAGATGACGTTGAAGAGGCCGACGAGGACGGCGCCGTAGATGGCCACCTTGGCTGAGGTGCGTGCAGCGCTCGACAATGTGGCGCCGATGAGGTTCGCAACACGCGTCGAGGCGGCGATTGATAGGGGGAACGGGATCTGGAAGGTGATTGCGCTGACGGTTCCGAGGACCGATTGCGCAGCGAGATGCGTGGTGCCGAAGTAGCTGGATGCCAGGACGAGGGCCTCGAAAGCAAGGAATTCGGCTTCGACCATAACGAGACCTGGCAGAGCGAGCTTCACCATTGGGCCCCAGTTGCTAAGGGCGCGGTGGTTGAAGCCATTCCAACATTGGTGGCCGTCGATGAAGTACACGTAGAGAAAAAGGAGGATGGGCAGCAAATTATGGGTCACTACAACGGCGATTGGGGCGCCAATGTAGCCCCATTCGAAGCGCCAGACGAAGAGCCAGTTCATAAAGGCGTTCAATGGCGCTGCGATAAGGAGGACATATGTCGTCGCGCTGAAAAGACCTTGCGCCTGGACGAAACGCTTGCCGCTCTCGAAGAGCGCATACCCTGGGAGCCCAAAAATTAGGACGCGGAGGTATAGGCCAGCTAGGTCTGCTGATTCCTTCTCCGGGACTATGGCTTCAAGAATTCGGTTTGAAAAAAGCCAAAAAATCCCAATTGGAATGGAGAGAGACCATAGAAATAGTACCATTCGTTGGCATTGAAGACCGACTAGGTGCTTGCGCCCAGAACCGTATGCCTGGGCACATAGCGTATCCAAACTGGTTGCCAGTCCCTGAAAAATGGCATAACCAGTGATATTTGCCGACATGGAAGCCAGAGAGACTAGCAACAAGTCAGCGTATTTCACTTAAGATTTCATGCCATATCTTACCAGCTCCCAACTCGATCTTCCCAATGTGTCCAACAGTAAAGATACTCGCCACCGTCAGGGAGTACTGCAAGAGGAATGTAATAATCAGAGGGGCCGAATATTGCGCCAGCGTCTTTGCTTCTCGCTGCCATGTCGTCTCAATCTTTCCTTCGCGAACTGCATCCTCCCATAGCCTATTCAACCTCTCGTGGATATCCCTAGCCGACTCGGGCGCACCATGTGAGAGCAAAGGAGAGGTTTCACTTGGCTGGGCTGTGAAGCCGGGAGCGAGTGCCTCAGGGGCCTCGTCGTCACCTCTGGCTCTTGGTACTTTCGTACTGAATATGCTACGATATATCCTAGATGGTAACGCTTCATCCTTTGACCGTGGGTGCTTTGGAGGCGCGAGATGATTGTCTCGCAGCAGGCTCTCTTCTTCCTTCCTTGCCTGCGCAATTTCTCTCTTGCTGAGATGATCGATTTCCGGATGCTGTGGGGCTATAGCGGGCCTGTTTCCTCCTCCAAAAGCAACGAAGCTAGGCCGCCTATAGGAGCCTGACATCTGGTGAGTTGGGCGAAGTGTGGAGGCCTCGGACTCGTTGTCGGAGCCCTCGCCATCCCCGCACGAGTCTATGCTGGCGGCATCGTCACCGCCGGAGCTCTCCGCGATATCTCGAGCGATTGACTCCTGTGCCAGTGGCGAACCTGATCGAAACGAGCTGCCAAAGTGCGAGTGGCCAGCAGAACCACTGCGTTGGCTTGATGTACCAGCAATGGGCCGTGATGAGCTCCCCGTGTTTCTACTGTCGTCTTGGTCAGTACTCGGCACCCCTGAGACGTTCTTAGCCAGATATGGCACGATACTTACCTCATTGCCGAATTGATTTCGTTATGTACTTATATCCGAGCAAGAATGTAAATTAAGGTTAAAGGGAGTTGAATGCAGCTGCTAATGCTGATATATGACTGTAGCCAAATTATTTCGCTCTCGTAGCTTGGTGGAGCTGTCAGGAAGCTTGGAAAGATCTGCACAACGAGATCCCGAGGCTATATAACAATACCCTGCCAATTAGGACGTATGAATTGTATATTTAAGAAAATGTCTAGCAGGCAAAGCAGATTCAACTATGTGCCAATGTTCCGCAAATATAAAGCAACGTAGCATAGTATGGGAGAAGGGGAAGGAAAAAAGTGTAGGTGGCAACAGTCACCGACCGTTGTACGCCGTTGAGACACCCCACTAGATTACCCTTCGCCCTTCATGAGAGACCCTTGTTTTTCATTGCGGTAAGTCATGGTCTTAGCTGTGGGGTAATCTCCAATGGGGTAGGGCGAGCCGATACCGAAGGCGACCAGATGCTCACTATCTACGCCATACTACAATACAAGCACATGAGTAGCACATACTATTGTGGCGCTATCACTCAATCGCCCCATCTCTTTCATCCTATAAATCCACTAAATCCCACAATCCCACGACCCCGCTCGGAGAAACCACCGCCGCGCCGCCCTTTGTCTCACTAAAAGGTTACCGATGACCGATGATCAAAAGCTCGTCCCTTCTTCAGCCACTGAAGCGACAACCACCAAGAAAAAGCAACTTTGAAGCGACGAAAGCCACGATCTCTCTTTCTATATATATATGTACTACCCGCCTTGCGACTGAAACATGTCCCTAGTGGCAGACCCGGAAGACGCGCACAGGATTGGCGCGTATCGACCGTGGTATCTCCCGTTTCGCTCGAGGAATTGCAACGCCGATCCGTACGTCCAAAGCGGCTCCTTGCCTCGAATTTTCCGAGACCTGAGGCTGATGGTGCATGATACAGATACCGCAGGGGCTCCGCCTTTGCCCATGCGCCGTGGTGGACTCCGTTGATTTTCGAGAATGACAGCAGTGATGCTCGCGACCACTGTGCAAATGAGAGGAGTACGCAGCTTCCTTTCCTCCCCCGTCGCTCCTCCTTTGTGCGGCTTCACGTCCTCCTCTGCCGCTCCTTCCCCTCCGTCGTGCCTTCCTTCGAGGGTTCTCTTCGTTTCGAGTCGTGCCTTCCTTCTGGAGACCCTCCAGTTGCTCGGCCGCGCCTTCCTTAGCAAATTCCTGCCTTTCCGAGTCGTGCCTTCCTTCCGCAGACTTACTATATTCACCATCGTGCCTTCCTCCGCAGATTGCACTTATTCCGCATTGCTCCTTCCTTCCCCACCTTCCATACTATAACACAGCTAACATTTCCCACTTGCAGCTTTTCTCTCCTACCTCCGCCTCTCGGTCTATATGTCGGTAGTCTCCATAGCCATCATCCTCTCCTTCCACCTCAAAGACGAACCTTCCGACTTCGAACTACGCATGGCCCTACCCCTCGGCATCGTCTTCTGGTGCCTCGGGCTATTATGCCTCGTGCTCGGGTTTGGAAATTACGTCAAGACGATGACGCTATATAGCAAGCGAGTGGCGCTGGTGCAATCAGGTTGGAAAACACAGACTGTCAGTCCTAAATACCCCGGAGGATATCGAGTTGGCGCTGACGGAGGATTAGACATTTGGATTGGTGGCAGCAAGTATAGTAGCCGTGTGCATCCTGTTCCTGGCTACGAATTCGACAAAGGATTCATGATATCCCGAGATAAACTTATGAGTTATAGGTTGGCTTTTTGGTTACGGCGTTTTGGCGCGGTGGGAATTATACATGCGAGGGAAAAGGGATACTATACCATGGAGGGGACAATTATTAATGACTGGATATACAGAACAGCGAGTCGAGCAATATACCCAATTTTCATAGCTCTAGGGACTAAAAATGCTTCTATGGTGATCGCTTCGCGAAAAATATATACAAAACGGCGTCGCTATTCTATGCATCTCATGAGTCACCCTCCCTCCCCGCCACCCCTCATTTTTCCCTACCTAATCTCTCCGCCTTGTCTTCTACCAGCTCATACGCGGGTCTAAACTTATCGTCCTTTGTCCCATCTCCCTTATCTGCCTTCAATGCCGGATTGGGGTGCGTATCTGTAGTCCCCCCCAACGAGGTATAGCCCTGGTCGTATAACCGGCAATATGGCACTTCCATCGCTCGAATAAACTATTTGCAGCATTAGCCTAAGACCGCAACCCAAGAAATCGAGAAAAAAGAGAAACTCACCCCCCAAATCTCGGCATAGTGCCAATCAATCACCGGGTGCACCCGCATAAACGCCGGCCAGCCCTGATCTGTGGGATCAAAATGCGTCAACAGCATTCCATGCGGATCTGTCCTCCTTGTTCCGACAAAAATCGCCTTCACCCTCGGCTCGTCCTCCAGGTACTTCGCAAACGCCGCCTTCATATCCATCGCATACCGTGCGAGCCCCAGGGAGTAATCGGCCTCTGACTCGTCGACGAAGTCATCCACCTCCTGGAAAGGGTGGGGGGAGATAATGTAGACGCTTTGTAGGCGGGCGGGAAGCGGGGCGGGGTGAGTCGCCAGGGCGCAGAGGAAGAGGATGAGGAGGACGAGACAGTCTTTGCCGCCGTTGTAGGATATAGATATTTCCTCCAATCTGTGGAGTGTTCTCGTCAGTGGTGTTCTGTGGCCATTGTACAATATCTCCGGTTTCCATTGCTTTGCCCTCCTGTGTTCGGCAATTGGACAGATGGGAGAATGAAGGCTTACGTGTATTTCTCGAGCGCTGTGGTGATCACCCCCAGCGCCGTCCTCGTCTGCTCCTGCACCCCACGCAGCATCTCGGACTCAGGCTCGGCAGCCAGGAAAGCATTTAGTCTAGACGCAAGCTGCGCGCACAGCGGCCTAATGCTGGTATCCCCATTGCCGTTGGCCAGCTTGGGCGCGTCGTTCTGGGTCACTGTAGCGACAGCGGGAGCGCTCGATGGCATCGCGGATGTCAGCGGAGTGTGGTGCTGTCCATGTGCGATCTGGTCAATTCAAGAGGAAGCGATGGATGCGGCTGGAAAGTGAGTGAATCGGCGTTCCGAGGTGGGTTATTATTCACAGCCGGGGGTGCATGTGGCGGGGTGGGGACTAGCGTCGGTCCGGTCGGCGTGTCGGCGTTGAACAGTAGGGGTAAGCGAGGTACAGAGTGAGGGGTAGTACTGAGTAGCTGTGGGTGAAAAAAGTGGACTGGATTTCTGAAATGGGGTATAATAATTTTGAGGCTCTAACTACTTTATGAACTCTACAACAAAAGCTATCCCAGTAATCCGGATGCGAGAGCTTCGAGGTCTTCGAGTGTCTCTGGCTCGTCTGCCGCCTCGATGATGTGGCGACGAGATTTCTTCGTGGCGGCCGCCTTGGACTCATCCTCCGAATCATTCTCAAACCACTTCTTGGCTCTCTTCTGTGGTCGCTCATCTTCTTCTGCTTCACTCTCATCACCCATTGGCAATGACTTGAGGAATTCCAGTGGATCTTCCGCGTCGCTGCCGGCATCATGTAGCGCTGGCGCTTCATCGTCTTCATCCATATCACCCCTCTCTCTCGCCTTCCTCTTGTCCTTCTTCTCCCTCCTCTTATCCTTAGCCAGCTGCTTATCTTCAATATCTGCCTGCTTGACCTTCGATGCCTCCTCCTCGACAAACCTAGCGCGCTGTGCCTCGGCAGTTCCTCTAGCCTTGAAGTCATCCTCATCCTCAAGCTCATAAATGTCGTGGGCGTTGCCATCAGAGTCGTACACGGTCTTGGTTCCGTGGCCCTTCAGCTTTAACATCTTCTTCTTAGACTTGAGCATCTTCTCGCGTCTCTTCGAGTCGATGACAAGCTCCGTATCGTTCGCTCCCTTGACAATCTTTGGCTGAGGACCAGCAGATGCAACTTCCTCCATGTCCTCAGGTAATTCGCTGTCGACTGGGATGAGCCTCTTGACGGACATGAAGTCGCCATCCTCATCAGAGCCAACATTCGCCTCACCATCGGCACTCTCCTCGTCCTCTGCGATCATCTTCGTGTAATGACCCGAAAGAACATTCTGGTTCTGCATCTCGAACATTCTGTCGTACTTGGTGCGTACCTCCTTCTTGGCCTTCTTCCCACCAGCCTCAGAACCACTCTCCTCGTCGCTTGATTCCAGGGTAGCTCTAGGCGCATTCTTGAGCTTCTTCGCATCGTTACCTTTCTGGAACTTGATTTTGGGTGCACCCGGTAGACCCATGCTAGAGGCAAATCCCTCGAGGTCAATTTCGTCGATCTTAAAGATCTCCTTGTCTTTCTGTAGGTATACGGATCGAGTGTAACTGACAAATGCCTTCTGCCCGAGGTACTTGAGCTCTGGATCTTGAAAGCACATAACTTGTAGCTGCTTCTGAACACTTTGCTGTTTGTTTGTTCGGACCTTGATCTTCTCGATCGGGACCTTCTTGTGTTTTAACCGCGCAAGCATGCCCTCCTCCTCGGTTGGGTCCAAAAACATAACACCTCTACCTGCTCTTTCATACCTGGCTGTTCGGCCAACACGGTGGATATATGTGTCGGCATCTTCAGGGCAATCCATTTGAATAACCCAATCCACGGCTGGGAAATCAAGACCACGAGCTACAACATCCGTTGCGAACAAGCAAGAATTTTGAGAAGACGAGAACTTCGATGTGATATCTAGCCTTGCCGTTTGTTTTTGTCGTCCGTGAAGATGAAGCAGTGGAATACCGGGTTGAATGTGTCTGAAACTTTCGTAGACAAATCGTACTTGCTTTCCAGATGACATGAAAACAACTATCTTCGCCTTTAAGTTCGCCCGTATGAAACTGTACAGGGTGTTCAGCTTCTCTGCCAGAGGTACGACAATGTAGTGCTGTTGCAATGTCGTAGGCGTGGCGCTTGTAGCAGCTTCATGCACCGCCACATACTCCGGCTCTTTCAAGCTCAGTCTTGCCAAATCGGACACCTTCTTTGTCTGCGTCGCACTGAATAGCATCGTTTGCCTGTCTTTGGGTAGATGGTCCAGGATAGCATCCACGGAGGTTTGGAAACCCATGTCCAAGATCCTGTCTGCCTCGTCCAGTACCAGCATTTGCAGATTGTCGACTTCAAACGCGGCCGTTTGGTCCATGTGCTGCAGCATTCGACCAGGCGTGCAGACCAAGATGTTCATCCTGCCCAACCTTTCACGCTCCTCCTGTAGACTCCTACCACCAATAACCAGGCCGGCCGAGAACGAGTGGTACCTCCCGATTTTCCTCAGTACCTCGAAGATCTGGATGGCCAGCTCTCGCGTCGGCGAGATAATTAGGGCACCTAGCCCATCCAACTCGGTCCATTTTTGGCGATATAGGTTCTCAAGAACAGGGACAAGGAAGGCCAGAGTTTTACCACTGCCTGTCTTTGCAGCACCAAGTATGTCTTTGCCTTTGAGGGCGAGCGGTATCGCTTTCGATTGAATATCGGTCAAGGTTTTGAAATGCGAAGCATCGAGGCCTTTGGAGGTAGGCTCCGATAAGGGAAGGTGTTGGAAGTCCTTAATGTCTGCGACTTTGGGATCCTGTAGATTGCGATTAGCACTGTTCCTGCCTCCCAATGCGAGTGATGGGGATGTACCAGTTCTTTGATCTCCTTCTCTAATCGCTCGTGGTCATCCACAACCCTTTTCCTCTTTAGCGAACGAGCATCATTCTTTGGCTTCGCAAATTTGCCAGCCGTTTTACGACCATTTGGAGGCGCCATCTTTATTTCGCAAAGCCGGATGCGATGTTGCGGTTTTCAGTGCAGCCTCGAATAATCTTTTCGATGGGATTTGGCGCTAGCACAAGGTTCTGCCAGAGGCGGTGAGAAATTAATTTGGTGGGTCCCATGTCAAAAGTTCCCATCTCTGAGAATCTGAAGCTTCGATAAGCCCTCCACCACTCCGCAAACAATACGCAACGGAGAATGGTTCCCAGAAACAATCGCCGGGCGGCATCGCCTGCGATGTCAGAAAATGAGTTCGATATTACGAAATCCCTCTTCAATGAGGATGTCGAGTCCGACGACGATAACTTCGGCGTCGCGGGAGAAAAAACTGATATACCCATGGATGGAGTCCTAGATATGGCTCTAGAGAGCGACGGCGAAGGCGACGAAGCATTTATTGCTTCCGAGTTGGCAGCTTCGAACCGAAAGTCTTCGAATGTTAAAGGCAAGAGTGTTAAGAAGGGCGGTGGCTTCCAGGCTATGGGACTCAATTCGCATCTGCTCAAAGCTATTGGACGGAAAGGATTCTCTGTGCCAACACCCATTCAGCGCAAGGCCATTCCTCTTATTCTCGATAGCCAGGATGTTGTCGGTATGGCTAGGACTGGTTCCGGAAAGACGGCGGCATTCGTCATCCCCATGATCGAAAAACTAAAGGCACATAGCGCGAAGGTTGGAGCGAGAGCGCTGATTCTATCTCCGTCTCGTGAGTTGGCACTGCAGACTCTGCAGGTTGTCAAGCAATTTGGCCGTGGCACAGACTTGAAGTGTGTGTTACTGGTGGGTGGAGACAGTCTCGAGGAGCAGTTTGGATTCATGGCATCCAATCCGGATATTGTCATTGCTACACCTGGTCGATTCCTCCATCTTAAGGTCGAAATGGGATTGGATCTGTCGTCTATGAAGTACGTCGTGTTTGATGAGGCAGATCGCCTCTTCGAAATGGGTTTCGCCGCTCAGCTTACGGAAATTTTGTACGCATTGCCGTCATCAAGGCAAACGCTGCTCTTCTCTGCTACGCTACCGAAATCGCTGGTTGAGTTCGCAAGAGCTGGTCTGGAAGAGCCTTCCCTCGTGCGTTTAGACGCCGAGAGTAAGATCTCGCCAGATCTCCAGAGTGCCTTCTTCACTATCAAGAGCGAAGAGAAAGAGGGCGCGCTCCTCCACATTCTTCATGATCTTATTAAGATGCCAACTGGGCCACCCCCAGCCGCAGTTGCGGCTGCAGAGGCAAGCAAGAAGAGGAAGCGTGGTGATGATGGACGAGGCCCAAAGCACAAGCCAACAGAACACTCTACGATTGTATTCGCGGCCACAAAGCATCACGTCGATTACCTTGCATCCCTGCTACGTCTGTCTGGTTTCGCTGTGTCTCACGCATATGGTTCTCTGGACCAAACGGCTAGAAAGATGCAAGTTGAGGACTTCAGAACTGGCATGACCAACATCTTGGTCGTCACGGATGTCGCTGCCAGAGGTATCGATATTCCTGTGCTGGCAAATGTGGTCAACTACGACTTCCCTCCACAACCTAAAATTTTCGTCCATCGTGTTGGTAGAACTGCCAGAGCTGGCCAGCGCGGTTGGAGTTACAGTCTCGTTAAGGAGACAGATGCACCCTATCTACTGGATTTGCAGCTTTTCCTTGGACGGCGCTTACTTCTCGGACGTGAGAGTGGAGACTCTCCAAACTACGCTGAAGATGTCGTTGTCGGATCGGTAGTACGCGACAAGCTTGAAACAAACCAAGAATGGATCAACAAGCTTCTCCGTGACGATGATGATCTCGCTGCCCTCCGCGGTGTCTCCGTCAAGGGTGAGCGTCTGTATCTCAAGACTCGTAACTCTGCTTCAAGCGAGAGTGCAAAGCGAGCAAAGGAGTCGGTTGCATCCGCACAATGGATACAACTCCACCCGCTGTTCAACACCGAGACGAACAGCAATGAGCAGGCACGCATCGACATGCTGGCCCGCATCGCCGGTTTCCGCCCTACTGAAACCGTCTTCGAAGTTGGCTACAAGGGCAAGGCCGGACACGGTGAAGCTGCAGAGGTTATGCGTGCTCGAAGACAGAAAATCATTCCTCGTCGCCAGAAGGCCATCGATGACGCCAAGGCTGAGGCCGGAGAGCTCACCGACGATGACGACACGTTCCAAGGCATTTCTACGGCCGCGCCAGTTGATGACGACGACGATGATTCAGACATGGAGGTTACCATCTCGGGCGGCAACGACGTCGACATGGCCGAAGCCTCAGAGGACGAGCTAGAAATCACCTTCTCCAAGTCCGCGCAGAAGGGCAAGGGCCGCACCCTTTCCTACAAGGACTCGGAGAACTTCATGTCCTACACGCCCAAGAACCTAAACGCAGCTGAGGAACGCGGTTACGGTGTCCACTCAGGCTCCTACAACACTGCAAGCCAAAACTCCAATTTCGTGGAGGCAGCTCGCGGTGTGACTATGGACCTCACGAACGATGATGGTGCGAAGAGCTTCGCAGAGCCCAGTCAGGCAAAGGGAATGAGATGGGACAAAAAGAACAGCAAGTACGTTGCACGTGCTAACGACGAGGATGGATCCAAGGGCGCGAAGATGATCCGCGGAGAGTCGGGACAGAAGATCGCGGCGTCGTTCCAGTCAGGACGTTTCGACAGGTGGCGCAAAGCGCACAAGGTGGAGCGCCTACCGAGGACTGGTGAGGCTGAGCGGGCTGGTGGAGTGGGTGCTTCAGTTGGAAGAGGCATGGGGACGAGGTACAAGCATAAGCAAGAGAGGGCACCGAAGGAGGCAGATAAATACCGTGATGATTACCATGTTAGAAAGAAGAGGGTTGATGAAGCCAAGGAGAAGCGGGTTGGGAGATTCAGAGATGGCGGTGGCAAGGGGGAGATCAAGAGCACGGAGGATATCAGAAAGCAGCGACAGTTGGAGCAGCGAAAGAAGGAGAAGAACGCTCGGCCGAGCGGGAAGAACAAGAAGAGGTGAATATAGCGAATTGTGGGACGGAGAGGATAGTAATATTAAATCTATATATCCTGAATATCTGTAACTTCGTTGTGAGCTTACACTCGTAGCTGGTGATGTCGTTGACCGTACGTAAATTACAATGCCCCCTGTCGCTTCGGCAGATCTGTAGCCGTCAGAGTTCGAATGCAGAATGTACGCCGAGAAGAGCCTCCTGTGTAGAATATAGCTTCATCGAATTTGCTTGGGAGGGACCTCATCGACGCCGTCTGACGGAAAGCGGTTGTATCCGTATCGCCCCATACTGCCAATTTCCCCCACAGCCCACACCCGCCCCTAGATCTCCGTGAGATCTCTGCCAAGGTCCGTCATCTCTGGCGGCCTCAACAGCAACTATTCGCAAAAATTACGATCTGCAGATCACCGTGCGCTCCGAGTGACACATTCCAGGCCCTCCGAAGCCTCCGATCCCAGCGGAGTTTACCCCAAAACTCAAATAAGGACGACGAATCGATCGCTTCCCTCCAGTACCAAACATGGGCGTTCCTGTCTCAGAATAGGCCCGACAATGAAATGGGGCGTACCCCAGACTGCCAAGTACCAGGACGCGGGCAACTTCCCTGGCAGGCCCTCCCTTGGCGTTATTGCGCTCAGACTCGGGGCCGCCGGGATCCCCACCACAGGCTCGTATACAAGTGCCGCGGGATACGATGGCTTCAAAGCAAATGCCGCAGCTATTGTTTTAGGGGGCGGGATGTACGGGTGGCGCCTAAGACTATGGGGATTGAAGTGCAGTGGATAGCTGGGGATTTGAGAACTGCAACTTGAGCTGATAGAACGTATTTGAATCATTTTAGAGTGAGTAGCTTGTCGAAAATGGTCTGAAATGGTTATTATTATAGTTATAGGTAATTAAATGCTTCTATTTGGTCGTAGTTGCCGCGTAAATATGTATGGAGAGATGGGGTTTCAAGCCATCCTCATGGGCTTTGGGTCGCACGGGTATCGTCGTCCTCCTCTGTGCTGATTGCACATCCTGTGTGCTGCACTTCCCCTAGCACCTCTTGCGCCCCAGAACTTGGCTGGACAAGTTCCAATGGGTGGGTATAGGGGGGTCGCTGAACTCATTCCAAAACTCCAATACTAAGAGCCAGTCCCATTACGTCCGAAAAACATGTGTAAGTTCGATAAGATGTATATCGATGGAAACGCCAGCATCAGCGCCATAGGGTATATCTGTTCCATCCCCTTACCAAGCGCCACCCTCAAAGCTCAAAGGGGTCTTTTTAAACCTCATTCAACCCATCTCTAGAGCCTGCCCTATCGTAGACTCTGTGGCCCCTTCCCGTCATCGGAAGTCGCCTCGCTGAATGTAATATCCACCTCCACATTCCTCCTAATCTCCTCCGGCCGCGTGAGAATATGCTCATCGCTCGACCACGCCTCAGTCCGCCGCCCCGACCCCTTCCAGCCGCCAACCTGCGCGCCGAATGTGTCGAGGGCATGATGGTCCTTGTCGCTCTTCGGTCCACTCTTACTCCTGTGTCCACGCGGGTAGCCCGACGGCCGATCGCTGTAGTCCTTGTCGTTGGAGAAGAAGCGCGGGACGAAGCGGGTGACGAGGGGTTTCAGGGCGGGGATGCTGCCGGTTACTACGGCGAGATTGGCTTCGATCGAGGAGATGGTGTAGCCGACACCGTAGGTCTGGTCGTGGTTATTCGGGGAGAAGCGCCAGTTGTAGACGACGATGCGGGCGATGGATACGGCAGTTACACTAGGTAGGTTAGCGGAGCTGTTTGTAATTAGAGGTTGGGATGCGGTCTTACATAGCGCCAGCGCTTAGCATGCCAATAGCAACAAGCTTCCTCCTCCGTGACATCTTCAGGTCCCAGACGATGACCGTCGGGATAGCTAGCACAATCAGGTCGGTCAGGACGGCAAGTCCTGCGCTAATAAGGAAGAATTGGACCTGATGAAAGCAGTGCCCTCCTTTTACCACCTCGCCATTGACCTTGCCGTCGCTATCCGCGCCAGCTGCTATCTGAGCATCGTAGTCCATCTGGGCCGCGGCGTAGACATAACGCGCTGGGGTGCATTGGAAGGCACAGGCGAAGACGATGGCGATTGCGAGAGCGAGGTTTAGGGCGAGTGCAACCCACAGAGAGATCCGCGCGATGCGGTGCGTGTTGCCGATTCGGAGAAGGAAGAAGATCACGGAGGCCTTGACGAGGGAGAGGATCGGGTTGTAGAGCAGCTGGTTCGCGATGTTGTACTTCCCGCCTGTGACTTTTTGCTCGATGCTAAGATGCGGGATGTCCGCTTTGTGGTAACCCTGCCAGGTGTAGAGGGTATCTGGTGATGGTCAGTATGTCTCGTGGTGAGCGATGGGGTGTGGTGTTGTAATACATCTTATAATAACACATGATTCGGCGGCGACGAGAACCTGGCTTGATTAGGATCTATGTTATTTCTAGGCTCGCGCAGACAGCTTACATAGGCGGCGAGGAGGAAGCCATCACCTATAGTTCGTCAGCTCTCCATACAGGAAGGGTTGGAATAGTATTTCCAAAGCACAGCGCGGCACGAGTGAGACTCATTGTTGTTGATCGGTATATCACACGGCACGGGATAGCACAAGCTGCCCGGCCCCAACGGAGTGAAGGCACACGATGAAGATCGTAAATCGTGACTCCAGCACATCCAAACTTCAGATGAGAATGACTTACTCCACTTTATTAATTTGTCGTAATGCCTCTCCGTCTTCACTTGTAAGATTCTCGCGCCGATGCGTAGAGCAAAAAAGACTGTACTGAGGAACAACGAAACCCCTATTATGGCCAACGCGGCCGGCTGCAGCGTATCAACCATGCTCACGAGGTATCAACACAGTGCATAAATCGACGTTGGCAATCGACTGTGCCATGTAGCGGATCATGGAGAGCGATGGGGCAGCGTGAGGGCGCCGGCGGCGGCGGCGATGGACATCTTAAAAGCCAAAAATCAAAGCCCGCGTCGCTTGGAGATCGCTCGGGGATCATGCAGGTGGAAGATTACGCTATGAGATCAAAGAAATTCTGCAACATGCATATCCCTTCCTTTCCCAGGTTCTCGGAATGGTGGCTCGGCGTGAACAAAATGCCGGTTCGGGGGTGGATCGGCCATCGGGACCCAACCCATTGCCCGCTATCGCCAGGGATTCCCAGCCATTGCCGGCCAATGTCACCCACATATTTTCGGACATTGTCAGCCATACTCAAATCATTCTCAGCCAGTGCCAGACAGTTCGTTCCGGCCATGCCCAGCCAAATGTCAGCCAATGCCAGCCTCGTTGGCCGATCCTGGCATCTTCTCCCGCACGTTAAATCATAGTACGAGCATAGTACGACACATCATTGGACATCAAAGCGTCGGCGTGGAAGGATCGAGGCAAGGTCGTGGCAGGCACAAACAGGGTCAAGGCCGCATCCTTTCAAATATCCCTTCAATCGCAGCTGCCGCTGTATGTTCGTGCAGGTACGCATTGACATCCCGGCCCACATAGCATGATGTTCTCCTAACAGGATCAGTACAGCATCATTGCACATCACTACGCCAGCGCTGCCAGCACCTTGCTAGAGTATTACACTGTATGGTAAGTACCACATCAGCACCATAGCAGCACCATATCGTCACCACTACGACCCACTGATCATTGCCCGCCAATTTGAGAGATGTGCCTTACTACTCCCTTACTAACTCCTCTTTCGTCTGCCTGTGCAGGACCAGATTAAGATGTCTTATATGTCTTAAACAATGCGTTCCTCCTCCTTTTCCAACCACGTTTCGTGTGCGGCACAACTCACGCTCCTCCGCTCCTCATTTCCTCATTGAGTGCCCAGCCCTCGGAGACGCTCTCCTTTCGCCCATCGGAGCTGAATATCCTCCTTCCCGAACCGTAATATCCCTTGCTGCCACGCGGGAATATGATGCGCCGTGTCTTACTCCTCGCCGGCATCGTCGGTTCTGCCGCCGCGTATCCACAGGGACCCGTCACTGCCAACGGCGCGAAGCTCTTCGACTTCGAGAAGGCTCAATTGACAGAAGACATCCTCTCTAAGTTGGACGATGTTTTCCAGTTCGATAATGGCGATGACGTGAAGCTCAATGGCCGTGGAGCTGGTGCCGACTGCAAGGTCTTCCCAGGAGACAGCGCGTGGCCGTCTGATGCCGCGTGGGCAAAGTTTGGTAAGGCCGTTGGGCCTGGTGCTTTGATCAAGACCGTCCCTCTGGCCTCTCCTTGCTACAATGGCCCGCTATACGATGCTGCCAAGTGTGACGCGTTGACTGCCAACTGGACAAACTCCTTCCTCCAGTAATTATATCACGTGATGATATCACAGGGCCTCGCTGACTCTCATTAGTATGGCGGATCCTACCTCCATGATGTCGCCAGTGTACCAGGGTTTAACCTGTCAAGTAACTGAGGACCCTACTCAGTCTTGCACTTTGGGTGCCCTGCCCTACTACGCCGTCAATATCTCGACGGTTGCCCAGGTCCAACTGACAATCAACTTCGCGAGAAACAACAACATCCGTCTCGTTGTTAAGAACACTGGCCATGATTTCTCTGGAAAGTCGGGTGGTGCTGGGTCCCTCAGCATCTGGACTCACAACTTGAAGAATATTAAGCACATTCCCAGCTACTCCGCACCTGGCACCTCCTACACCGGCCCCGCCTTCAAGGCTGGTGCCGGTGCCCAAGCCTTTGAAATGTACGAGGCAGCAAACAAGAAGGGATTGGTGGTTCTCGGCGGCGAGGGTAAGACTGTTGGAATCATGGGTGGTTACATGCAGGGCGGTGGTCACTCACCTCTCTCGTCTCTCTACGGCATTGCTGCTGATCAAGTCCTCTCCATGGAGGTCACCACAGCAGATGGCAAATTCGTCACTGCCGACTTCACGCAGAACACTGATTTGTTCTGGGCCCTCCGTGGTGGTGGAGGCAGCACCTTCGGTGTTGTCACCTCTCTCATCATCAAGGCGTACCCCGACATGCAAGTCACAGCATCCAACTTCAGCTTTGCCGTTGGAGGCGACGTCACGCTCGAGAACTTCTGGATCGGCGTCCGAAACTACTTGGATTACTTCCCCTCCCTTGCCGCTGAGGGTATCTACGCTTACTGGTTCATTCTTGCCGGCGAGACCGGCCCAACCTTTAAGATGATGCCTTTCTTGGCACCAGGCAAGACAGCCGACGAAACCAACGCTCTCCTCGCGCCCTGGTTGGCCCAGCTAGCCGCATTAAACATCCACGTCACGCCCGTGACCACTAACTACGATAACTTCCTCACTGGATGGGAGGCTTCCTTCCCCCTTGAGGTCGTTGAGAAGACCCACGTCGCCAGCGGTTCGCGCCTCTGGCCCAAGGAGAACTGGGCCAACAAGGAGTCTCTGGACGCCATGTTCAACGCCATCAAGACCTCCTCCGAGGCTGGCCTCATTATCATCGCATTCCTCATCGATCCCTCCGCCCAGGCCACCCCACCCGACAACGCCGTCAACTCCGCCTGGCGCAACACCTACTCCCACATGATCCAGTCCGTGTCCTGGCCTCTTGGTGCCAGCGCCGAGTTCCAGAAAGAGACGCGCCAGAACTTCACTTTCGGCGCCATGCAGCGCTGGCGTGACGTGTCGCCCGGTGCGGGTTCATACCTCGCCGAGAGCGACATCCTCGAGCCGAACTTCCAGCAGAGCTTCTACGGAAAGGCGTATCCCCGCCTTCTGAAGCTCAAGAAGCAGCTCGATCCCAAGGATGTCTTCTTCGCGCAGACTGCTGTCGGAAGTGAGTTCTGGCAGGTCGTCACTGCGGATGGGCTGCCCAGCGGAAACGGAAAGCTGTGCAGGGTCAAGAAGTAGGTGTTGAGGATGCCGAGGGGGGGGGCCGAATGGCGCTGCTGCCTTAAGCTGCGCGCTTGAGAGTTCTTCTTCTCATCGATTTCGATCGTGATCTAGTTTGGGGTAGTTAAGATTTTATGTGGACATGTGAGTAAATGAATGCCAAAGGCAATGTTATGAAATATATGCGATTCGGTAAATAGAATAAATATCAATGCCACTTCGAAAGGCGAATTTATTACGACTTATTTATACATGAATCAAACTGTTTATTCTGTCTTGTAATTATAATCATATCTCATGAAATATTGCATCATATAAGCTACTATATAGCCACATGGGTACTTCTTTCGCGGGTAAATTATTGTTCAGACGTGTCATTAAAGTTTAGCTTTCTCGGCGCTTTATATTTGTTTGGTAGTTGTAGCGGAACCTTTCCAACTACCGATGCTGCCGATATCCCGCCTCACAAGTGCGCCATGAAGGCATTCGTTTGTCAGCACTTAGAACTGGCATATCTGTTATTTTGAGATATCAGAGCCATAAACTATACAGGTAAAGTTAATTATAAAGGTCTACATATAGAATCCATTTAACAATTTAAATCCCAAATATTTTCTCAGATAATTCCCAACAAAAACCGCAATAAAATATATATCATATACTACCTCAGTCACAAACGCAATGGATATCAAGAAAATGGACCAAGGCCTCCTCAAACGCAACCCCTCCCTCACCCCCGCCGAATTCTCCCACCACTGGTACAACGTCCACGCCCCCCTCGTAATCCCCTTCTTCCTCCACTCCGGAATCCAACACTACGAACAAGTGCGCTTCCCTTCCCCCCCCCCCCAACCCCAACACCGCGCTAACCAAACACAGATACACGCCCCCCTCTCGACCTCCGATCCCAACCTCGACATCTCAGCCTGGGACGGCGTAGCGGGCATGCCGCCACAGGAGGTCCTTGATGCGCCGTCGACGTTGCCGAAGTGGAAACAGGATTATTATAGGGAGGTGATATTGGTGGATGAGAAGAGGTTTTTGATTAGTGCGGCGCTGGAGCATATTTTTAGGGTTGGGCCGGGGACGGTGGAGGGGGAGAAGAAGGTGGTGATTAAGGAGGGGAAGGCGCTGGTGGAGGTTGGGGAGGAGGTGTGGAGGGTTTGGAGGGAGTATGAGAGGAGGGGGGAGGAGGAATAGGGGTTTGGGCTTGGCGTTGGGAAATGTGAAGGGGCTTTGGAGGTTGAAGCAGAAAGGGTGAGGTCGTTAACCTGGGGGTTGGAGCTAGAAGGGGTGTGATCAAGCTATGGTTCTGCAGATTAGATCACTTTTGTTGAACCCTTTGTGATTAAGGCATCAAAATGTCAGTCAGAGCTTCACACATGAGAAAAACAGAAGATTATCAACTCCAATTCATGTTTCATATTTACCAGAGGCCCTGGTTAGGGAGCAAAATGCTGCCTCGGTAATGCAAGTAGGAGGACGTATGAGCACTTCAGCATTGCACCAGACAAATACCGCGGAATAAAGGACACCTGACACCTCCTGCGGACGCCCATACCAAACAACAGGTGAAAAAAACATACTCCGGAAGCTCCGATCAACACAATAGGCCAGGGAACACATTCTCTAGCTCGGTCAGGATTCCTGCCCCAGAGCGTTACTCAAACTTGGATTCGGATATGACTGCAGCGACCTGTTGACATCGAACCAAGATCTCCTCCGCGTCTGCCACAGTTATATATGGCAACAGTGCGTGAAACAATTCGGTGCGTTGAACTGATTTGTCACGAAATGCGGCTTGAAAAGCAGCTTTATGAACTTCGATCGGCGCGATGCTGGGAGAAGGTGATCCCTGACGATTCGGCGTCTTGGAAAGCATGGGTTCCGCGAAGGAGCTCCTCTTCCTCTTCTTTGATATTAACAACGTGCCGATTTCCTCCTCTGGATCTATTTTGCAGGATGGACCCATGAAATTAGCTTGGTATTTAACAAAACAAGAAGAACCCTAGTTTAGAATGGTGGGCAGGAGGAATACCTACCAGTAAAAACGTCAACCCCACTTCGATTTCGACCATTGAAACCGTATCTTTGATCAATGATGTCCGCGATAGATGAGTTGTCGACTGATCTTGGGGTTCTCAAATTTGACTGTGGAGGCTGGCTGGCTTGGGATCGCGTGGAATACGGATTTTGAACGCTATCTTCCGTATCAACGACGTCTTTTGGCAAACCAGTCTTTGTGTTTACTGCGTATCGAATTAGTAAATGTTGATGACTCGAGAAGGGATTCCCTACGATTGTTCAGCCGATAATGGTCCTCAGATGCCAAGTTGCGGTCTCGAGTAAGGCCCTGAGGCCAGTCCGGGGGAGTGCTGTCGGTGGCATTTCTTGGGTAAGACTCAAAATCCTCCACGTAGAATGCGCCGTCTGATGCTCGGCAATATAAAAGCTCATCGCGCCATTCGGCCCAGTTAGGATACCTCGCCTTGAAAATATCCGTATTATACACAACAGCTGGAAGCTTGATATGGGCCTTGCCAGCACCTCGGAGCTCGAAAAATACTGTTTTGTTCTCGCGCTTCACCGGGATTGCAACCACGGCTTTCCCATCTGGGGTCAATAGTTCGCGGCCAAGATTTAAATTGGTGCGAATAACCCGAATGTTGAAATAGTCACCAAGGTCACTTTCGTTGAGGTTACATTGACCTTTCTTGATCAATCCGCAATCAATGGCAATATAGAGACTGCCTAGCACTCGATCAGACAACTGGTGCATGGCTAGAGGTTTCTCCTTGATGCATTGCCACAAGCAGGTAGTTCCAGGGGCTGGGTCCCAAACAGGTCTCTGGAGGACCTCATATTGAGCTGGTGTCTTAGTCATCGGATAAGTAGGGTCGAAGATGGATGAGAGAAAAGTAAACAACTCACACGAAAGGTGAGTGATGAATGGGCGAGGGCCAATACCCTCCAGAAATAAATTGTGTGGTGATGGTGGAAGGTAGAAGTTGTGGAGAGAACAAAGTCAACATAAAGTATGAGAACAACAACAAGCGAAACAGAAGTGAATTTGACAACAAAGCCTCCATAATTAGGCACGACAACCCGAGGGAGAGAAACCAGGCGCGTCAGTTTGAGGAAGAGAGACTGGGCATAATAACCCGAGGAAGAGAACCTGGGGAAAACAGCTCAGGGAAGGGAGACTCAAGAAAACGGCCCAACAAGAGAAACAAGGCAAGACAAATAGACAATAGAAACCAGGCTACACCCCTTTACTGCTCTCCTTTATTTACTTCAACTTCTACAAATCCAAAGTCTAAATAAAGGACTAAGAATTAATGAAATATAAATGACCATGGATGCATTATCATTTTCAGACACCCCTTTACTATGCTTGTTGTGTTGGATACCGTGGACGGCACGTCCAGTTCGTCGTCTTGTCCTACTCGGTGCATCCCACCAAAAAGAGAATAAAAAGGTATTTCAAAAGAGATATATATGTTGGGCATGGATTCGAGCAGTCCCAAATATAAAGCAACTTTACCTACTCCTACTGTGGCGTCGGATACACATGCGATAGATATATAGCCATTGCTCTGGCCCTGTAGATTTTAAAATCGTTGAATGATGCAAAAGTGAATTGTTCTATTCTTTGCAGTAGTTAAATCGATGATATATTCACAGGATTACTACGATAATGTCGCAAAAAAACGGAAAAAGAAAAAGCCAAAAAAATGACAAAAAAATATAATCAAGGATTGATCCCAACAGGTTGTTTCTATTGGAGAAACGGCGAATCGAACGCCGGACCTCTTCTATGTTACAGGAGACGAATCTCAAGTGCTAAAGAAGCGTTATACCACTAAACCATATCCCCTTTTTTGTTGTGTCTGTACAATTATTGATTCTATTATACTTAGCGAATGTGCGTTTCGGTTGTATCATCGTTTCTCCGAGAACCCTACCAACCCGGAAAAATACGGCTTGGTCACGTGAAATTTTATTTCCAATCACTCCCGAAATCATCACTAATCCGAGTCTATTACGCTCTCCCCCTCGCCGTTCTTACCACGTCCATCGTGTTTCTTTTGTTTACCTGCATCAGCGACTGACGCCGGCGGTTCTTCAACTACCGTTCTTTGTGCGATTGACTTCTTTAGACCTTCTTTCCGGTGCTCACCTTCCTCCCCGTTTCCACAATGCTCGCCCGCACTGTCGGTCGTCGCGCGCTGACCTCCCGCGTCGCCTCCTCGCCCTCCCGCAAATTCCTCACCACCTCTGCTGCGCCGAAGAAGCGGACATGGAAGGGCGCCGCGGTTCGCTGGGGTTTGGCCGGAACTGGACTGTACTATTATAATACGACCGATATCTTTGCGGAGCAAGAAGAAGGTATGGCTTCCCACCTTCCAACCTACGAGCGGCACCGGCAATATCAGGATTCATGGAGCATGGGCTAACTATTGTGAAGCTGCCATTAATAGGTTAGAAGAGAGCATCCACCATATCCAGCAGAGCGAGCTCCCAACCATCGAAGCCATCGTTGCCGAGAAGCGCGCACGCGCCGCTGCCCGCGCCGCCGAGGATAAAGCAAAGGCCAAGGCCGCCGCAGCCGCAGAAGCCGCTGCTGCAGCTGCTGCAGCTGCACCGGCATCAGAAGAGTCTGAGGGAAGCGCTACCCCTGCTACCGAAGGCGAGGACGAGAGCGCAGCCCCAGGCGGCTCAATCGAAGACCTCGAAGCGGAAGCCGGCCAGGAAGGCGCCTTCAACCCCGAGACCGGCGAGATCAACTGGGATTGCCCCTGCCTAGGCGGCATGGCACACGGACCCTGCGGCGAGGAGTTCCGCGAGGCGTTCAGCTGCTTCGTGCACAGCACTGAGGAGCCGAAGGGAATGGAGTGTATTGAGAAGTTCAAGTACGTGTTTGAGTGCTTCTGGAGCGCTGACCCGGCGCTGGGGATAGAGGAAGTGGAATGATATGCCATGGGACACTGCTGATGCTGCTCGTATAGGGGAATGCAGGATTGTTTCCGGGCGCACCCGGATATGTACGGCGCGGAGCTCGAGGACGAGGAGGAGGAGCTAGAGGCTGAGATCCGGGCGCAAGAGGCGGCTAAGGCGGAGGCACGGGAGGGTGAGGCCGCTGCTGCGGAATCTCAGGATGATAAGGTCACGCCGAAGAAGGAGGCTCAGGATGTCAAGGCGGCAGTGAAGGAGAAGGTTGAGGAGAAGACACCTGCACCAGCACACCCGGAAGCGGCCGATGCGGTCGAGAAGGTGCTGCCGAAGACGGCATACGATGCGACTGATGCTGATGCAAAGGTGGACAATGCCAAGGCGTAGATTGGCAAAGGGTGAATTGACAAGAAGGGTGTCTGGATACCAAAAAATATTAGATGGCTAGCGTCCCGAGAGCTGATTTCAACATGGGAACAGCGCCGGCGTAGGCAGGGAACCTGACATAGTGCTCAGAGAAGGCTAGATATTGGAGTGTATATATGTATACTACTACTTTAGATGTAAACCACCATGTAACACGCAAAAGAATAGAAACTCCACCTCAATCGTCGCAGCACTTGTCCTCTGGTACTGAGGGTGTGAGACGTGTGGACTCAATTAGGTCTGAGATTGAGGCAGCGAAGGGAGATGGAGAGCTCGCGGCAAACGTTCCTAGACCCCCCTCATGGCAAAGCAAAGAGAATGGATATTTGGACTGCTGGAAGGGCTACTAGGCTCGATGGTGCCTTCATCTACAAGGCAAATACGGAGCTCGCACAGGGCCGTTGATTGCAACAAACCTACGAGATGTAGACATGGCACATAAAACAGGGAATCCGGACTGAACAAAAGTGGATCTAGCTCCATATGGAATTTAACCCCATTGACAAATCCTTGGACAAGGCGCGCAGAAAAATGCGTGTGAACGGTTCCAGTAACAGTCACCAATGACCCTTTTGTGGTCTTGCTCGACATCGACGCCAGATGACAGTGGCATAAATTCTCGGCAAGATTCTTGGGCGGTGACAAGAATGGCGCGGTGACAGTCCTCGACAAGTTATCTAAGCGGTGGTAAGAGCTGGGCTGTAACATCATCTTAAAGTTCATATTATACTACCATAATACGAGAGATAAAAAACCGCAAGCATTTCATTTAACACCTCTATAATACAATGGGCCGCAGCCCCAACTACTCGCACACCACACTAAGTAATCCCATGCTTCAATGAGCCGCAGCCCCAACCACTAGCAAACCAAGTAATCCCATGCTTCAAGCCGGATTTGTTCTTAGATGCGCACACTATTCAACCTCCAGTCCAGCCTCAATAACCCTATCATTAGCCTCCGCAAAACAAAGCACCCTCGGGAAATCATCAGCCCCCTTCCCCTCCCCAAACTTCGATCCCACAATAAACAACCCAATCTCCCCGCCCTTCTCAAGTAGTCCTCCTTCAGCCTCTGTACTCCTATCCATCCGAACCAAAGCCGACCCACAACACCCGGCACGGATACTAGGCTCCCCATACGCCACAGGATCACTCATTGCGAAGATTTCCATGGCAACTTTGTCTTGGTCGGGTTGAGAAATGACCGTTATGCCTTTACATAACATAGCCGTATGGTACCCCATAGCATCGTCATCAACCATATAAACATCATCCATCCTCAACATATCACTCCCAAGCAACTTCCCCTCTCGACCCTGCCTCCCCAGCCGTCCCACCTCCTTACTCCGCTGCGTCTTAATCCTAATCCCATTATAATAAAACAACTTCGGCCCCTCATGCGCAAACCACCCGGGACACCTCTTCAACCTTTCCGCATGCTCATATCTAGACAGCTCCGGCAACTCAACAAAGATCTCGTTATCGATGAAACTCACAGCCAGCGCATCCGGAAACCCCTCCCGCATTAGTTTCCAAAGCGTATAGGTCTTGGGGATATGATAAAGCCGGAGATCCTCAACGTGATCACCGCCAATCTCAAGCTGTATCTCCAGATTCCCAAGGAATCCACCCATAATCTCGGGGGGGGAGACATTGTCCTTCGACGAGCCAGAGGGCAAGCAGGCCGCCGATTAAGAATGGTTCTTTTTGAGGGCGCGGGGAGGGCGTTTAAGCACCAGATTATGAGGTAGGGTGGCATTTCGTCGATTGTGGTTACGCCTGGGTAGTGGGTTCGCATGTAGTGGTAGAGTTTGCCGAGGTTGGAGGAGGATATCATTTTGTATCCTCCGTTTCCGTTGTCCCAGGTGAACTCTGCAAATGTGAGGGATGTTAAGCCGCTGCCGAGGTTGTTCGTTTGGTCGTTGAGAGAAGACATCTTAAATGTGCGGGTGTTGTGTGAAATATGAGAGTATTCCCAATATCCGTCATCGTCTGTGACCCAAGAAGGAGAGAAAATAACCATCCATACCCCCCCATTTTATAAGCTCATTCCACGCTAAACCAATAGCTCTACAGTCTAAACCACAATAACCTAGCCACTCGTTCCTTCCCCAACATGGCGTGTTTTCAAGCGCTATTAATGAGAGTTGGAATTTAAGGTTTCTATCAAGCGGGAGCTAGGCGCTAGAGGCCGCCGCTAGGATTTGGAGCTTCGATGGCTCGGCTCATCTGTTTGTTGCTGGGTTATTGAGAGAAGTTATTTTGTTTTATGGTTACTGTGGACAAAGAAGAGGTATAACAGTGTATATAGTATGTTTTTATGTTTGAAGGTTACTGTTATGCAGGGTCCCTTCGTCAGGGCTATTTGCGGCGCACGAGTAACAACAGTTCCTTCTCTCTAAATTATGTGCACCCAGGAATTCACCATACCACCTCCATACAAACACTTCTTACATATAGAAGATCCGTGACGGGACCTACGAATACATTCCCAGTGCCGTGCCCTAAATTGGAATTTTCGGGTGCTGGTAAATAGGAGGTGGAGAGACATTGCAAGTATCGCCATCATATAATCATGGAGAGAATAAATAAATAGAAAAAATTAAAATAAATAACTTACATTAAAATACGTATATCACAAGTCACACAAACCACAAGACACTATAAAAGAGCAGAGTAGAGCAAGATATATATTTTCATTTCCCTCCCCATGCAATCTATTACAGCTACTATAATCACACACACACACACATTTACCCTCCCCTCTCCCCTCCCCCCCCAAAAATCAAAAACGCGCAGATAGCACCGCCAGCCACATATTTTTCACAAATCCACAAATCCAAAAAATGCAGACCGCAGTAACCCCCCCTTAAAAAACAAACAAAAAAGACCAAACTAAAAAAGAAAACGTAAAAACAATCAAAATGCTCCGTGCCAAAATGCAAGCATTCCCCCGCCCCTTCTCCCCTCCCATTTCACAACAGCAAAACGCGTCGACTACATATTAGCCAACTCCCCATCAATAGCCCTATCCACAAACGCCCTCCTCTCCACCCCACCCACCCCCCCTCCCAACCTCTGCTCCACCAGCGCCCTAACCTGCTTCTTCGTAACAGTATCCAGATCCACATCCGCCAAACACGCTCTAATCGCCTCCACGATCGCCTCATCGCTAGGTGCACCTGGTGCGGGGCTGGCACCACCCATCGGGTAACCTATCGTGTTCCTGTTCCCTCCCCTGGCGCCGGGGCCGGGGGATGGGGAACCCATTCCGCCGAGCAGGTTCTCACTCGATGGGAGGGTGGAGACGTGGATTGTGTTCGGCCTCGCCGCACCGTAGGGGCTGTCGAGAGGGGAGCCGAGGGATAACATACTAGGCTGCCTGGTCACCTGCTGGGGTTGATCCGCATACGGCGAGGTCGAAAACACAGACTGCCTGCTAACCTGCCCCTGCTGCCCGGCTCCATACGGCGACGGCATAGGCGGGGGAATGAAGCTTCCCCTCGGCGCACCGCCACCCCCGAAGCCCATGGTAGAAGCAGGCTTAACGGAGGAGTAGACAGAGCGGAAATCATCCATCTCGTAAGCGTCATCATACGGATTATCCAATTTCTCCCCAACTCCCCCCCCAACACCACCCCTGCGACCGGGTAGGGCGTTAGCAGCGGCGTAATCGTCCCACCTCTGCAGCGGGATGGAGCGGGGGTCAAATCCATCATCGTCGATAGCTACGACGCGCTTATCCCCGGACTCGCCGATGACGATACGTGTGGAGCCCCAGGTGAAGTTATCTTGGTTCCAGAAGGAGTAGACGGGGAGGACGAAGGAGTAGATGGGGAAGGCGAGGATGTAGATTATCATCCACCCCACGTGCTGCCATTGCCTCTTAAGAATGAAGATGATAGCTTGTAAACCGTACACGCACGCGATCATGATGATGGAGATGAGCGGGAACTGGGACTTCCCCAAGGCGACGGTGGTGATCAGGTAGACGAGGTAGACGCATGTAGCGGGCAAGATAACAGTACCGAAAAGATCGATGAACACAACAAACCTCATACTGAAACAGCAGAATCCGCACATCTCCCTCAACCGCACAAGCTCAGCCAGATTATGAATCGTGGAGTTGATCCAGCGACGACGTTGCGACAGGAGGACAGACCAGGTGTCGGGCGCGGCGGTGCTGGCGTAGGCGTCGGGGATGAACTTGTACGACATGTAGGGGAAGTGCTTGGTCATGAGCGTGGTGAGGAAGCGATCCTCGCCGAGGGAGAGGAGGTTCTTCTTGTGCAGGGTGTCGACGTCGCAGTCGGCGTATTCGCGGACGATGGCGTCGGAGATGAGGAGGGGTTTTCCTTTGTCGGCGGTGCGGAGGCGGTACATTGTGAAACTACTTCAGTTAGCAGGCGCCTTTTAAGGTCGGGATATATTAGAAAAACTCACCATCCAGGCAAACAAGTAACACTCCCAAACAGCGACTCAAACGCCTTCGCCAAATGATGCGAGATAAAGTACTCATAAACCTGAATCATAGTCCACCAACTCTTCTCCTCATTCTCCAGGCTCGTCTCCCCACACACCCCCGCAATCTTCGCATCATTCGCACAAGCCGCCACGAGACGATTCAGCGAGTCCTCCCTAACGCTCGTATCAGCATCAACCATGAACAGGTACTCGTACAGCTCCGGGTCGACGCCGATGATATTGTTGATCTGATGGAACATCTCGAGTTCCAGCGGGTTCATGGGGGAGCGGTGGTGGACGCGGTTCAGGAAACTCATGAGCAGGATTTGGGAGTCGCGCTTGCCGCGGTTACCGGGTTTGGATTTCGATTGCTCGGATTCTTTGCCTACTTTCACAATAACAAGGTACGGTACGACGTTGCCCTCGAACTCGTACAGGCCGGAGTACACTTTCCCGTAGTTGAGCTGCTCGCCGCTCTGTCCCACAGAGTGGAAAGGCAGGGCAGGCGGATCGATCTTCGGATCCACACCAAGAATATCCAGGACGATCTTCGGGGTAGGCCGGTCATTGCCACCACCTACAATCATACCATCGCAAATAACGCAGATAAGTTTCCTCTTATTATCATACTGCAGCGCCGTCAACGAATCGAGCGCCTTCCTCAACGACTCCTCGCCCTCCGTATACGCGGGAACCTGACAAATGACGAATTTATCCTGCGCCGCCGGTCTGCGCTTCGATCCGAACTGCAGGGCAGCCAGGAACTTGACGCCGATGACCGTGCACAGGATGATCGTGAAGGCGAGGAGGATGTAGTTGTTTACCTGGCAGCGCGGGGTCCAACGGAAATCGGGGATGCCGATATAGAAGGTGTTCTTGACGCAGTTGAATGTGTTCTTGATGGAGGTGAGCTCGGTTTGGTCAGCGGCCTTGGAGAGGAGCAGGGCGTATGCGTCTGTCAGGTCTTGGCCCGGGTTGTTCTTGACCATGGTCGAGAAGCCGGAGTCGAGGTAGTCGTAGAGGGCTTGGCCGCCCATCGTCTGGAGGGTGTAGAAGTAGTTGTTGAGATCGTAGATGGAGCCGTCGATGATGAACCAGTAATGGCTATTATCCGAGCCATCCGACTTGACAAAGTCCGCCTTGGTGACCAGGTGGCCCTTGTAGAACTCCTGCATGCGCGGCTGGAACGTCGCCTGGTACCAGTCCTCGTTGTGCATCTTATCCGTCGTAGAGCTATCCCTGAACGGTCCAGAATCATGCAGCGCCCAGCTGAACTCTCCCTGCGTACCATTCTGCATAACATAGACCAGCGGCTCCGTAACGACATCCGGACACGAAAACGTCAACGGGGGCATGAAATACGCATCCAAGTTGAGCCCGCGCAGCTGTCCCATATCCGAACTCTGCACCGGCCTCGAAGTAGTCCCATGGTTCTGCTTCCAGAAATTCGAGATATCATAAACCTTCCCATGGATGCTGACCCAGAAATCGTTATCGCCCTGATGCGTCGCGACGTTCGCCGTGTCCCACACCTTATCAAAGTTCGGACACAGCAGCCGCCCAAACGCCACAATATAAAAGACGATGATCCCGTTGATGAGGAAGATGAAGAAAACCAACACCACCTTCTCTCTCCACGCCATGCGCACATCAGGCCTCTTCATGCGCCCAACATAGCGCAGCAAGAACGAGGGAATCCAGAACGTAAGAGCCCACACGACACCGACCCACAGGCGCCGACTGAACGTAACCTTGTCCGTCACGACCGCCCTGGGATTCGCAAGCTCCGGATCGAGATTATCCACAAACTCGCCGAGCTCATTGTTATAATACACATGCCCCTGCATGTTATCCCCCTTAAAACCCAGACCATAATCGCCTGGCCCCTGCGGCGCCCTCGTCGGCGCCTTCGACTGTGCGCCGAACACGCTCTTGGCCCTCGCCCCGCCATCACCAGCCTGCAGGAATCCCTCCCTGCTATCCTGATGATGCAGCTCGGACGGCGCAGCATTGAAGAATCCACTCGCATTGTTCCCGCCAGCCGAGTATCCCGACTCAAACCCGCCAGCCCCTAGTAGGTCGCCGAGAGCACCATACTCCCCGCCCCTCTGCGCGGGAGTGAGATCAAACATACTCTCCGCCTCCCACCAAGCGCCCTCACGCATCCACACGCGCTCACGCCCAACCACAACCTCGCCATTCGTCCACCCCCTCTCCAGGACCCAAGACTCGACGCCATCGCGCCCATCCTTGCATCCGAGCGAGGCATAGCGGACCGCGAACTCATCATGGTCGAAATCCGCCGTGAAATCCAAGTTCTTCGTGCGGCGGTTCGCCCACTCGGGGAGACGCCACGCGCGGAGCTGGCGCGATACGGTGCCCGCGGACCAGGCGGAGGTGGTGGAGGGGAGGGAGACGAGGGAGGCTGGGGTGTCGTCCACGGGGTGCAGGGAGAGGTGGTACCAGACTCTGCTGCTGCCGAGGACGGTGGTGAGGTCGAGACGGCCCTGGCGGCCTAGGTTGACGCCCTCGCCGTCGACGGGGAAGATGATAGTCTTGAGGAATCCGTCTTCCTCGCCTTCGCGGCCAACTTTCTCGAGGACGGCTTCGCGGCGGTCGCGGGCGTGCTCGCGGTCCCGGCCGGCGGGGCCGGTCATGATTCCGAGATCGGGGCCTACTTCCGAGACGGCATTCTCCATCTCGCGGAGCACTGAGGAGCCGGCGGCGACGACATCCACGCCGTCCTCTTTCATCTCGGCGTTGATGCCTTGGGTGTCGTCGAATACACCCCTCATCGCGGCAGCCTTGCCGAGCGCCACGCCTGGCACCTCGAGGACGGTGATGCACACCGTATCCCCGTTATCCTCGTCTGTGCCTGGCGTCCTCTCGCCATCACTCGAGTTATCCACATTCCTGATCCTCAGCATCTCAGACGCAATAGCCGAATTCGCTTTGGAAATCACCCAATCCACCACCGCTTCGTACAGCGCACCGACTAACGTCTCCCTCTCCCCAGTCGAGCACTTCGAAGCCAGCAGTTCCGGATCGAGACCCAGCAGGCCTCCAATATCCTCGCACACCTCCTCGAGCGCATCCCCATCGAGGTTGAAGCTCAGCGTATCGCCCAGCTTCAAGATCCCAATCAGCATAGAAATCAGATTCCGGTGCGCAGACCCCTTAATCCCGATCTCCTTGAGACTCGCGCGGAAGTCCTCCGCAGCCGCCGAGTCATCAGCGGTAGGGAGGTAGGAGGGCGGATCGTACGTCCCCGAGCGCGAAAGCAGGGCATACGTAGACGGGGCCTTGAGGCCGAGGAACTCTCGCTCTGCAGCCGTGGAGGCCGAGGTGAGGAGGTAGTAGAAGACGTCGAAGGCGCGGTGTCCGGGTGCGGCAGGGACGTTCAACAGTCCGCGCGCGGTGTCGATGCCACCTTGCGAAAGGGCGATTGAGGCGCCGGTGAGGTGCCCGTCAAGGGTCATGGTGAGGGTGACGCCGAGGGCGGAGTGGAGAGGCGTAGACCCGTTTTGGGGGGTCACGGCGTGGGTGAATGGGCGGAGGACGTTGAGGGCTGTATAGAGCGATGCGGGCATCTTGAGGGGGAGGGTCGAGAGGAAGGGGACGATGACGGAGGGAGCGGATTCGTGGAGGGATCTGGGCGGTGTTAGTATTGTTCTTGAAAAGTATCTGGTCATGAAGAGTGTAGTGAATGGCTTCCATACCCAAGCATAATACACCCATCCTCCGCCCGTCTCCTCGCATGCTCCCACGCTCTCGCCGCCAGCGCCGCGTCCACAACCCCTCCGGATCCGCCATTATGATCAACCTGCGTAGCAGTCAACCAGGTGTTCACCACCAGGCTCGTGCTGGCATCCAGCTGGTAGGGCTGGGACGAGGTGTAGGTGTTGTGCAGGGCGTTGAGCAGAGTCGTCGTGGAGACCTGGGAGGACTGCTGGCCGGCTGAGTTGCGGGGGGGACCTCCTATGCCGCCGCCCATGCTGCCGAGGGACATCATGGAGTGGCGGTTGCTGTTCGTCATGGTGGAGGTTGTCGTCTCCCGAGGGAGTGAAGTGGGTGGTTGTGTGTCGAGCCCCTGTGTTGGACCGGCTGGCTCGCGCGGTCAGAGTCTTGCTGCTGGTTCTGCCGGTTTATTCCTGGTGAAGGCCCATAGAGAGAGATTGGGTTGTTTGGGGGTATGAGATGCTCTGCTCGAGCTGTTGTGTCGTGGAAGAGTGGTAGATGGGGGTTCGTGTCAGGGTCTGTTTCGCTGGGAGTTTTTCTTGTTGATGGAAATAGAAGCTATTGACGCGGGGGGTTCGTTGTGTGTGTCGTGAGTTGTAATAACGAGAGGCTGAAACGAAGGTCGTTGATTAAAAGGCAGATATAGAAGGTACAGTATGTAAAGAAAGGAGATTGTAGATTATGAGGGTTGGTAGTCGGTAGGTGAGGGAGCAAAGGGTGAACGACAGTCTGGAAGTGGTAAGAAAGAAGTCGGAGAGGAAGTTGAAGTGAGCACCCTGTTGGCAGTGGAGTGCAGTATACGGTATGGTACGGAGTAGTAGTAGGAGTAGGAGTAGTAGAGTAGTAAGTAGAGTAGTAGAGTACATACAACTGTTTATTTGCACACAACCAACACCACAGCCAACACAAAAAAGTACGGATGCAGTTGTGTGGAATCAGGTACAGGGGGGAGGGGGATAGTACGGGATTGACAACTAGTGGTACTTGTGTGGAAGTAGATGCTAGGAAAGTTGGCTAGAGTGCTGGACCGAACTATGGAATTATGGAATTATGGTCGTCTAGCGAGGTTGTCGATGGTGTGTGGAGGTATTCTTTTGCGCTGGACAGGGTATAGAGGGTACTTTAGTTTACTCCTAGTAGCTAAGAGAGGGAAGGCGTAGCGTAGGGTATAGATGGTGGCATTAAACTAGAAGGAGTAGTAGTGTATTAGTGTAGAATACAGCTCCAAGGGAGGGATCGAGCCGCCCCTGAGTGATGGACGATAGGTGACGGACGGGGGATGTCCGGAGAGAGTACCATGGATACAGTATATTTTCATAGTCTGGTACAATCAATCAATCAATCTATATCGACAAACACTCTTGCTAATAATATATATCCTCAATATTATGTGTGTATTATGCCCATCTTTACCCATCTCTATACGCCCCCTCCCACATAAACCCGTATCAACGGCAGTGGCAGTGGCGAAAATAGCTATTAGTAGTAGCAGGTGCAGAGTTGGTGTACCAGATCCGTCACGAACTGTAGAATGCTGGGTGCTATACGGGGTATATGTCGCCGCTTTAACCGCGGATACCGTGGAGATATGTGACTAGATGACAGTAGTATATAGAGTAGCAAGAGTAGCACACCCTACTCTACTCCCTATACAATCTAGACTCTCGCGGGACCCGGCTCGCCTTCTCTCTTGAGGCGGCGACATACATCCCATGCTCTGTGCGTTGGTAAGAGAATTTTTGAGTTTTCCAGGCAAGGGAAGGGGGGCTAATAATAGCAATACCTTGGCATCCACAGCCACATCCGTGGTAGTATTTTTTGACTAGACTACGGTATGCACAACAATGCAGAGTATAGGGATGGATGGGCAGCTGAGTAAGACGAGGAAATTCAGTGGAGGAGGATGGAGGAGTTGGTATACAGCATCGGGGAAGGGGATAACAGACAGACAGACAGACAGATGATATCAGCGTTGATGATAGTGTACTTACTTACTGTACTTCCTCTACCTCCCTCGTTTGACTGTACGTAGAACAACACGCCCTCCCTCCCTCCCTTCCGTTCTTCCGTCCCTCCTCCGTTGTACTGTACGCTCCCGGCACCACCACCAGCAAAAAAATAAGACATGTCTCGCCAACATTCCCGCACGCGTCAACAAAACCAGTTGTCTTGGAGACAGACAGCCTCTCTTCTGTTGCTCGATACGTAGATCTAATGCAGTAGATATCCCTATAGATGACACGAGAGACAGCGAGAGAGACAACAGCAGCAGAGACAATAATAAACAACAACACACCTTTTGGTACCGGATACGATACACATACACGTCACCGTAGTGTTGTACTGTACCGTAGAACGATGAGAGAAGAGACACTGCCGATCAAAGCTTCCTTTCCCTCTCTCAGCCTCAGCCGGGATAGAGGGGATAAATATAGAGTAGTGAGGTGTGGTAGTGGTGGTACTATGTGGTGGGATACGAGTAGATGGAGGGGATCACCGGTCAATCAGTGGATGGATGGACAACTGCCACCACCACTACCATCGCCCATCGCCCATCATCATCGCCCAGCACATGCCAACCATACTATTCCATCCCACACCACACCGTTGGGATCTTGGTATAGGATCTTGTCCTTGTCTTTGTCTTGTCTTGTCTTGTGGTTGTGGCTGGTAGAGTGTATGGTAGCCCTACTCTAGTACAGCAGAATAGTATACTAGAAATAGGAGAAGTTGTGACCAGAATAGTACTAGATTGCTAGGAGTAGTGTTGTTGGTGCTGACATTAAGCTGACAAGAGACTGGAGAGAGGAAGGGAGAGGATGGTGGATTGTTGTTGGATAGTAGATGAATGGTATGGTACTTGTGGGATTCTAGCTGTACTTGTGTGGTTGTACCTCTTTTATTTCCTGTTAGTGGATGTTATTTATACTGGAGAAAAGGAGAATGTTAGTGGTGCTTGTGCCTGGACTTGACTCTTTTTGCCCTTTTTTACTCCTGACTTGTACCTTTCCTACCAAAGATGGGTGCCAAGGTACCTGCCAACTAGACAACTAGACAGAGAAACTACTAACTCTAGTAGTAATAGACAGCTTGACGTGTGCTCAGCTGGAGATCCGAGGATACAAATAATACACACAGGACAGACAGACAGAGGATGGGAACGGATGATGGATATGGATTGACTAACTGACTGACTGTGGAATACGACGACTCTCCTGCGTATATATACGCATACATACACATCTTTGCATATCCAACTAGATTAATCAACTATATCCCGTACTCTAGTATATACACTCCACCTACAGTTTCGTCTTTCTCTTCGTGTTCGTCCGTCCCACAACCCACAGCTGCCTCCTGCATAAACAATGCATAAACACACCCTCTCTTCACTCTCCACCACTCCCTCCTCCACTCTACAACCCACTCAAGCCAATCCTCGCCGCTCTATCCCCCTAACTCCGACACACCATAAAACACAAATCCCATAAATTCGATAAAACCAATACTTTCCACTCCCACTATCCCACTACTTTCCCCCCAAGTACCTCCTTACTACACTACCCACCCACTGTATACTCCCACTACACTACACCACTGCTGCCAATCCTCTCCTCCCTACGCGATACTGTAAATAAATTCCCACCCCTGTCACGGATCCAGAAGCCAGAAAATATACCTGTGTACATCCACCACAGTACAGCAAGTACAGTACTACTAAATCCGTACCGTACAGTACCGTACATTTCTGACCACCACAACCACCTACCTCCCTCCCATCAATAACCTCATCTTCCAACAATCCTCACAGACATCCTCCTAATGTCTCCCTCCCTTTCCTTCTGAGACGCACGCCCCGTCTCTCTCTTTCTCTTTTAGCGTTCGTTTGTCCGTGTCGCTCGCTCGAGAGACGACATAACACACTCGCTTTTCTGCTTTGGAATTTAGCTTCAGCTCAGCTCTTCTTCCCCACGCCAGCGCCCCCTGGGTCTTCTACAAACAGCTCCCGCTCACTCTCTCGAAAAACACCTCCCAGACGACCCTTCGAAATCCTCATAATAACATCAATCACCCTCGAAAACCACACACGAACCCTCCCACGAACACCCTCATAACTACACCTCCCACCACCACTCGCCCACCGGGCCACGCCCACGGGCACAACCACCACAACCCCCATCACCATGGCCCAACCCACCACCCTCGCCCCCCCCTCCGGCGCCCACTCCCAAACATCCCTCCCCTCTCTCCCCGCCCACCTCCAATCCGACACGCACCTCACCGCGCACCTGGCGAGCAGATTCCACGTCTCGCTCCCGACAGCGCAGCTCAGTAGTCATGCATTGCTGAGTCTCAATACGTATGCGGGGAGCACGAAGGGGCCGGGGGGGGGGAGGGAGGGGAGCGCGATGGCGGGGGCGGAGGATGTGGCCGAGAGGGCGTATTTGAGGTTGGGTGCTAGGTCGGAGAATCAGGCGGTGGTGTTTTTGTAGGTGGCTTCCTTTTCTCTTTTTTTTTGGGTGCTTTTTTTGTGTTTGGCTGTTGTGGGATTTGTTGCGGGTGGGAGTTTTGGGGATGCGGAGGGCACGGGGGGAAGGAAAACCATGGGACATTTGGGATTGGGGATACATGAGATATACGGACATCTGGCTAACTTTTTATCTGTCTAGGGGTGAATCGGGATCAGGAAAGACGACTCTACGCTCACATCTCCTCTCTGCTGTTCTGGCGAAATCGGCCACCCCGCTCTCTCAGAAACTATCCCTCGCCGCATACGTCTTCGACACCCTCACCACCACAAAAACAGCTACCACCCCCACCGCCTCCAAGGCCGGCCTCTTCTTCGAACTCCAGTACGAAACCGCCGGCGCTACAAACCCCAGCCTGATCGGTGGAAAACTGCTCGATCACCGACTGGAACGCACACGCGTTGCTTCAGTGCCAACGGGAGAGCGCAACTTCCATGTCCTATACTACCTCCTCGCTGGCACCAGCGGCGCTGAGAAAGCCCATTTGGGTCTTGACGATAGCCACGGCGGCGTGCTCGAGTCTAACCAGGGCGCGCAGAAGCGATGGAGATACCTCGGACACCCTACCCAGCTCAAGGCGGGGATCAACGACGCGGAGGGCTTCACGCTGTTCAAGACTGCCCTGCGCAAGCTCGAGTTCCCCCGCAGCGTCATCGCAGAGGTCTGCCAAGTCCTCGCAGCAATCCTGCACATCGGGCAGCTCGAGTTCGAGACCGCGGACGACACGGCCGCCACAGGCGATGACAGCGGTGGCTACTCCCACGAAGGCGGCCAGAGCTCCACCGTCGTCAAGAACAAGGATACCCTCGCCATCATCGCGGCGTTCCTGCAGGTGAGCGCTGCGGACCTGCAGACGACGTTGGGGTATAAGACGAAGATCCTCAGTCGGGAGAGAGTTACTATCATGCTTGATCCCAAGGGCGCGAGGGAGAATGCGGATGAGTTGGCGAGAACGCTGTATTCCCTGCTCGTGGCGCTGTTGATTGAGAATATCAACCAGAGGCTGTGTGCTGTGGAGGAGGCGGTCACGAATACCATCTCCATTGTCGATTTCCCGGGTTTCGCGCAGCAGTCATCGTCGAACTCGCATCTGGATCAGTTGCTCAATAATGCCGCAGCGGAATCGTTGTATAACTTCTCTCTCCACAACTTCTTCGAGCGCAAGGCCGAGATCCTCGAGCAGGAAGAAGTCAACGTCGCAGCGACGTCCTATTTCGATAACTCCGATGCCGTCACGGGACTCCTCAAGCCAGGAAACGGCCTCCTCAGCATCCTCGACGACCAGACCCGCAAGAACCGCACAGATATCCAACTCCTCGAGAGTCTGCGCCGCCGCTTCGAGGGTAAGAACCCCGCCATCTCAGTCGGTAGCGCGACGGCCAAGCTGCCGGGCTCCAACTTCGCCAGCTTCAACACCGCGGCGTCGTTCACGGTCAAGCATTTCGCGGGCGAGGTCGAGTACCCCGTCGCTGGCCTCGTGGAGGCGAATGGCGAGATCATCTCGGGTGATCTGATGAACCTGATCAGTTCTACTAAGAGCGATTTCGTAGGCCAGCTCTTTGGACAGGAGGCTCTGCAGACGGTCGTTCATCCCCAGGAGAAGACGACGATCATGCAAGCACAGGTCTCCTCCAAACCCCTCCGCAAGCCCAGCGTCATGCGCAAGGGCCGCACCCCGAAACTGACCATGAAATTCGGCGCTGAGGACGACGACGACGTCGCTGCTGATGAAGGCGGCGACATCGGCGAGAAATCGAAGACCAAGGGTGGAAAGAAGGGGCGCAACGACAAAGACCAATCCCAGCAGGGCGCCGCGGCCCAGTTCCTAAGCTCCATCGACAATGTCACCAAATCCCTCTCCGCTCCAAACACAAACTCCTACTTCATCATGTGTCTCAAGCCCAACGACCGCCGCATCGCCAACCAATTCGACAGTAAGTGTGTGCGAACCCAGCTGCAGACCTTTGGCATAGCCGAGATCAGCCAGCGTCTCCGCAACGCGGATTTCAGCATCTTCCTCCCCTTCGGCGAGTTCGTTGCTCTCGCGGAGTCGGAGCAGATCCTCGTAGGCAGCGAGAAGGAGAAGGTCGAGATGGTGGTTGATGCAAGGAGATGGCCGAGTAATGAGGCGTTGGTGGGGAGCACGGGGATCTTCCTTAGTGAGAGGTGTTGGCTCTCCATCGCGAATCTGAGAGAGAGTCTTGGTGGTCGGTACGTCAACAGCGATGATGGCGTTGATGGCCTGTCCCCGGGTGATCCACACGGCAGCTACAGCAATTCGCGCGAAGGCCTGCCCTTGATCTCTGGCCGTGGCGGGTCGCCCGCAGGCTACTTCGGCGCGTCGGATACGCGCTCCGAGGCTGGGGTGTCTGTGTTCGGAAAGGGGGATATGTTCCGCGACATGGATACGCGGCAGCAGATGGCGGAGCGCGGGAACGAGAAGACGATGGTGGAGGTGGAGGAGGTGAAGACGAGCGGGAGCCGAAAGAGATGGGTCTTCTTCGTGTACCTCCTCACGTGGTTCATTCCGGATTTCCTGATCCGCTGGATTGGAAGGATGAAGCGCAAGGATGTGAGGATGGCGTGGAGAGAGAAGCTGGCGATTAACTTTATGATTTGGTTCAGTTGTCTCTTCTTCGTCTTCTTCATCGTCGTCTTTCCCATGCTTATTTGCCCGCGCCAACACGTCTACAGCCCGTCGGAATTGACGTCGTATAACGGCAAGTCTGGCAGTCCTGGCGCATTCGTCGCGATCAGGGGTATGGTATTCGACCTCAACTCCTTCGCCACGCGCCACATCCCCAACCTAGTCGACTCTAAAGACGTCCTCGCCTACGCCGGTCTAGACGCCACCTCCCTCTTCCCCGTCCAAGTCTCCGCCCTGTGCGAAGGCAAAGACGGACCCATCGACGGCTCCGTCCAGCTCGATTTCACGCCTACGAATATCACGGGCTCGGCGAATCAGATCGGTGCCGCGGATCCGAATAGACAGTACCACGATTTCCGCCTGTTCACGGACGATCCGCGCCCGGACTGGCTGGCGCAGCAGGTTCGTATGCTGCGCGCTGGGTACTTCAAGGGGAACCTCGGGTACACGTCCAAGTACGTCGCGACGCTCGGGCAGAAACAGCAGATCGCCATATTGAACGGGCGCATCTACGATTTCACGAAGTATCTCCAAGGCGGCCAGAAGCTGGAGCAGATCGGGAGTAACCCCCTCCCCACCGACCAGGCGGCCGCGAAGCAGTTTATGGAGCCGCTGGTTGTCAGCCTGTTCGAGCAGCGCGCCGGGGAGGACGTGTCGAAGCAGTGGGAGGCGCTTGCTTTGTCTACGGAGCTGAAGTCGCGGATGTTGCTGTGTATGAATAATCTGTTTTACGTCGGGGATCTGGATACGCGTAACTCGGTCAAGTGCCAGTTCGCGTCGTATCTGATCCTCGCTATCACGATCATCCTGTGCAGTGTCATCGTCTTCAAGTTCCTGGCTGCGCTGCAGTTTGGCACTAAGAATGTGCCCGAGAACCTGGATAAGTTCATCATCTGCCAGGTCCCGGCGTATACGGAAGATGAGGAGTCCCTCCGCCGTGCTATCGATTCCGTGGCGCGCATGAAGTATGATGATAAGAGGAAACTCCTCGTCATTGTCTGCGATGGTATGATTATCGGCCAAGGAAACGACAAGCCCACCCCCCGCATCGTCCTCGACATCCTCGGCGTTGACGAGACCGTCGACCCTGAACCCCTCTCCTTCGAATCCCTCGGCGAAGGCGCCAAGCAGCACAATATGGGCAAATGCTACTCCGGTCTGTACGAAGTCCAGGGCCACATCGTGCCTTTCCTCGTGCTCGTCAAGATTGGTAAACCCTCTGAGGTGTCGAGACCGGGTAACAGAGGAAAGCGTGATTCTCAGATGCTGATGATGCGTTTCCTTAATCGCGTGCATTATAATGCTCCTATGAACCCGCTGGAGTTGGAGATGTACCACCAGATCCGCAATATCATCGGTGTTAACCCGACTTTCTACGAGTTCATGCTCCAGATTGATGCTGATACCGTCGTTGCCCCCGACTCGGGGAGTCGCATGGTCTCCGCCTTCTTGGATGATACGCGCCTCATCGGTGTCTGCGGCGAGACGGCCATCGCCAACGCCAAAGCGACATTCATCACTATGATCCAGGTCTACGAATACTACATCTCCCACAACCTCTCCAAAGCCTTCGAGTCCCTCTTTGGCAGCGTCACTTGTTTGCCTGGTTGTTTCACCATGTACCGCATCCGCGCCGCCGACTCCGGGAAGCCGCTCTTCGTGTCTAGAGAGGTTATTGAAGCGTACGCTAATATCCGCGTCGACACTTTGCATATGAAGAACCTCCTCCATCTGGGAGAAGACAGATACCTCACCACCCTCCTCCTGAAATATCATTCTAAGTATAAGACCAAATACATCTTCGACGCGCACGCCTGGACCGTCGCCCCCGATGACTGGAAGATCTTCCTATCCCAACGTCGTCGCTGGATCAACTCCACAGTCCACAACCTCCTCGAACTGGCGCCCATGAACGAACTCTGCGGATTCTGCTGCTTCAGCATGCGCTTCGTCGTGTTCATCGATCTCCTCTCCACTGTCGTGCAACCCGTCACTCTGGCGTACATCGCGTATCTAATCTACATGGTCGTCTCCAACCCCGACGTCATCCCCATCACCGCCTTCATTCTGTTAGGAGCCATCTACGGTCTGCAAGCAATCATCTTCATCCTCCGCCGCAAATGGGAGATGATCGGCTGGATGATCCTCTACATCGTCGCAATCCCCGTTTTCTCCTTCGCCCTCCCGCTCTACTCATTCTGGCACATGGACGATTTCTCATGGGGTAACACCCGTGTCGTTACTGGTGAGAAGGGGAGGAAAGTCGTCATCACTGATGAGGGCGTTTTTGATCCCTCCGCTATCCCGAAGAAGAGGTGGGAGGAGTATCAGGCTGAGCTTTGGGATGCGCAGACTGTCCGCGATGATAGATCCGAGGTCTCGGGGTACAGTTACGCTACTAAATCTTTCCACCCCTACGGTGCCCCAGCCTCGGAATTCGGCGCCATGCCACCAAGTCGTCCTATGTCCGCCGCCGGTGGCGCCGCAGGTCAATTCGGCAGCGCGAACCCCTACCGCGGATCTATGGCGGGGATGGGCGACGGACGCATGTCCACCTACGGGGGTGGGGGGGAGGTGGAAATGGCTGACCTGGCGGGGTTGCCGAGCGATGACGCGCTGTTGGCGGAGATTAGGGATGTGCTTGCTACGAGCGACTTGATGAGTGTTAGTAAGAAGAGTGTTAAGGCGGAGTTGGAGCGGAGGTTTGGGGTTGGGTTGGAGGCGAGGAGGGCGTATATTAATAGTGGTATGTTCTTCTTCCCCTGGTGGTTGTGATGCGTGTGTTTGTTGGGCGGTTGCTAATTGATGGATAGCTACTGAGGCGCTGTTGTCGAGTCAACTTTGAGAACCTCGCACGCCGATTCGGGTGTGTTTGTGGTAGAGAGGAGGAAAGAAGGGGATGCAAGCAATAACGCGACGAAAACGACCTTCTTCAAACCCCCCTCTAACCCCTTTGTGGAATAAACTACGTACGCTATCTTGTTGTAATCTCTCTTCGCGTTTGCTTTTTGTTGTTAATTTGCTATTTTGATTTTTTGGGGGACAAAGGGAGGGGAAATGGATTTTGCGTGCATTCTTTTTTGGAAAAGGGGAGGTGGGAGCTGGTGATTTTTTGTGAATTTTTTTTAATACTGTCGCGCGGAGGTGGAGAAGGAAGGGGAAAGGAGGGGGTGAGAGGGGGTGTATCTATGTATGTACAATATAAAGTATGAAGATGTTGAAGAGTTTGAAGATTGAATTAAGGGGGGAAGGGGTGATGGTATGTAATTTTCATGCGATTGTGGAGTGCAGTTGCTGTTAGGCCCTGCCAGGCGTGCTGGAATTATTGCATCCTTCCCATGGTCGCCTTGAGCTGATGGCATCATGTCTCAGAACCATTTCCCTCTCGAAAGCGCCCGTAAAAAGCCCAATTTCAAAATCTACCACGCCTGTTCGTTCCATCTCTTGTCAGAATGCTATATAATGCAAACAAAGCAGACTAACAGAAGGCGTGAGAGCACATACCCATCAACCACCCCTTCATCCCTCTAACACGCCCCTGATATCGAATTAAGAGGTGGCGGGGGGCAGGGGGGGGGGGGACACTTCGTAATCCGAAAGCTATTGTACTTCTCTTAACATCTCAACCTCCTAACCCTCCACTACCAACTCCACCCGCTAATCATAGCACCATTAATCCGCTCAGCGGGTTATCCGATCCAACACCAGAGACATAACTATCCGCCAGGTCAAAAATCGACGTCTCCCCGTCCTCATCCCCACCACTCTCCTCACCCCAAGCACACCGCTTCCACTTCTGCGACCCCCTCTTCCCAAACCCCCCCCCGGCAAACTCATCAAACATAACCTCACACTTCCCATCCAAGCACCTCCCCGCCACCTTCTCGCGCAGAATATCAAGCGCCCCCGCCCAGCTCCCACTCAGCAACTCCACATCGTGAATACTCACGAACTCCATCCCTGCACCGTCTAGCCCGCGGAAAAAAGCCTCTATTTCGCGCTGGTGGAAGGAGACGTACGAGAGGCGGAGCTCTTTGATGCGCGGCCAGTTGATGGCGGCGAGGACGGTACCGATGTGATATAGGCCTTTGATCTCATTTTTGTCGCCGTCGTTGACTACGAAGTTTTCGAAACTCATGTTTACGATTTCCATGGCCTGACCTGATAGCATCGCGTAGAGATAATTGTCGATGGGGACTTGTTCTTTATACAGGAGGTGGCGATAGCGCAGCGGTTGGTCCTCCCATTGTAAGTCGAATTCGGCGAGGTGCTGGCATGCGGCGCGGAGATCGGGCCAGGAGAACTTGTTTGGGCCACGGGGGTCGGGACAGATCATGGGGTAGTTGTTTGTGGTGGGGAAGCAGTGGAGTGTTATTGCGGAGACGGCGGCGCCGGCTTTGTGGATGGCGATGGGGAGCTCGGAGAGGATCCTCGCGGGGGTGAGGGCTGTGCTGTCGTCCATCTCCTCGATTTCTCGCCAGTCAACTGGGGCTGCTAGGAATCTTAGGAGCTCTGAAGGGTCGGTTGATATGAGTGCTGGGTCTTTCGGAGGTGTGTAGGAATCGTTGAAGGTAATTCGATCGTGGAAGTGTACATAAGCACAGTTTCCCATCCGGGCCATCGCTGACGCGAGGGTGTTGACGAAAGACCCGTCTGTAATTAGTCTATACTGCTCCTCCTGCTTCTGCAGATACTCTTCGTAGCCTTGTAGGAGGATCTCCTGATACCTGAGACTTTCTGCATCTATCGGAGCTCCATCGGCGGGCGAGACGGAATATTTGTCCCAGGCTGAGATGATTGCACCGCAATCCGCCACGGCCTTGGTATACAGCGTCACCTTCTCCTCATCATACAGGTCACCACGGCTCTCGAAAGCTCTGTTCCCGCATTGAATCAGCAGGGCATCTATGTCCCCCCCCCGCCAGTTTTTGAAGAATTGCAGACTCTCTGCAACTCCCTTTGGGCGATAAAGGAGCCCGACATGGATGGTGCGGACGCCTGATGCTATGAGCGGGCTCCTTGAAATTTCATCAACGAGGTTAAGGGATGTCTGGTTTAGTTCTACCGTGACAACTGGGCAGAGGAGCGGCGATGCAAGTCTGTTAAAGAGACTGCATACGAGACGTGCATTCTGGATGGTTTTGGTGTCGGTGTCTTCGCGGGCGACGCAATATTTAATGTAGAGCCTTTCTTCGTTGAGGTGGGCGAAAATTATATAGAGGATATCGAGGGGGAGATGGAGGATGTTGAGCGGCGGCGTTTTGTCGCGCGGGTACTCTTTGTACGCCACATCTCCCGCATTCACGTCCTCCATTATCGTTGCCGTGGCCAACTTATATGTGGAGTGATCTTAGATGCGCATACTCTTGAATTATATATGTTCAAGTTCACTGTGCTGCGCCCCAACTTCAATCGACTTCATGCGGATGACTCATGCGAGGTATTATAGTTTTTTACTGGCTGAATAGTTACTATTCTGCACGTTGATAGCAATCCATTAGGAATCATGGGCCAACATATTGGACTTGCGCTCTCATTGTGAGGTTATTGGTAAACGCGTCAACGATGTTATCCGTAAGATATCTCGGTCACTACGGTTCATGCTATAACTGTGCACAAATCCAGTTGGGCCGAGCGCCTCCTACTTTCGGAACTTGGATGGTATTATGCACATATGCACAACTCAGCCACCTTGTCAGCCCATCAACTAAATCTAAAATTAAAACGTGGCAGACTCATAGCTGCTCGAGGAATTACAGTTGTTTAATTATGAGAACCGTATTACAGTCCCTCATTTTGGGTAATAAGCTTTCTATGAACGGAAGGTCGTAAGAAACCGATCGCCAACTGGCGACCACTTAGAAGTTGATGATCGCCCCCCCCGTACATATTACAGTTCTGAGTCTGCCTGCCACCTTACCGCTTTAGATGTGGCTGGTGCACAGGTAAGGCATACCAAGGCGCACTGAGATCCAACTATAGACTTTAAGGCTAACACAACTTAAAATCCATGAAACGTCTCCCGTAAATTGTGATATCAGGGGAAAATAATAAGCATTTTGATATTTACGCCGTTCCACATGTAAATTGTGATGCTCATGAGAATAATAAGCATGTTGATATTTCCTCCGTCCACGAGTATAAACATGTCTGGAAATCTCTCGTTCCTGCCCGGATATCTCAGAGTATCATCCAGAGCACCCAGCAAAGAGGAATCGAAACCATACGCAACTCTCCACACATATAATTACACCACATTATCACATACGCAGTTACCCTCCATTACGTCCCATCTACAATCATGCATTTCTCCTCAATCCTATCCCTCTCCGTCGCTCTCATCACCCCCCTCATCAGCGCCTACCCCATCAGCGGCGACTCCGTCAACTGCCGCTCCGGCCCCGCAACAAGCTACAAAGTCATCAAGACCTACGCCAAAGGCCACGATGTCAAAGTAACCTGCCAAACCGTCGGCGAAACCGTCAAAGGTGACAACCTCTGGGACAAAACAGCCGATGGCTGCTACGTCGCGGACTACTATGTGAAAACCGGCACCACCGGCAGGGTTGTCAACACCGAGTGCAAGACCGGCGGAACTGGCGACTCCTCCATGAACGGCAAGATCACTCGCAAGGAAATTATCGCCCGTGGAAAGTACTGGATCGATCGCCACGTCTCGTACTCCATGAAGGGGTACTACCCAGACCCGAAGGGTACCAGCTACCGCACCGACTGCTCGGGCTTCGTGGCGATGGCTCTCCATGCTTCGGCTCCGGGATACTCTACTGTTGAACTCCCGAGAATCGGGACGCAGATCGCTTGGAAGGATCTCCAGCCCGGAGACTTTGTGGGGACTCTTGGTCCTGGAACTGGTGGCTCTGGTGGCCACGTTACGCTGTTCTTGTCGTGGACTGATAGCACTAAGAAGGCGTATAACACCCTTGAGTGCCGTGGTACTGCTTACGGATGCGTTGCTTACAAGCGCAATGTTGGATGGAAGGATGGTAGCTTCACTGCTAAGCCATACAAGTACATCCATGTGGTGTAAATGGTGGTTTATAAGAGTGGCTTGTATATTATTTTTTCGTTGACATGAAGGGGGGCTATTGTACGGGAGTGTTATTGGATACCTTCTTAAAATATATTGCAGATAGAATTCAATTAAGTTAACTGGACTGGGAAATATTACTACCTCCTGTCACCTCCTTTTGAGATATAATCATCATGACCCCATCCTCCACGTTACAACAACGTCGAGAACAACAACGTCGCAAGCTGTCACTCCCTTTCAAAAATTACTTTAATGGAAGAAATGCATGTTCTACTGCATACATATGAGTGAATAATTGGTAGAGAAGGATGATGGCCTGAGGAAATGGTGCTTCTATATCTGATAAATTTGAGTTTTGACTCCAGCGAATTACTCCAAAAATATGGAACCCCCGAGCGTACCTACGCACTTTTACCATAGATAACTAGTTCTAACCGTAGATTATCTGCAGTTCCAACAATATCAATGGAAGCCTAATGCTATCGTGAAAGCGGCCAATCATTCTTGTTTGCCTGCCTCAGCCTTACCTCTCTATCCTAGCTATTGTTCCCCCAAATCAACTTCCATCTTCAGCATCATACAAAACAACGGCCTAGATTTGAAAGCTTAATATAACAAATATGGACCTAAAAGTTTACGAGCGCGATTACTACGACCTGTGCTGTGGGCGAAAGGAAGCCTGGCGGCCGTAAGGTGAGGAAGAACCACTAATCTGACTGAAATCAGAAAGGCGAAAGCTGACTGATTGGATGTCTATAATTAAACTATAGTTGCTATAGATATTACCACCTTGCACAGCCCCTCTCCCAACTTTTGATTGACACGAGTAATTTTTATCTTGATTCCTGACTTCAATTATGGTTTATTCACATTTATACTTTAGCTGTTAAGGTTGCGCTTACCCCGGATTTCGGGTACTGACTCCTACGCCATGGTGGGCCTATAAGAAATCGCCGAGCCGAGGCTATCCCGCTACCCCACGTTCAGTTCGCAACGACGACCCTCACATGTACTGTACATTGATTTTGTTGCCGCCCATAAATATTTCTGTGACATCTGCAAAATAACTGCTTTTACCTGTCCTTAGCTGCCCAATAACCTAGCCAGATATTCTGTAAAGTTTGAATACTTGATAGAAGCTTGTACTTTGTCGGAGGCCGCCACCTGCCGCCCGTCAACTGCCATTGAGCTTCCTCGGCAATTTCCCAGAGCTATAACTAAACACCGTTCGCATATCTCGCCGTGAAACTTCTACTTCATTGATATACACCACACAGTTAAAATGGCTAGCCAATCGATACCGATCATTGTAGGGGTTGGCGATTTCAAGAACCCCTTCACAACACCAGAGAAATCGCTGGAGCCGTACCAGCTCATGATCCAAGCCATCCAGCGAGCTCTCCAAGATACATATCTGCCAGAGGAAACTGCCCAGAAGCTCCAAATATCAATCGACAGCATTGACGTTGTTGCAACCTGGTCCTGGCCTTACCAAGACCTTCCCGGCCTCCTCTCTACCAAGCTCGGCGTCGATGCCGCCCACAAGTTCATCAGCGACCATGGCGGCAACCAGCCGGCGAAACTGGTCGATGAAGCCGCGCGAAGGATCGCACAAAACAAGACAAAAGTCGCCGTAGTGACCGGCGGCGAGGCACTCGCATCATGTACACATACCCCGCCTGGCTATTTGCCCATCTTACTAACAATGCGCAGTGGGAGGCTTCGCGGCAGCCAAAAAGATGCCCAAGTGGTCAGCACGTAAGAAGGACCAAAAATCAGGCACGATCACCGAAATCGCAACCCTGGGAGACAGTAAGTCTGTCTCTATGCTGCCCTCGGCGAGGAAGCTAAAGACGGCCACAGACACCGGCGCCACGCACGGCATTGGTTTGCCCATTCAAGTGTATCCGCTCTATGAGAACGCCACGCGCGCATCACGCGGGCAGACACTGGCGGAGAATAATGAGGAGTCGGCGAGCTTGTATGCTGATTTTGCGAAGGTGGCACAGGGGAATACGGCTGCGTGGAATTTTGGGAAGAAGGCCGCAACGAAAGAGGAGATTGGGACGGTGACGAAGAAGAATCGCATGATTTGCTATCCTTGTGAGTAATGTCGGGGTTTGTGGTTTGATGTATGTTGAGCTGACCTTGGTAGACCCTCTGCTGATGAATGCCTTCAATAATGTCAACTTGGCTGGGGCTGTTATACTGACATCTACGGACTACGCGACTGAGCTTGGAATCCCCAAGAGCCAATGGGTCTACCCATTAGGCGGCGCCGGCACCAAAGACAGCGACAAATGTATACCTCCCAGCCCTGATGTAAACTAGACACAACTAACAAATCCAGTCTGGGAGCGCCCCAACTTCTACACCAGCCCCTCCATCACACGCTCTCTCGACGCCGGCCTCGAAGTCTGCGGCCTGACAAAAGAGCAAATTGGTCTCTATGACTTCTACTCGTACGGCCTCCCGAACCATCATTCCAACCAAAGCTAATAATCCATACAGCTGCTTCCCCATCGTCCCCAAGATCGCCTGCCAGCACCTCGGCCTCGCAATTGAATCGCACACCCGCCCCCTCACCCTCCTCGGAGGTCTGACCTCCTTCGGCGGCGCAGGAAACAACTACTCTATGCACGTACGTCTAGTCAACCCATCCCCACCCACATACCCAATTAACCCCCCTCCTAGGCCATCACAGAAATGACCCGCAACCTCCGCGAGCGCACCCCAACCTACGGCCTCGTCCTCGCCAACGGCGGCACAATGACATACCAACACGTGCTCCTCCTCTCGGCCGTTGCCCCCTCGCAGCCCTACCCATCTAAGAACCCCCTTCCTCCTATCATCACTGATATTCCCGTCCCTGTTACTGTTGAGGTAGCGAACGGCGAGGCTACTATCGAGGTATGTGATCCCTTAATGCACTTGGAAAAACTCGCGTGCTAACGGACGATTTAGACGTATACCGTGGATTTCAACCGTGATGGCACGCCCGGCACGGGTCATGTAGTTGGTAGACTACCGAGCGGAGAGCGTTTCCTGGCGAACCATGCGGATGAGGAGACACTCTCGCAGCTTGTTGGGAACGAGGAACCCGTTGGACGACGTGGGTGGGTGAGGAATGAAGACGGGGTAAATCTGTTTAGTTTCGAGAAGAAGGCGAAGTTGTAGATTAGCCGTACACCTGCTACTGGGAGGTTTACTTGATATCCTGTATATATGTCTGTATATACCGCTGTAGCTCTTTAGCTCTGGATCCGCACGCAGCTAGACTGTCGTCACGGACATAAGTTATGTCAAATATTTTATTGGTACTCTCCCTAGTTGACCAGAACAATCCCCCCCCCCCCAGTACCGACGAAAACACCAATCACCACGTAGCATACATACTCCCGTGCATCCCATCATCATAATCTATACACACCCATCCTACCCATCCCACCCAATCCCATCCGAAAGCAAACACCCCCCTACAACGCCGACCCCTTCACAAGCGCCTTCAGCCCCACAACCTCCCTCTTCAACCTCGCATTCTCCTTCCTCACCGCCGCAGCCTCCTCACTAGCCTCCTTAACCTTCTTCACGAGCTCCTCGCGCTCCTCCCTCCCCTTCCCCTTCAGCGCCTTCACGATCCGGCCTAGCTCCCCGTTAAACCGTTCATATAGAATCTCATTCTCGGCGCTAACCTCGCGATAGAGCTGGTCTAGCCCTTTTGCCTTTTCTTCCGCTACTACGAGCCCGCGATCTAGCTCCTTTTGCACAGCCGCATTGCGGGCCTCGAGATCCTTCATTAAGACTGGGATCCGACTCTCCAGCGCGCGCACGCTCTCTGAGATCCGCCTTAACTCCGACCCCGACGAGGTCGACGGGGTGCCACGCACAGGCGACCCACTCAGCTTCGCCATCTCGGCCCCAATCTTCGCAAGCTCGGATTGCAATCCCGCCTCCGCCTCACCAATGGCCTTAGCCTCGCTCTGGAGACGCTCCCGCAGTTTCTGCGGGCTCTGGAGACGAAGTTTCTGCGGTGACTTGGTCGGGCTTGGGATATTGGTTGGTCCCGCGTCTTTGCGGGGGTTGGTGATCTCGCTGAAAGCCGGCGTCCCGAAAACGGGCGCGGGAGCGAGAGCGAGAGATAGAGGGCGAGGACTGCCTTTGAGTGTGGGGATGTTGGATGCCAAGTTTGCTGCGGACTTTGGGGGAGATTTCGAAGGCACGGACCACAGGTCTTTGATGGTTACAGTATCGCCAGATTGGACATTGTGAGGACGCTCGGTAAGATTCCCGATGTTACGCGCCGGCGAGACTCTGGTATTTGTATTCTCTTTCTGCGTGGGAGAACCGTTGAACGCGAGTGCGCGACTGGGCAGTTTGGTTGGTGATGGAGTTCGTGGGGAGGCTTGCGCTGGTTGAGCGAGCTGGTTTGCCCTCCTGGTTGACAATGGAGTGGATGGCGAGTCCAACGTCGCATTGGCCAGGAGAGCTTTTAAGTCAGACAGCGAGCTGCGCCGTTTCTTCTTCAGAGATTTCTCTACCGCATCGGGTGCCGGTGGCGGAGACTGTCCGATAGTGCTCAGCCTGCTCGGTGTATGAGAGCTGTTCGGGCGCTGGTCACCAAACGCGCCAAGCACAGTGGGTCTGTCACGAGAACCAGGCCGTTTTGGAGTCCCTAGTCGCGAATCGGATTCGATTGATCGTGATCGATGCAAACGGCCCTTGGAGATACTACCATCCATCTGCTCTCCCGTGGCTGTACTGCGACCTGTCTTGCTCAACGTACGCCACATGGAGGGCTTGCTATCATCTTCGCGCTTGCTATTTTGGCGCAGAAGTGAGTCGAGGCCAAAACGTTTCCTCAGGGATGTGTTGGACGTCACAGATCCCTGGGTCCGTGAAGTCATGGATCCGTCCATGGGAGTGTTGTAGCCATTGCTCGCACCAACTCCAAGATCCTCGAAAAGGCGATCCGCATCCTCTACTAACCGATCAAGTAGATTAATATAGCTATGTGGGTTATTGTCGGGAACCAAAAGCTCAGCAAAAGAAGCAGTAAGAGCACCTCGATCGCCATCATTCCCACAGCCTTCCAAAAGATCAGCAAGAAGCTTGATAATAGCCACGAAAGCACGTCTATTCTGTGGCGCCATGTCCCCAAAGAGGAGCTTGATATAATCTGCGAAGTCCCCAGGAAATAATTTCGAAGCCTTTTCTTGGAGAGCCTGTAGCGTCTGCACCGAAATAACAGGGCCCATCTGGTCCTTCCAAGCCATCCGCGTGAATTTTTCAAACGCAGAAAATAAGACGTCAATCGTTGCCTCAAAGGAAGCTCTGGCGTCAAATGGATTTTCGATAAACTTGTTATAAAGAGCATTGACACTGAGCTCATCTGCTCCAGCTCTGTTTCGCAGGATCCTGCCAATGATATTACCTTTTCGCGATTGCAATGCAATGATATATCCTGTAAAGGTTTCTTCAAGTTTAACAAGGGGATTGGCAGTAGTTGACTCATCAAAGCTAGCTTTGAAACTACTGTTAGTGCTGGTAACAATAGAATCCATCTCCTTCTTGCTGCTCGACCTAGACAGCGATGGTGCCGTGAAGCTGGGAATACTACCTAGGGTTGGAGTGCGCTTGTGTTTTGGGGCGTCTGATAAGCTTGACCCGCCACCAGTCAAAAAACTGGAAAGCATCTTGACTGGCGAGGGAGAACGGTGGTATTTCGCCTTGTCATTATCCACTTGAAGGCTGAGAGAACTGAGAATACTCGAATAGCACAGAATGAACGAAGTAGTCAGCGCCGGGTTCTTGGGGCTATAATGAATCTGCATTAAGGTCTCGACTATAGATTGTTAGCTCAGATCATCAGAATTCAATAGAAATAAATACCTCGTTTGGCGAAGACGGACATAAATGACGAGTCATTCGCAAGGTCGTTGAAATTCAGGTCATTCAAACCCTCAAATTTGAGATGATAAGGAGCACTAGTCTTTCCCTGAACGACTGTCACGTTGACGACGGTTTCAACACCGTAATGGCCCACCGGTGCTCCTTTAGTTCCGCGCTCATGGTCAACAACAATACGAATAGGTGCCGGCTCTTTGCGACCTTCAACTAGCGTATCGATGCCTTCTTCAAAGACAGCGGCGTAGATATTCAGACCCGTCTCCTTTGAGTTGACATTGCGGAGGGACCATTTATCTGATTCGCGCTCCTTCTCAGCAAACCTGCCCTCAACCCTCGCTTTAGTGAATTCATCAGTCCATTTAGAGGCCTTGCCATCATATGAGCCCTGAAGAAGGAACGCCCTCCTCGTGGGCAGGGCGTTAGGCTGTTTGTCAAGAGCAGCAGATAATGTCATCCAAGCGACACGTCCATCCTGGCCCTCTGTAAAACGAATATCGCTCAACGTGTGATAGCTCAGGAGATGAAGTTCTGGTGGTGGCCGTGGCTCCCCCATACCTGTGACGGAGGCAACCATACTTGCGGTAGATGGCTTATCAACTTCAGCCATCACACCGCGGGCAGAGATATTGCTGCCACCAGCTTTCCGACAGACTATAAGAGTGTCTGCAAAGAGTAAAAGAACACCAGGGGTATTTGTAAGTGTATTTGCGATTGCATGATAAGGTGGTGAGAGCTCAACAAAGTCCACCGCTGAAATGAGTCGGCCCTTGAACACGCAAGTTGGCCATTTATCGACCAGCAGTTTAAGTCGCTTCACTGTTTGCGAGTTATCCGCATCGGGTGAATCCAGCGAGCAGATGGATGTGATGATATCCCTGGCTTTAAGCATAGACTGTAAGGCTGGGTGTGTAAGAGGGAGGTAATTGACAATATTGTCAATGAAAAGGCTATACCGAGGGAGTCTCTGCACCGGCTCAATAATAGAAGACCGAAGCTTTTGTTCTCCTGTCTGCTGGACTCGTTGAGAGAAACTCGATTGCTGCCGCGCATAAGTGGAAATAAGCTGTGGGAACTCTTGGCTAGCACGAATATAATCCTGATAGCAGTCCGCGAATTGAGGAAACCACTCGAGCAGCACCTTTGCAAAGCCAGTCGCACCCGTCGGATCCTTTGGACGTCCAGTCCCACCATAACGCGGCCTGGAGAATGTCGGCTGATCGTTCTCAAGATCCTGCATCGCCTCTTCCTCTGACTCGTCCATGCATTTTTGTATGGCAGCCAGGAAGCCCTTATTAACCTGTAAAATCTTGTCCAGCGAAGGTGGAAAAAGCTTCTGTAGGTCTTTCTCGGTGGGGCTTGCGCTTCCAACAGCCTTCTTCCTTGCTTTGGCTCTGAATTCGTCTGCAATATTGTTGACCAGCTCATGCACCTTGATAACATATCGCTCTTCCGTGTCGACGAGTTCACCCATCTCGCGACGGAGTGACATTTTCTGGTTCTTGAGAAACGACTTTGAACGGTTCAGCGACGTAGGTTTCGATGGGGCCCGGCGAAGTTTTGAGGTTGGGATGAATGATGGTTCGCCAAACTGCCTGACGAGTGGCGCATATTGCCCATACTGAAGATGCGTGGAATCACCAGCCTCGTCATCGATGTCCTCAGTTTGAACCTCCGGCAAAGATGTGATCGATCCCGGAGGCAGCACGAGATCAACATCAATATGACTGACAGCCTGCGACTGCATCCCCGCCTCCAGATCCGCAATAACCTCCGCCACATTCTCGACCTTAACAAGGCTGCTCGCCAGATTCGCAGCATGCTGCCTCCCAAACAACGTCGGCACCGAGCCCGGCCTTCTGCCCCGCGTGTTCGAAGACTGCACAATCAGCGCCGTCTTGACCGCTGGTGGCATCTCCTCAAAGTATTTCATCAACCCAAACGCCAGGCCGCGACAGACCTCATCGCCCTGCCATTCGCGCGGCAGCGCATTGACGACATCGTATAGGGGCGAGTTGGGCGAGACGGTCAGGCGCGGGTAGCTGGTGAACCCGGCGGCGCTGAGGACGTGGATCTGGATTCGGGAGGAGCTGAGGGTGGCATTTGTGGTTGTGGAGGCGCCGTGGAAGATCAGGAGGGGGAGGTTCGAGAGTAGGGGGTCGGTGGTGTGGTAGAGGCCGACGTCGGTGACTGAGAGGGCCGTGAGGCCGGAGGGTAGCTGGACCATTGTGTGGGCGTGTTCAGGTGTTTCGCGGGCTCATGTCTGTGCTACCATGTGTGAGTCGGTCTTGATCGATTGGATGTTTGTTGTTTGCGCTTCAGTGTTGGGTATTTGCGAAGTCGCAATGTCGCAAGGTCGTTATGAGTAACTCGGTGTATGTTTCCGCGTTGAAGTATCGGTGAAGGTGTCGATCGAGGAGGTGAGATCGGAGCCAAGGTGAAGTTGACGGCGTGGTGGAAGTTGAAGTTAAAGTTTTAAGTTAAACTTGAAGATCGATAACCGTCGATCAACAAGAAAAGCAATCAAGAATCAAAAAAGCACCAGCGCTGTAATTGAAAGCCCCAGGGCGCAATAGCCAGAGAATAGAAGGGCCAGACAGAAGTGTTGTTGACGAAGTGGTGGCGGTATATGATCACAGCGTTATAATAACACAGGACAAGCGCATTGGCGCACAACTGCCCAAATTCCTCTTTGTTGTCGCAGATATCCTCTCCCAGAAAGGCGCAACCTCAGAATTCGGAGCGGTGAAGTGAATTTACTCTTCCCTATCGCCGTCGCTGTCGCCGTCGTTCGTAAAGCCCAAAGTAGAGATCTATATTCGCAATCGATCCATAACCCTCTTTCCTACCTTCGTGGGCGATCCTCTCGAAAAAAGCGGCGTCAGTTCGGTTCGGTGATGACGAAGAGCCTCGCCCTGTCTCTTCCCTCCTTCCCAGCTGTACAAGGGTATTTTTAGGTTGTTTAGTTTGTTTGTTGTACGCAGGTCGTGGGGACGCGGCCGACGCGTTGATTGGTCGGCTTGTTGATCCGTGGGGGCAGCTTCGACCCCGCCAAATCTCAGCCTTGTATATCGCCGACATCAGTTGTGTTAACGCGAAACGCTTGTCTTTTTGTAATTATACTGCATTATACTGTATTATAGACGTTATATAGCCGACAACCTTGTCAATTCTTCATCTCTCAAGGGCCTTCTAGGAGTCGTCATCTCCGACCTCACACAAACACCACCCCCCGAGAATACAATGTCCACCCAAGATTCAACCTCCATCCCCCTCTCAACCGCCCACGTCCACGCTCCCTACAAGCTGCTCGAGCTACCCCCGGCTCTCCTCGCCCTGCTCGAGTCCGACTCCCCGCCAACCCTGCACCTCACTCCCGGCACCGGCACTCCACATGCCCTCCTCTCCGCCCCAACAGGGACCTACCGACTACAACAGAAGAATAGTTCGAATCCGCTGATGCTGCTACGGCCATCTTTCTCGACAGAGGCGGGCAGCGAGGGTGCTGATGGTGCTGATAGCGAGGTAGGATGTGCCTCAGTATGTGTGGTGGCCAGGATAGAGGATACCCTCGAACTCCTCCCATACGACGCGGCTGCGGAAGCTGCGGCACCAGTGAAGGCGAAAGCTGGGAAGTGGCATGAGAAGTTTGCGGCATCGAGAGCGAAGAAGTGAAAGATGATACTCACTATGGATGTTCATATTGGTTATCTGGCTCGTACGCTGGGTAGGGACCTGCCCGCTGCAGGCGGCTGAAGAGGCTCTGGGACTGGCTCTGGGTCGTTGGGCTCAGTTCCTGTGATGGCATGGGAAGGCTGGATGGCAGAGAGAGGGATACAAGACGTGGGTTTGTCCTGCGCCGCGATGGGGGGAGGAATTGTCGGCTGGTTATGTCTACGGAGTACCAAGAAACTACGGTCCACGCGCCATCAACGGACAAAGCCAGAGGGCATCTCAGATCAGATCTGTATTTACAAGAAGGAATACCAATCAAGGCAACTTCAATGTCAATTAACACACCGTTCAAGTCCCCAACAATGTACGCGATCTAAACGTGAAAGCTCATAGTCAGAAAACCGCCCACCAAGCCCAATGCGCACTCTAAAACCACTCTTGCCGCCAAAGCAAAGAAAAAGCCTTCCACACAATCCCCCACCTCCTCAGCACCAAGCATACTTCTCATTCGCCAACCACTCTACCTCCTCCCCCTCCTTCCCATACCACATCACACTCGCAATCCCCTCCTTCTCCCTCTCCACCGTCCTCCCCCCCACCCTCTCCAGCGCCCCCCCAACCACCACACTCGGATTCCACACCTCCACCCTCCCACACCCCCACTCCCTCGCCTCCTCCCTCGCAACCCGCACCACCTCCCCCAACTGTCTCACCAACACATCTCCATCCACCTTCCCCCCTTTCATCTCCTCCTCAACAACAAGTCGAAGGATATAAAGCGTATTCTTCGCCGTCTCGCCTTTCTTCCCATAGAAACCCCTCGTCCACACTGCCCACACCCTGCTTCCGACTTCGCCGACCAACGCACCGCGGATCTCGGGGATACGTCCGAAGAGCGCGCGGGTGACGAATTCCTCCCGTGCGCGGTGCCAGGCGAAGTGCTCCGCGTCGGGAGGGATGGCAACTCTAGTCTTTCCATCCCCGCTCGGCTTCTCCATTAGCGCTCGCAACATCCCCTCATCAGCCTCACACAACTCCTTCAAATCGGCAGTCTTCAACAACTTCACCCCTCCTCCCACCTTCCCATTCTGTCCCTCCCCCGCGCCATCAGCAGCGGCTGGGAACTCCACATGCCCACTCGGAAAAGGCATCCACCCATGCCTCCCATAAAACCCCCTCCCAATATCCGAATACAGCTTCGAAAACACGACCTCCTTCTGATCTCTACTCTCCTCCGCCTGCCACCCCCTCAACACCCCCCCCAACTCCGTCATCATCCTCGACGCATACCCATGTCCCCTGTATTCCGGATAGCAAAACACGCTTCCAATCCCATGACTCACCGCCTCCCTCACCTCCCCCCCCGGTGTCGCAACTAAAGTGCGCTTCCGCAGACTCTCTGCTGTTGCGAGCACAGGGCGCGAATCGGCGGGGAGGGACCGGTCGACGAGGATCCAGTGTGTTATTCCCCCCGAGGAGGCGAGGGTGGAGGCGGAGCAGAGATGGGATTCTCGCTCGATGTAGGTTGGGGTCGGGAGGGCGGCGCCCCAGTCGGTGGAGGATTTGAGCCAGGTGTGGCGGCGCTCGGTGGGGGTGGGGTGGGTGAGGATTAGGGAGGGGGAGGTGGCGGGGGGGAGGGGGGCGGTGGTTGTGCCGTTTTGGGGGGTTTCTTTGGTGGTTGTGCCGTTTGTGGGAGTTTCTTTTGTGGTTGTGCCGTTGGAGGTGGTAGTGGTGGTGCTGGCTCCGTTGGTGCTAGCTGGTGGTGGTGCTACCTTGACGCCGTTGGTGTAGCCGTTCGTGGCTGTCTTGTCGATGGCGTTCGTCATGTCGTCTGGGTGAGGATGCATGTAGATGGTTTCTTTCGATCAGTAATGAAACTGAGAATGTAGGGAATTTGTTGTCGCCTTCGTCTTCGTCTGAGCGTGGTCAGACTGAGAATGTAGGAAATTCGTCTTCGTCTTCGTCTGAGCAGTGGCTAGACTAAGAATGTGGGTATTTCCTTCCGTTCTTCTAATAATCTGAAGATGTAGAGTATTTCCGTTCAGTCCGTCGTCGAAGTCTGTCCGCCTGTCTGTCTGTAAATTCAAGTTAAACCCTTAAGTCGTCCGTGAGTCAGCCCATGAATCAGCAGTCTGTATCTCAATAAAAAAAAGATTTTTACTATTCAAACCCCATCAAGCAAGCTTTCCACGATGACTCTTCCCGCCTCCCACCGTGGGTCCCTCCCGAGTATATATAACCCCCCCCCCATCCCCCCATTCGGTCCCTCCTCCCTCCTTTACCACCGGCGATACCCCCCCCCACCCCATCACCCGCCCCCCAATTGACCAATCCCCCCCCTCCCCGCGCCCTCCCGCCTTCCCCAAACAGCCACAAAGACCCATTCCTGCCCGCCCGCCCTGGCATCACCGGAACACACTAGCGCTCACCGACACCCCGAACCGACGAACCACACACAGCGATGGGGCGGATGGGGGAAACCAGTGTTTGGGACGGTGTTTGTCAGCCTTGCCTTGGAGCCGAAGTCAAGCGATGGAAGGCGCCCGATGCGGAATAAGCGCGGAGGGGTGGTGATTGGCTGGGAAGGTAGAAAGAGGGGGGGATTTGGGGAAAGGACTGGGATTATTGGGGAGGGGAGGGGCACGAGGCTGAGGAGGGGGGATTTGTATGACACATGGGTGACATAAGGTCGGTTGGGAGGGGGAAGGTTCAGGATGTAGTTGCTTGTTTGGGCTTGGTCGGATGACGGTTGGTGGGAGGTACTTGGGGGGAACTTGGTGGTGGGTTGGATTTTGGGGTTTGGTCAGTGGTGGAGGGGGAAGTATGCTAGGTATTCTAGATGTATCGCGATCCCCACAAGGAAGACCGTATAGAAGGCCAGACGACCACAAAGAACTTCTGGGATGGATCTATAGATGGTTTGTATTTCACGTGATTTGTATATCTGCTCGATTACTACTGAGTCCTGTTAGTAGAGTGGTAGAGGAGTAGAGGAGTTTAGATACTGCGAGTATTGTGAGTATATCAAGTGGCATAGGTAATGCGTACTATAAGTGTGCACTAGCCAAACTTTTCGTCTATTTTAGGAGAATTTAGTCTAATAAACCACGTGATATTCCACCTCTACAAGCAATCTAATTCAGTAGTTTCCAAATAGCGGAGTAAATGATATATCATACTCGCGTACTGTGTTACCTGCCTCGGTACTACTCGATCAAATGAAGTATACTGATTATGAGATGAGTAATCCATTATAGAGCACCATTCCATATCCTACATCACGTGCGTTAAAATGGCCAAAGCTTCCTCATTAAGTAAGGCGTCAGGCCAGTGTTTCCTCATCAAGTAAGGCTTCTTATCACGTGAGGGCAGTGTTTCCTCATCAAGTAAGGAGTCATCACGTGATTGGCCAGTGTTTCCTCATCAAGTAAGGCTTTGTATCACGTGAGGCCAGTGCTTCCCCATCAAGTAAGGCTTATTATCACGTGATATTGGCCAGTGCTTCCCCATCAAGTAAGGCTCAACATGTGACATTGGCCAGTGTTTCCTCATCAAGTAAGGCGGCCTCTCAAGGGACCACCCCAAACCCAATTAAGCCTTAGCTCCCGCGACTCTCAAGTGACAAGTCAACTCACCAAGAGCGAACAGCCAACGACATCGACCATAAACACCCAACTTGGCAATTACAAGTCTAAATCACTATATAAGCCCAAATTCCAACGTACCACCTTTGACCTTTGAACATTCCACTACCCGAGACATCACCTTACTTTATCCAACATCATCCAAACCCCTTACTGAGAGTAGTTTCACCGTCCTCCTGACCTTCTTTGTGATCTTTCCGTGCCAGTGAGAAATGAGACATCCCCGAGCCGCAGAGGTGCACTGCACGCCCATCATCCCCGTGTAATGGAGACGCCTACGCATCTGCCCTCGAGGCCTAGAGAGTTCATCGATCTCAGCTCCGATGATGAAGAAGAGGAAGATTCTGTCCAGGAACTGCCGGAGCTAGACCCAGGCCACTTCCCCGAGTTTAACGACTTCAACGACCTCATCCTCGGAAATCTGGTGCGGGAGAACCAGGCCGCTTGGGATGCAGCTGCATTTGAGGCTCAAGGCTTTCAGGTTCCCATCCTCGGCGACTGGCAAAATGAAGCCCCCGAGCCAGTCCCCGAGACCATTAATCTTCCCGGTGGTGTTGCACCTAGCTTGCCCCAGATGCTTCGACAGGCTGACAGACTCCACCTGAACCATCTTCCAGTGAATCTACTAAACGAACAGCAGGACAATGATCAGTTCCACAATGACAACGATCTCATCCAAGGACAAGTTAACAACCAACTGAACAACGAACGGCCAGACAATGAAATTGATCTCATTCTATCTGATCTGAACAGGCAGTTCCCTAATGCGCGAATGGAAGACGACGACAACTTTGTTTGGGAGCAAGTGAACCGTGACCTTCATAACGCGGACAATATCATCGATCTTGATCCACCACCAACTGAAGAGATGGCCAACAAAGCCCGCTGCATCCAAGGTGTCGCCGACATATTTCCAGATATCTGTCTCGAATATGTCGAGCAACTATATGTTGCACTTCAAGGCAGGAAGTCATCCCTTGCTATCGTCGAGCTTGTCTTAGAAGGAGAAGAAAATGGACAGCCGTATCCCAAAATCAACCAGCCGAAGAGGAAGCGTCCAGTCGAAAGCGACGACGACGAAGAGATCATCCAGAAGTATGCTGCAGATCGACAGCATAACTCGGATAAGTATTTGACCATGGCGTAAGATACCCCAGCAATATCGATCAACTCTGCTCTCGTATTTCATCTTGCTAATTTCCGTGTAGGCGTGGAATGCTCTCAGAGGACTTTCCAAGCATCCCAATGAGCTTTATCATGAGGCACTTCTATGACTCGGGTATGGTGATTTACACTGCCTACCAGAGTCTCGCCGACGCTGAGCGTGTCTGGGACCCCAGTAACCCTAGCTACCACAAATTAAAGCAGGCCCGTAAGGTCAAAAGCTTTCATCCAAGTACCGTCGAGGAGAAGCTCACCAATCCCGAAACCCCACCAGATCAGAAACGCGCTTATGCAGAGCTCAAGGACGTCAGAGCTGGACGTGCAAAGTGGGAGGGGAAATTAGCAGCCAGAAGGAAGCGTGAAGCCGATGCTATCGCAGCTAAGGAGAAGTATGAGGCCGACGAAGCTGCCAACTTGGAGCTTTCGATAAAAGAAGGAACCATGGAGGAGTGTGGATGCTGCTTTGATAACTTTCCCCGCAACCGCATGATCAACTGCAACAACGAGAGCATATCGCACTACTTCTGCAAGCGCTGTGCCCGCCTCCATGCCGAAACCCAGATCGGTAGCGGCAAATATGAGCTCCAGTGTATGTCGACTGACGGCTGCCAGGCTGATTACTCATATGCCCAGCGCCAACTTTTTCTCGATGCCAACCTCACCACGGCTCTCGACCGCATAGCAGCCGAAACAAATCTGCGCCTCGCCGGTATCGAAAACCTGGCTAGCTGCCCCTTCTGCCCCTATGCTGCGGAATACCCTCCCATCGAGGAAGAGCGACTCTTCCACTGTGTATTGGATTCTTGCAAAAAGATCTCCTGTCGCATGTGCCTGAAGGAATCACATATCCCTAAGACGTGCCAGGAGAACGCCAAGGATATTGGTCTCGATGTGCGCCGTGAAGTCGAGGAGGCCATGACAGCAGCGCTTGTGCGCTTGTGTAACAAGTGCAAGGGACCTTTCATCAAGGAGGATGGCTGTAACAAGATGAACTGCCCCTGTGGCAATATTCAGTGCTACGTCTGCTCCAAGAGCTGTCACTACAATCACTTCGATGACGAGCGCAGGGGTGGAAAAGCCGGGAACTGCCCTCTTTTCGACGATGTCCAGGTCCGCCACGAAGATGAGACAAAGCGAGCTGAAGCGATTATCGTCGAGAAGCTCAAGAAGGAGCACCCAGAAGTCGATCCAGAGGACCTGGAGATCAGGGTCTCTGATGCAGTGAAGGAGGACGAGGAGAGGAGGAAGAAGAAACGCTGGAACCCGCATGAACCGTTTAGGTTTGCCATGGAAGGTGGGATTGGCAGGCCGCAAGGCCCGCCGCTAATACCTCAGGCACTTGCTGGTAATCAAGAGCGGCAGGCGTATCGGGAGGCGTATGAGGCGCACATGGCACAATATCATGCGAATGTGGAGAATCTGGGACCTCTGGGGAATCGGCCGCGGAACCCGGGTCAGCGGCAGCATCCAAATTTGCAAGGTTAGTTAGGTTCGTTCCCGTTTTCTGAGTGGTTCTTTTTTGAGGGGGGTCTTTGCTCGATATATACTTCAACACATATCTATTCTTCGGTTCCTGGCCCCCCCATCTCCATGTGACGGTAACCAAAATTGCTCATTTATCCCCCCCTCATCGCCCACCGCCCTCCCTCTTCCCAAAACCCACCCTCACAGATCCCAAAAAAACAAGCTAACACAACCCCTAGACGCTGCTGCCGTCCCCGCAAACCCTCCCGCCGACGCCGCCGGAGTCCCAGACAAATACAAGCACGTCCGCTTCCCCCGCCACCAGCGCCACCGAAGCCCCGCCCACCAGGCCCTCTACGAAGCAGCCCGCGCCCGCGTCCGCGCCAACCGCCAAGCACAGGACGAAGCCCTTGCTGCTGCGGAGGGTGGGAATAAAGAACTCCGCGATCGGCTTGCTGCGGGGCGCAAGGAGGCGAGGAGGGGGCTGAGGGAGTTGGTGAGGGAGAGGATTGCGGCGGTGAATGAGGCGGCGAATGCGGCAGCGAATGCGGCGGATGCGGCGATTGCGGCGATTGCGGCAGAGGAGCCCAAGAGGGGAGAGGATGGGGATGCGGAGGTGGTTTATAGACCTGGTGATAGGGTTGTGGCAAGACGGAGGGTGCAGGAGTGGGTGTTTGAGCCGTTTGGAGCTCCACCTGTCCCTGCAGCTGGTGGAGAGGAGGCTGGCAATGCAGGTAATGATGGTGAAATGCCGTTAGATGATCTTCTAGCCCAGGCCTACGCTGCAATCGGCCGGGCGCCTAGGGCACGACCCGTTTACAACAGAGATGACTTCCAGCTCTTTCCCCGACAGCAGCCCTTCATGCTCCCACAGCACCCGCCTCGTCCGGAACGGCAGCCGCAACCGCAACCACAACAGCAGCCTCCAGCAGATTTCGAAGAATTCATGATGGAACAACCCCTGATGGATGGCTACGTGGAGCCGAAGGGGCAGAAACTAGTACCGCTCCCGATGAAGGCGGTGATGGATCCGCACGCAGTTATGGATTTTGAAGCACCGCATCGGAGGGGTAAAGTGAATAGGGCTGCTGCTGGTGAGGAGGGGGCGGGGAGGAGGTTCGTGAGGGTTTTGGGGCTGGATGGTGGTGGGGCGCAGCAGGGGGGGCAGAGGCTGGAGGGTGGTGGTGGGGGTGGGGGGAGGAGGGAGGGAGAGCGGGGGCTGGACTTTTTGATGAGGTTGAGGAGGGGGAGGTCGAGGGGTGGGGAGAAGGGGAAGGGTGGAGAGAAGAAGGATGGGGGTGGGGAGAAGAAGTAATGCCGGGGGGGGTGGGAGGGGGTGGGGGGTTGTTTGATATTTGTTGGGGGGGGGGATGGTATACGGCGGGAGAGAGATTGGGGTTTGGAACTGGGACTGGGACTGGGACTGGGACTGGGACTGGGACTGGGGATATGAGCTACTACTACTACAGGAGAGATATGGCTTTTGAAATTGCTACAACAGGTAGATGAATGGGGAAAGTGTTCTTGCATTGCATGACTGAGTACGGTTCTGGGGAGATGTTGTGGCAGGGTGTTTTTTTATTATTGGGTGTGTTTTTCTGGTATTGAGAGTTGCTTTGGAATTGGTAGTGGTTTATGGGTGATGCTGGAGTATGTTTGTCAGGGGTTTTGCTATGGGGTTTGTGATGTTGTGTATGTAGATAGGGGTGGGAGTTATAGGGGCTGAGAGGGATAGGAAGAATTGAGTTAGTTTATTGGAAGGTTTTTTTATGTCTGAGCGTATATACGCATTATTGTTATTCTTATTATTTGTGATAATATGTCACATTATCGAAGTTTGGATGATATTAATGTTTGACAGTGTTGCCCGAGTAGTACTCGCTGTGAATACTACTCGCCGAATACCCCGAGTACTACTCTACTCGGGTGATATTTTCGAGTACTCGAGTATTCGCCGAGTACTACTCCGAATACTCGAGTACTGCCAAGCCCTTGGCAAAGAGGGGTAAAATAGATCGTAGAATAGAATAGATAATTGAAGCTTTCTTCCACTTAAGCGTTCTGTATTACTTCCTGTAATGAGTGACTCTTCGCTGTCGCCGGTGCCGGCTGAGTATCAGTCTGATACTTTAGAGCTGCCGCCCCTTATTCCGATGCACCTTATTTCAGTGCTGCAAATGCCTCTACGGCTTCAATTACCTGATTCTACTTCAATTCTCTTTTCCAAAGGACTATTCTACCGTACTATATTAGATATAGTGCCTACTAGAATCTAATACTAATGCCTTTAAATTAATTGCGGATATACGCCGAGCCAGCCCCTAAAGAACTAGACGACGAGCAATCTATGGAAGCATCTTAAGAATCAGCACCTATTAGTGTACGTAGAATATGATAAATCATCTTCAATTCGAAGCTCATCAACACCCTCTATGTCTGCTTTCTTCTAGCCTTGCTAAGTACCTAGTAACGCCCCAAGTTCGTCGAAATATAGAGAGCTTGTTCTCTCTTTTATAGTATCAAATAACCTACTATTACACCTTGTCGAAAGCCAATCCTTTCAGCAATTAGTTCACCATTTAAATCCTATAGTCTTAACCGTTAGTAGAACTACGATTAGACGGGATCTATATCGACTATTCTGCTATCATAAAGCACGGCTTCAAGTAGAATTACAGCAGCATGTTAGAAGCGGTAGACGACTAGCAATAACGACGGATACTTAGTCTACTCGAAACTACTCTAAGTATGTAGCGGTTATAGTACACTAGATTAATGATAATTAGCAAATGAGAAATACTATACTTAACGTTATACACCTATAAGAGCTAATCTACTCTAGCAAATACCTCGCTAAATAGATGATAAATATAACGGACGATTATAGTATTACGCCTGCGATCTTTACTATTACAAGAGATAACGCCTCTATAAATACAACGATGCTATTTAAATATAAGAAGCTAGCTTTAGCGCAACCTGTTACCCTTAAACAGCTATAAGCTTTTATAGCAAAAGTAGGAGACGTACGCTATATTAAGCATATTATTAATATTGCTATTTAAGCTACTTTAGCCTCTTTAAAAGCAACGCTAGATGAAGGCCTAGAGGCATATTAGCTTAAGATTAGAGAGGCATAGATACTACTTACTTCTAAAAATAATATCGTTACTGTTCTTACTAAGCTCTAGCGTTATATATATGTGTTTTAGAACTACTGCGGGTAGAAAGACGCCTTAAAGAATTAGTGTAAAGCTATAGGTATTAAAGTCTGTTAGTTGACGCTTAATATACTAGTCTAATAGAGCTCAACTTATTATATGATTAATATAGCTTTAAAGCTTTAGATTCTGATTATAGCTTTATGCGCATTATAGCAACTTAATATTAGCATAAGAGATATCACTTTAACAGCAACAGACTAGGCTACGCTACATAACTTATTAAAGCTATTCTATATCTTCGTCTGCCTAACTAAGAAGTTATAGGGCTCTTCTTATCTAACTCTCAACTACGCTGTTCTGTAGTATATGAGGATAATTAAGAAGCTTAAAGATATAAGACGTAAGCTACTAGAACGAAGCCTAATTGCTACTACTACTTCAATTGCGTTAAAGAAGCTTAATGATTACTATACTCTAGCTATAAATTAGTACTAGAGCTACTCTATAATTGCTACGATCTATGATCCTTAGTATAACTTTAACGTCTTTAATATTATATAGAAGGATAGCACGCACTTAACTAAGAAGAATTAGGCAAAAGCGTAGTAGCAGGACTGCTTCTATTAATATTTAGGCTGCGAGTCTGATATTTAAGCAGCAGACGTTATAGTCAGTATCGAAGCTAAGGATCTAGCTATAGAGCAAGCTATAAATATTGATGTTGACTTAGAAGATGAGTTATACGTAATATAAAGCCGCTATGATATTAAGCTAGAATGGAAGCAATGGATGAAGGAGCCAATAGTTAGTTGGGATACGGATATTCTCAAGTATTAGTAGAGTAAGCAATACTAATATCCATTAATTGCTTCTATTGCGAAGGATTACCTAGCTATTCTAGCTACTTCAGCAGACTCGGAACGAGTATTTAGTGTTAGTGGTGATATTATCACAAAGAAACGGAACCGATTATTACCTTCTACACTTAGATATCTACTCTGCCTACGGAATTGGGGTGTTCTATCACAAGGCGACGACGAAGACAGCGGCGACGATGCAGATAATGAGAGTTAGAATAGTATATATATAGTGATATTTTAATTTCTACTCTATTTCTATTTATATGCGAGTACTACTCGGGTATTCGAGTACCGGTACTCGAATACCAGTACTCGAGCTTCAATTTTGAGTACTCTACTCGAGGATGCTCGAGTAGTACTCGGAGCGGTATTCGGGCAACACTGATGTTTGAAATTTCATATCTGGATTTATTGGGATATATTCTATAATCGCAATTACCGCAAAACCAACCACGACCTCCACTTTCTCCTTCGATCCCCCTTTGTCCTCAAGAGCTTGTAGATACAGAAACTGTAAACTAAACCCGTCTTCTTGTTTACTTTCCTCCTCTATTAACGCCACCCCCACTAAATATAGACATCGCCACTGCTTGGTCTCTCTGGTGCATATAATAATGAAGGCTTGGCGCTGAGTGGAGATTGGGCGTAATGCGGTGGATGGTGGAGGTCTTGTCTGTGGTTATTTGGTGTGTGCGCGTTCATGGCAGTCTTTCCTTCCACTGCCCCAGGATTTCTGGCGCGTGCGTGCACTGGTACCCGGTCCTAGCATCACAGCAACGGCACAACCGCATATCTTCAAAACCAGTAGAACGATCACATCCTCATAGCCGGGCCGCGCGGATGTTGTAAATCGGACCTACTGAGTCTGAGCTCCATGAACCATATATTCATAAATTTAACAAATGAGCGGGGGGAATTTACGCTGCTTTCTTCCCATCCCTCTTATCTTCCGGCGGTGGGGCGGCCTGCTCAACCCACGTCTCGAGCACGAAAGCCCCTGAGTCGACGGAACGAATGGGTGTTGCGCGTGGGCCTCGAAGTGCTGGGCCTTCGGTGGTGGTATCTGTTTCCTTGTCTACTGTTTTTTGAAGCGCAGGAGGAGAGGGGACCCAGGGTTGGGGATGCTGGTGGTTACACGTTAGTACAGTGGTCAGACAGAGAAAGGGGCTTGAACTCACCCCAATAGGCGGCGTTACATCGTCACGCAGCTCCACGATGATGGTGTACGTGCACCCTTCTGGCAGCGGGGCCATCTTCTCAGCGGTATATGCGAGCCTCCGTATCGTGGCACGAAGCTGCTCTTCTATATCCACAATATGAATCTTAACCTGCTCCCCCATCTCCTTTTCCTCCCCATCCTCCTCCCCCACAGGCATCTCAACACCCTTCCCCTTCCCCACCAACGGCTCCTCAAACTCCACAAACCGATCCGTCTTCGCCACAACCGGCCACGCCCCAACATCAAACACCCACCGCTCCTGCACCACCGCCTGCCTCCTATCAGCGACGTCATACACGACGAAGGAAATCTTATCCACGCGCCCCTCCGCCATCTCCTTCTCCACGGCTGCCACGGCGTCGCTGACCCATTCGCAGACCTTGGGGTGCCGAGACTGGCGGACGGGGTAGTTGTAGGCGCGTGCGGAGATAAAGGAGGTTGGGGGGTAGAGGGCGCGTTCGTAGAGGAGGGTGTGGATTGCCACGGTGAGGAAGGAGGTGAGGGTTCGGAGGAGGGAGGTGTAGGTGTTGAGGATGGGGATGGGTGGTGGGGGCGGGGCAGGCATGGTGGGCGAGATGGACGGTGTGGTGTGGTGTTGATGGCCGGAGAGGCTGACCCCCGTATAGTTTGGAGTCCCAAGACAGCCTCTGAAGTGCCGCGCTGGAATATGAGGCTTTGAAGTTGCGCCCTTTCTTTGTTTCTGAACTTTTCTTCGGACGTTTTTCAACTGTCGCCGTTTGTGACGTGGTGGGTGGATGGAGCTCTTATCTTATCGTTGCTGATTCGCGGTGCTCACGCGTAGGCACGTGCACCCCGCCCATTGCCCATCCACAACAACCCCACGCCAATCCGCCAAATCCGTCTCGAGTATCCCAAACTCACCTCACCGTCTGCCCATAAAACTCCCCCTCCTCCCACAACCGCCCCCCCCCGCAACAAACGAACGATATCCCCGATTCATGGGCCCGTAGAATTCACCACCACAGCACTTCAACCTCCTACCATGTCGAATCTCGAAGAGCAGCTCCTACATCTCCTGGCGGAAGCGCAGAGCTCCGCCTTGGCACCCCGCCAACAGGCAGAGGCGCACCTGCAGGCGCTGCATAGCAACGAGGCGTTCCCGACCGGCTTGGCTGCCATTGCAGCGCATACCAGTTTGCCGATTAGCACGCGGCAGGCGGCGCTGACCACGCTGAGATTGTTCGTGGAGAAGAATTGGAGCGGAGAAGATGACGAGACTGAGGGGCCTACGGTTGTTATCTCGGATGAGGTTAAGACTGTGTTGAGGTCGAGGCTGTTAGAGCTTGCCACAGGTGGAGACGATGAGAGGAGGGTGAGAGGTGCGGCAAGGTATGTTGGACCCCGATGATAGTGCGTGCGGGGAGTAGTGCTGTCGCGGTTTGTTTATTTTAGCACAAAGCTATACTAACGTGCGGTCTAGTTACGTCGTGAGCAAAATTGCTAGTGTGGACTTCCCAGATCAATGGCCGACCTTGTTACCTACGCTTCTACAAATTATCCCCACCGCTTCTGATGCACAGCTCCACGGCGCCTTGAAGGTGCTCGCGGACCTTGTCGACGACAGCTTAAACGAAGACCAATTCTTCGCGGTGGCACGAGATGTTATGGGCACAGTCTACAGCGTTGCCATAGATGATAACAGGAAGATGACTCTGCGAGCTTTGGCCGTGGGGGTGTTCCGTGGATGCTTCGATATCATGGACATGGTGAAGGACGAGCACGGAACTGAGGTCAAGGCTTTTGCGGATGAGGTCTTACAATCGTGGTCTCCATTCTTCCTGCAAGTAATGAAGCTACAATTCCCAGCACGAAGCCAAGTGGCTGGCGAAGAAGGTCTGGACCGGGAACCCGAGAGCTGGCGTGGGGTTGTTGCCCTGAAGCTCCAGGTTGTCAAGACGCTTATGAAGATTCGACAAGTATTTGCCCAGCTGCTACTGCCGCAAAGTCCAGTTTTATTCACGGCTACTTGGGAAGAGCTTTCCTCGCTACAGGATGCGTTCAAAGACTTGTACATCGACCACGACGATCAGGGACGGTTGGAGGATGCGGACGGTCTCCCGTATACTTTGGACTTTTTGGTCTTGGAGGAGCTTGACTTCTTACAGTCATGCTTGCGGGCTCCACCTGTCCGCGAAGAATTGGAGACGGCACTCCAAAATTGCGGTGGTATCTCAAATACCCCATGGGTTGTGGATGTGATGAAACTTGCCGTTGCATATGCACAGATTCCCTCAGAAGAAGAAGGTCTTTGGGACATCGATGTCAACCTCTTCCTTGCGGAAGAAACATCAGTTACTGCTAACTATACAGCTCGCACTGCCTGTGGAGATTTGCTCATCAAGCTGGGCGAGTGGCTGCACCAGGGTGCTTTCGAGGGTCTATTGACTTACACGAGAGTTCTATTTGCAAGCCCTGACGCTACGTGGAGGACAAGAGAGGCTTCGCTGTACCTCCTCACTCAACTACTGAACGACTTTCTTGATATTGATAAGCGCATTCACGCGGAGACAGCAGCGTCATACCTTGAATTTATCGAGTACGCCGTCAACCGCGAAGACGAGCCCCTGCTTCGCGCAAGAGGGTACATCGTTGCTGGGGTTCTCGTTCAAAGCATTTCAGGCAATGCATTCCCAACTGTGGCGCTCCTTGACCGTACCATCAAGGCTATACACGAGGATGAGTCCGAAGTTGTAAAGGTTGCTTGCATCAAGGCCATCCAGGGCTTTATCAAAGCTCCCGAAGGAATCCCCTCTGACCGTCAAATCCCAATTGCCGTTGCCATTTCCGAGTTCCTGAATGCGAAGGATTTGACTGAATTGGAGGATTCGGATGACTTATTGGTCACCCTTGTTGAGTCGCTTCGTGCAGCAACACAGCTCGACTACTCCATCGCCATTGCTCCCGGAAGTGGAGTCATTGACCTGCTGTTCTTAATGGCGAAGCATGGTGCGGCGAGCTTCCAACTTACTGTGTTGGTTAACGAAACTTTTGAGGACATCGTGCAGTCGCTGTCTTCACAGGGCGCAGAGGGATATATCGCGCTTTGCGAGAAGGTGATGCCTTCCTTAACAGGAGCGTTGGATGTTGGAAGCGTGACAGAGGATAATCCTCTTACGACTCTTGCATGCGAGTTGATCGCCGTCTTGACGGAGAACGGCTCCGAGCCACTACCACCCGGATTCGTTGCCGCAGTCATGCCAAAGCTTAGCCGCCTCTTGTTGAGCACCGTCGAAGGAGAGATCCTCCGCCCTGGCTCCGAGGCTCTTAAGTTCATTATAATGCATGATCCGCAGCAGCTATTTGAGTGGCATGATGAAGCTGGGCGCTCCGGATTGGAGGTTTGCCTCATCATCATTGATCGCCTGCTTGGCCCTACTATGGAGGACAACGCGGCCTCGGAGGTTGGAGGAGTTGCTGCGGAGCTTGTTGAGAAGGCGGGACAGGAGCGTCTTGGTCCGTTCTTGCCTCAGCTCCTTCAAGCAGTTGCCTCGCGTCTGGCAACTGCTGAGGCAGCGCCCTTTATCCAGTCTCTCATTCTCGTCTTTGCTCGTTTGTCCGTTGTTGGTGCAGGTGATGTTGTTGAGTTCCTGAACCAGATCGAGATTGGAGGACAGAGCGGACTGCAGGTTGTTCTGAGCAAGTGGTTGGAACACTCCATCAGCTTTGCCGGATACGATGAGATCAGACAAAAGTAAGTAGAACCCCCTCCCAAAAACGATAGTGCTAACAAAACAGTGTCATCGCCCTCTCCAAGCTCTACAGCCTGAACGACACCCGCGTCGCACAGACCATGGTAAAGGGCGACCTAATCGTCCCAACCAGCGACAGGATCATGACCCGCTCCCGCGCCAAGAACAGTAAGTCCCCACCCCACCCCGACACGAACGTTTCCTAATAAGGTCAGATCCTGACCAGTACACCATAGTACCCGCCCCACTGAAGATCGTCAAGGTTCTCATCGAAGAGCTCCTCTCAGCCTCTGGCGTCCAGAACGCCGTTACCGCCCTCGCCGCCGCAGACTTCGCGGACGAAGAGGACGACGATGGATGGGAGGATCTGCCTTCCATCCTGGATCTCGGCTCGGGTGCCGCCAAGGCGGATTTGATGGCCTACGCTGAGGGACTGGGTGGAAGCTTCATGCGCCAGCGCGACGACGAGACGCAGGCCTACCTTACAGACTTCTTTGTGCGTGCGTCGACAGAGAATATTGCCGGGTTCAACGAGCTCTACGCGCAGTTGACGGATGAGGAGAAGGCGAAGCTGGAGGAGCTTGCGAAGGGAGCGCAGGCGGCACAGTAGATGCGTGGGCGCGACAAAAGTGGGGTGCATATAGGTCTATAAGGTGGAATGGTTCGGGCCGTTGAGGCTGTAGATAGATAGATACAGATACCAGGTACGGTGGAGGCCAAAGAGTTGGAGCTGTTTTCGCTTCGTTTCAGAAAAGCATAGCGAGGTTCGATTTGGCCATTGCAAGAGCTGCGTGGTGGGGTTAATGATTATGAGAGTTTGGTAGAATCATGACTTTATTTTGGTGATATGAGAGATCATTTATGATTTTGATTGTGATATTTAACGTTTCTAATTTAACGTTTCTAATTTCACGAGGTGAATTGAAGAATTTGAATATTTTATTTCGCTAGTATATCTACAGTGATTAATTGCTATGCTGATATGCACAAGCTCTGGGTTCATGAATGGGTATTATAGGACTTCATGCCAATTAGGTTCACTTGCGCTTGGTGAAAACGAGTGGACACTCATCCTAAAAATCAAATTAGCACAAGTCGTAACAAACAACCCACATCAATATCAACCTGCAGGAGACATTCAACGTACCATTGGGAACAACGTAGCAAAAACCCTGATCTCCTCCGACCGACTCGTAGCATGATGCACCCAATCAACCTCCAACGCCGCCTTCCCAATCATCGCCGCCATCGTCAGCGGCACATACTTCCTCGCCAGACAATCATGCGCCCCTGCACCAAACACAAGCCAATTCTTAGTCTTCGACTCCGCATCGCCCGTGATCCAGCGCTCGGGATCGAAAACATCGGGATTCGGGTACACCTCTGGGTCATGAAGAGCTGGGTAGCAGGACGGGACGATTAGGGCGCCTTTGGGGACGGTGTAGGTTGGTGTGATGGGGAAGTCTTTCGTGGCGGTGTAAGGTACGAAGATGACGGGCGGTCGGTGACGGAGGAGTTCTTTGACCACGGCGTTGGTGTAGGTGAGTGACTCGTACATGTCGAGATCGAATGGGCGGTTTTTGTCACCTTGGCGTACGGCGAGATTCTCCTCTCGGACACGATCAAGGACGTCTGGACGCTGGGCGAGGATCTGGAATAGCCAGGTAGTTGAACTGCTGGAGGCGTCTTGGGATGCAAAGAGGAAGGTAAATATCGTCTGGCCAATCTCCTCATCTGTGAAGTCGCGGATGAGATTTGCCGGCTTCTCTACTCCTTCTTTTCCAGCGGCGATTTGTTCTCGGTATTTGTTGGACTCCATCATGTGTAGAACCCATTGGTCGACTATGCATTTTGGCTCAGCGCCAGTGGCCATGTTGGCCTTGCATGTAGCAGCACACTTTGTGAAATCGGCCTGGACTGCATCTGCGATGCGTTTCCCTCGCCAGCACTTGGTGAAGGGAACGTAAATGGAGAGGGGAATGTTGACAAGCTCCAGAGCGGCGGTGACGAGGTAGAAATCATCGGCAATTCGTTTGACTGTGTCTTGAGAGATGTAATCGCCAAAGAAGGTTCGGCACGATAGCGCGCAGTTGATTTCTCTGAAATGTCCCATGAACCCCATTGGTTTCCCTCCATTTTCCTTGCTAGCTGCGACGAATCTGTCGAAGTAATCGGTATAGACCTTTTCCTGGACCGGGAGATAGGTGCCGAGAGCTTTGTTGGTAAAAAGGCCAGCCAGTCCTCTGCGGTACTCAGCATGGGCCTTGCCATTGAGGAAGACCCATGCGGATGGACGCATGATTTCAGTCGCGATTGGAACTAAGCATGGTTTGGCGTAATTCGGTGACTTGAAGACTTTGTGTGCGAGGTCGCGGTCTGAAGCCAGAACGACAAATCTGTTAGAGAACAAGTTAGCATAAACTCACCAGATGGATATAAGATGACGTACTTGTGGAATACGGAAACGCAGCTAAGCGGTCCACTGGCCCATTGAGCAAGATATGCATCGAACTTTGGGTGGAGACTTTGTATGAAGGGTCCCATGAATGGGATTTTGAAGGTCGGTCCGGCGATAGGGCCTTTTCGTATGATGTACATAGCTGGTGGTGCGTCAGTGGGTTGAAGTTAATCACAGGAGTCCTGGTAACATACATTGATCGTAGGCCATCAGAATGAGTAAGATGGTAACTGCGATCTGCCAACCGCTGAGCTCGGAAAGGAAACCAGGCAGTACGCCTTCTGCCCAGCCATTGCTATCATGCTGTGCGAGATGTGTTCCATTTTCGACCGTAAACACAGCACTGGGTTCGACAATTGAGACCATGGTGTATATTAGGTCCTCATTCCAGTATATTTGTCTGTTTGCGGGTATTGTAGAATATCTCTGAGAGGAAGAGACCCTTTATATGGACTGGATGACACCAAGAGCATCTGCTGGTCCACAAGCACAAGGAGGCACCAATGCTTAAACTTCGGGAACTAAACCTATTAGGACTGGCTACGAGCCAGACAAGATGAATATATGAACATGAGGTCGTCATTTGTAAGCATAATCTTCCGTGGTAGTGGCGGCTCTTTGTTGACTGCTTATGATAAAATCATAATGGCCCAAAGTGTACTAGACTCCGATGGTTGACGGTTCGGGGCCCCCTGCTCCGATTTACCGTTGATCCACGCGATACGGAGTCTAGTACTATTTAGGACTAGACTCCGAAGCACCGAAGCACTGACCACTTAGATTTGTGAGGAAGTAAGCAAGCTTCTCCGCGGTCTGGATCCATCAACACAGCTCCTTCGTTTGTATCTTTGGGTTTTTGGAGGTTTCATATACTGGTGTAAAGACACGCATGAATATGCAGCGTTAATAGGCTTTACTGACGATTTCTTCCCACTTTCCCCGAAAGGCCGCCTCGTGCTGTGTTCTCACCCAAAGTACGTTCTCAAGGTGGCTGAGTACATCCTCCCATGTATGCAGACTGAGTGCAACAGCAGCAGCACAAGCTTGGTCGATGAACCACTGGTAATGTGTTGTGTTGGTAGATGCCACCATGCCGACAAAGGAAACCCATATTTCGAGCGAGCCATGCGTGTAATTTGTATGGCTCAAAGCCGCATAATACCCTTTGAGCTGGAGTAGGATAGTATTTATCAAGTGATGGTGAGAGTAATACGTCGTCCCATGGATGCTCAACATGTAGAGCACCAATGCGTATCGAAGACATTCAGAGGTAGATGATTGCTTCGGTTGTGCAGGCGAGAGTGGAGGCAGTAACAGAAGCTTATGGACGACAAAGCACGTCAGGTCATGAAGCTCGGTGGTCGTCAAGGACGAAAGCTGTGGCTGGTGGAAAATGCTCCGGAGACGGGCTAAGATGTCTCGTACGTCAGGATCAACGTCAAGATTGTCGAGAGTCCGGTCCTGTAGATCTGGTGCCATAGAAGCTAGCTGCCACTGCAGTGTTGGATCAATTCCACTTCCAGAGCCAAAATCATCTTGGGTCTGGAATTGAGGACATCCTGTCACCAGTAATGATACCCTAGATTATTTAGTAGGAAATTCTTATTTTTCCAGCGTGGAACTCACCAGGATACCATTCTCGCTGTCAGCGGGCTCGTCCGCTTCACTTCGTTGATTCCGCCCCGGATGCTAACTATCCGTTTGACTCCATCAATGTGCATTCTGCTTGCTTCAACATTTCCTTTGCCATGCTGTTCGTACCTTGCGTTAATAATGTAAACATAACGCTTTAGTTGGAATGATGCTTACTTCAATAGCCGCCAATGTGACTACGGAATTCACGGTCTCGTCTTGAAATGCTAATGACGAATCTTCAATCTTCCGTCTCACCAGCGACACCGAATCGCTCATGAGAAGCTCTGAAATTGGAAATCCCTTCTGCGACCTTAATTCTTGGTCCAGGGATGCCGTCTGTAACGAGACGTGGAATAATGCGGGATCCGCAAGGGCCCGTGGCCACCATGAGACGATGAATGGGTTTGACTCCGAATTAAGATCCAGCGGGTAGTACTGGAATGCGATGCTCGACAAAACTAGACGTATTAGTCACATAATTAGGGACAAAATTTCAGGGAGGAGGAATTACAATGATGGATGAGATGCTGAATAGTCACTCGAGGAAGCCTCGCTGGCGGATACGAATCAAACGGGTCCAAAGATCCAATGGCTGGGTTCAACAGCCCTGCGGGCCCCTCCTCAAATGTAGGCGTGACCCTTCCATTTCTTGTGATTAAAGAGGTCCCCTCAACCGCAGGCGTACTATTCCCCGAGGTTGCCGAATATGATGCATATGCATTTGGGGAATTGGTAAGGGGTTCATTTGCGTAAGCACACGTGGATTTCCTCTTGATACACCGCGAGCACTGGGGAGTCCTGAGGTCGCAGCTGAGCTTTGCCTTGGCGCAAGCATCACAGGACCTGCGGAGGGTCGCGCGCATTATCCGATGGCAAAGCTTGCCAGCCCACGTATATCTTGGCTTATAACATTGGTGTATATGGCTGGATTATAACATTGGTGTATATGGCTGGAGCTGGAGAAGATGCCGCGAATACGATTGTGGTGGTGTCTTAGCGATCCGCAGAAGCCGGGGTGCACCAACGAACCTGTGGAGCAGCTGGGCACTGGGCCAGCCTTGGTCACGTGTGAGAATTTCGATGGTTTTAGCCAAATTAATAGTTGCTACTAACTAAATAGGTTCTATAAATATCTATAATTATGGGATTTACGCATGGTTGTGGTTGTCATACATGGCATTTTTCAATCGTTTTGGTTGTAACTTCGCAATGTCGAACGTTTGGGTCAGCAACAAGGGGAAGTCTATGTGTATCTCTCCGGCCCAGCTAATAAGCTTCTCCCAACTCCATGTTGCAGCCCCGCTATTCTCTTTTAGCTCTGGGATAGCTGCGTCAACCCCGCCGCTAACACGACAGTCGTCTGCATGTCAGCGTTACTCACAATGACTGCCTTGTGGTGGTGGACAAGATGGATGACATGGGAAACAGATGCGATCTTGAGAGACATAACTTGAAAGGACCAACCTGAGAGACCCAGCCTGAGAAACCCAACCTGAGAGACCCAACGTGAAAGAGCCAACTTAACAAACTCGAACCGCCTTGCAGAAAGCGTGGAATACCATGGCCAACGACATGGAGACTGCCTTCCAGGCCGCCATCGACGCTAGCAAGATCAACGGCGCCGTTATCTGTGCCACCGACGCCGAGGGCAACTTCGTCTACGACAAGGCACTCGGCAAGCGAACCCTACTATCGGGTGAGAAGATTCCCCAGCAGCTCGACGATGTGCTATTCCTAGCCTCAGCTACCAAGCTTCTCACTACCATTGCCGCCCTCCAATGTGTCGAAGACGGCTTGCTGACCCTAACCGGCGATCTATCATCCATCGCACCCGACCTCGCCTCGAAGCAGGTCATCACCGGCTTCTCAGATGATGGCGAGACCCCCGTGCTAGAGCCACCCCACGGACCCATCACGCTTGAGATGCTACTCACACATAGCTCCGGCGTAGTCTACGACTTCATCAACCCCCTCGTCACGCAATGGAACCAAAAATTCGCACCCCTAGCCGAAGGCCAGCGCCGCCCCGTCGAAGAAGCTTTCAGCTTCCCTCTCGCCTTCCACCCCGGAGAAGGCTGGATGTATGGCGGTAGTCTCGACTGGGCTGGCCGAATTCTTGAGCGCGTCACGGCTGGCACTCTGGGCGAGCACATGCAGAAGCGCATCTTTGATCCGCTCAGGATTAACTCTGCACAGTTCTACCCTGTTACGCGCGAGGACTTGCGCGAACGCCTTGTCGATCTCAATCCGGATGACCCAGAGGCACTCGGAAAGGTTGTGCTTGGTGGAGGGGGTGACCCGAATAAGCGCTCCCAGGGGCACTTTGGGGGCCATGGCATGTTCATGGCTGGCGAAGACTATGTCAAGATTCTGCGCTCGGTTCTGGCTAACGATGGGAAGGTGCTGAAGCCCGCTACAGTTGACGATATGTTCGAGCATCACCTTAGCCCTGAAGCGACTGAGGGTCACAAGGCGGCGCTGGCTAGTCCGATGGGCGTCTTCTTCAGCGTGGGCACCGAGCCTGGGACGAAGGTTGGTCATGGCCTAGGTGGCCTTCTTACGTTAGAGGATGTTGATGGTTGGTATGGTGAGCGTACGCTGACGTGGGGCGGCGGCTTGACGCTCACCTGGTTTATTGATCGCAAGAATGGCTTGTGCGGCGTTGGAGCTGTGCAAGGTTCGCTGCCGTTGGATGGAGAGGTGGCGGCCGATCTTAAGCAGACCTTTCGCCATGATATTTACCGCAAGCATGCTGCGTGGAAGGCGCAGCAATGGTGAAAACTGAGATAACTGAGATAGTATATAATTACGTTGTGGACTCGGTGTGTATGTCAAGCTCTTATTTACGGACAATGCAATGATTAGGACATGTTCTATTAATATCCAGGGCTTTTAAGTGAATACTTGGCCTTTAATGGGCGGTTTAGTCATGCATCTGTGATAAAATCTGACTGCATTTGTTTATAGATAATGAATAGTGTGGTCATGTGAGTTCGCGTTTTGTGGCGTGATATATGATAAAGTCGGTAATTCCTTTGTTTAACTTTAGTCAATACAAACATATTTTGTTTGGCGATAGCTTACCTATATAGTTCTATGAACCCTCTTTACTTTCGCGTTCAATTAAATACACCACACCTGGAAGCTTCATTTTGCGAAACCACACTGCCAAAATGCCCCGTGAGCTGGACATACCAACCCCAAGCTCTCCGCGCAATGTTCACATTTACGATGATGACGGCCAAGTTATCGGCGGTAAGTTCTTCATTTGATTCCTCTTAACTATTAGAAGCTGACTGCTCTGTATAAGGGCTTTGGCAGAATGGATGCATCATAAATTCAATGTTTTATGAAATGTGCAGAGTCTTCATTACAAATGAGGAATTCACTCTTTTCCGCCTCACCAAGGACGGCTCTACAGGCGCAAAACTATTCCCAAATAGAAACGCTCTGCGAGATGGATCATACGTTGTTCTGTCGGCCAGTATGTATAAATCTTACAAATGAATGTACTATAGATGTCTAATTATTCTACAGATGGGAGCCCGATCCCAGTCGAAATCACGCCCGACTCTGCGCAGAGGCGCATAACGATAAAGGGCCAGTCAATGAAGTTGAATTCGCGAGTACGTACAAGCTATATACGTTTTATTTGACGATACTATGCTAATTATAAGTGCAGACAAAATCTTTCCATGATCGGGTCATTGCCCGAGACGACCAATGCGTAATATCCGGAACACAGCATCCTAAAGATGAAGCTCCCACATCATTCAGCACCTGCCATATCTTTCCGTTCGCCCGCGAAAGGACCTGGGTTGAAAAAGGAATGGCAAGGTTCATAACTGATGAGGAGCACCCTGCACGGGAAAATGATACCAAAATTCATTCTGTCCAGAATGGATTGCTCCTAAGGGATCACATCCACTCGTCGTTTGATGCATATGCACTTACAGTTAATGTCGACGTAAGAAGTCCTGAACCATTTTAACAAGAACAAGATGCTGATACTACTTATAATAGGAAGGATATAAGGTCGTTTGCTTGACCCGAGATCATGTAAATGTGGACGGTCGCAGACTGGCATTATGCTGCAGAGACCCACAGAACCCCCTTCGAGTTCCTGATGAGCTCTTGCGCTGGCATCATCGCGAGGCTATCCTTGCTAGTATGAAAGGTGCTGGAGAAAAACCATGGGACATGCACTATTCTGAAGGGGGGGACATAATGCAGGAGATACGGGAAGGACCAGATGCAGTGGAGAGGATGGAAGCAGAGTTGTTCACCCGTCTCGGGCCTGGGGAGTTCGGCTAGTAGCAGCATCCAATTTGAAGCAGACTTTCCGCTATGATATTTACCGTGAGCACGCTGCGCTACGTGGAAGGTGCAACAACAGGCCTCGTAGTTGTGAAATGTAAGAGAATATAACATTATTTTGTGGACTTGATACATATGCCAAGCTCTGATTACGAACAATGCTATGATTGGGACACATTTTATCAATACCCAAGGCTTTAAAATCAATACCTGCAATGTATTTTAGTGCGAAGTCATATCTAGGCTCCATGATAAAATCTCGCTGCCCCTATTATACAGTGTGTGGTGTGCAACCAACGCCAGAACCAGCCAGCGTCTCTCCCTCATAACTTCTGCGAAGCATCAGGTTCGCCAGCTACTCCACATGTTCTTTTCGCCAGTATGATACTGAACCTTGTACTGATTATGCATGTTCTGGTAATACTGTCCCATACCCCTATTTTCAATGTCAGGTTTGCTATTTCGAAAATAAAAATAAAAATGAATCTTTGAACAGTTATATAACTTACCTCCTATCCACCCAGTTTCCAAACCCTGTGCCCGGCTGGATTTGGTTCTGGTATTTAGCCGCTTTGTCGCGGTGGTACTCACTCATAGCATCGATGATGCCGTTGCGTCTCCTGGCATCACCAGGTATGCTGCCGGTGTTCCCCATGTTGATTAGTTTCTTGAGTTTTATGTAGAGCAACGTTTTTTCGTAGGTGGCAAGTATTTTAGTGATGCACGGGTATGTTTATCTTACAATAAGGGGGTACGGGAAACCTACGCTGTGATCTATATACTGAGTTGTGCTCGTGAATAGAAATAGACATTCAATCTCGAGCTTCATTCTGTCACTAGGTTTGTGATTTGCTCCGTGGGAATGATAAATGCCATGATTGAATGATAACCCATACGCTAAATATTAAAATGGAGGATTCAGTTCAGCTATTTTTATAATATATAAAAGCAAATCAAGGCGAGTGCATTTCTGGAGCGGCGCTGTAATCAATCTCGCCTGCCCCAAGACGAGTGAACAATTCTGCTTCCATTCTCTCCGCAGCATCCAGCCCATCCATTATATCTCCCATGGGATCCTCCTCCTCAAGCTGCATATTCCATATTCTTTGTCCATTGCCCCTCACTATAGCTAGAATGGCTTGGCGAAACTGCCAGTGAAAGAGCTCGTCGGGGACTCGGTCTGGGCTCTGCGGATCCCTGCACGATAGATCTAATGTGCGACCATCTAGATTCAATACATCTTTGTGTAAATAGATGATCTTGTACCCATCCTATAGTAGTGTTAGTAACTTATTCTATCGCATTTTAGATCTCGCACATTGGCATCTACTGTAACTGCGTGTGCATCAAACGCAGCTTGGCAATTCAAGTCAAGCAGCAATCCGTTCTGAACTGAGTGTATCTTTGACACTCCTTGGCTCTGAGGGGAAGCTTGATCTGTGATCCATCTCGAGAGGCCTTCGTCCACCCAGGCTTGCTCACGTGAGTATGGGAATATGTGTGTAGCATGGAAAAGTGAGTAATCTTCATCGGGGAAGGTTCGAAGGCCGCTCATCACACAGTGCCGGTCGTCTCGCTCCCTGACTCGGTCTCGGAAACGCTTTTGCTACGCCCATAATTAGCGGGAGTCCATAGATGGGAACGGCAATAGCACGTCGCGACAACATCATGTCGACGACAACAATCTCTCGACTATCGACTAAGCATGAAGTAAAGTATACGTGAATTGCTTACCGTTGGAGTTAACTTTGATGATGGAATCTTTGTTATTATACGCCTTAGGGTGCTTTCATTCGTGATCCGGACTGAGTTCGGTTCCCCATCTACATAGGTTCATTGGATATTTATACACTCTCATCGTTAATACTAACCGTTTGTGAGAACAATGTATGATCCAGCTAATAGATTTTCTCTATTCTTAGCCACCTTCGCGCCCGTAGATCCGTCTTTGTTCAGGCGAAATAGAGAAAACGGCTCAGATGCAATTATAATGATGTCACACATCTCATGCAGGTTTAAATTCGTAAGTGAGCCGTTTTGATATACACCTTATATAAAAGACATCAACTTCTAACTCTTCAGAAATAATTGGAAGAGGAACTTACCGCCGAGAATATGACCATCGTTGTCGTAGATGTAGACGTTTCTAGATAATGGAGTTCGTTCTGGCGTGTCAAGCTTGCGAGACATCACAGCGATTATAGTGAGTGTTGGATCTCAAAACAGGATATTTAATATATGGATATGTTGATCAGACAAATGATATCTGCTAGTTGCTGTAGATGAACTAACATTAGACAGAATCTGTTCGTAGAGCTTGCGAGGATCGAAGCTAGGCAGAGGAATTATACCTGTCATACATCACGCCACAAAACGCGAACCAAATACTCGTTACCACCAAAACGTATGGAGAGGAACCGTCTATAATGACACTATTTATAGTAACTATAATTAAAATAATCGCAGTCACTTAGTTGCTATAATTATCTAAGTTGGTTACTTAAAACTACAGCAAAAATAATAATTTGTGTCTACTTTAATACTGATATTAATTCTCATTTTCAAACAACAAAAATATCAACGAAAAGCTACCAGAAAAATAATTCATTCTCTAGAAAGTTTTAAACGAATGACTATCGACCGCAAACCAAAGACCTCTCAGCCCAAAACCAAAACATCTGCCACATCTTTGCCTGAAATCAGCCGTCGCCGAATAACCTTGAGCAGCCCGATGCGGTTTCTTGACTAAACACCAGTTCTACCAAGTCAGCACCCAAAATCCCCAGCATTTCAATTAAACAAAACCAGGGGGATGACCACTCACCAGAATCTAGCAGCTGCCGCCGGCGGACTCTCTGACGCAATTGTTGGGCCCGGGGCCAGGATAGCAGGTAACAGTGTAGCACTTGTGGTTGGAGCAGAGGGAGTTCTTGGGGCAGGAGCGCGACTCGAGCATGGCGCGTCCCTCGAGTTCGGGAGCTGGGGCGGCGATGGCGAGGCCGAGGACGAGGGCAATGGCGGCGATGGAGAACTTCATGTTGACTGAAAGTTTTCGAAAGGGGTTTTGGTTTTGGTTTTGACTTGTTGATTGTTGGAATTGGAACTGGAGTTGTGGATGATGGGTTGAGGAGATGGTTTATGGCGTGATGGGTCGCCCCTTTTATACTTTTTTTTGAGCCGGATGTGAGAGGGAGCCAGGTCTATGGATGCATCTACATTATTGCATACATTGATATGAGACGGAATCGTATCCACTGTTTCCGTGTCTATCTACTCGCCACTCTCCTACCCCAGTCTTGGCAAATCCATTAATAGACCCGATACTCCATACGGCGACGGCCTGGTTATCAAACCTCGTTTGAGGTAGCCACAGCGGCTAAGTTGAGATAGAAGATCAAGTCTAGGTTAGGTGCAGCGGATAAGCTGGGGCGGGAGAGGGAAGGATTTAGCTGCAGATTCCAAGTTGACGCCGAAGGGGGGGAAGGATTCAGGCAGATAGTGGTAATTTCGAGGCGGCCCCCACGCCGACGCCGAGATTTTCGAAAATACTACCCTATTTTTTTGTTCAATATCTCGCCGAGGAGAAGAACCGTGCATCAGGCCCAATTATTCCCAAAACGTCGCTCGGCTGTTGAATATCTCGCCGAGAACAAACCACGTTGAAGGTCATGATTGGAAAACAATTATTATTGCCGTCTCACCGAGGAAAAGAACCGTAAATCAAATCATGTTTTAGCTCTTCAGCCGGAAAACAATGAATCGACTTTAAGGGGCATCGGCAAGAAAATCTCGCCCGCATCCCCTGATTAGCCGGGGGCCGAAACTTGGAGGTCGGATCCACGATCCGGAATATAGCTTTAAGCGGTTGGGGGCTGCTATTTTGATATTCTGATCACAGCTACTCTAAACCCTTCAAGCAACAATGAGATCTACTGGCTATTTGCAAACCTCCAATGGCCTCAATATGCCCGGAAGCATACCCCGCAACACTACCACCCGTCCTGCCGCCAGACCCATGAGAACTCCACCCCTCACTCCGGCCCCATAAGATCCACACCCACCCCCCTCAACGCATCCACCGCCCACTCCGGATACCTCTCCTTATCCCCCTCATACAGGTCCGAAAAAAACCGCCTCAAGAACGCCGGATACCTATCCTCCACAATCGCCTGCCTCACTCCCCTCATCAGCTCCAACTGATACCACACATTATGAATCGTCAACAGATGCGCCCCCACCGTCTCCTTCGCCGCGAGATGATGCGCAAACGCCCTCGTCACCCCCAGTCCCCCCTCACCCTCCCTACAACACCTACAGCCGCACCCCTCCTCGATCGGGCCAAGATCATCCGCATACCTCGCGTGCCGCATATTCAGCACCCCCTTCCCCGTCACCGCGTTCCCGAATCGCGCTGTCCGCGTCGGCCACACGCAGTCAAACATGTCCGCTCCTAAGGCAACACTCACCACCAGATCCTCAGGATACCCAATCCCCATCACATACCGCGGCTTATTCTCCGGAAGCTGCCCCGTACACGCATCCACGACGCGACAATAATCCGCCTTCGCCTCCCCCCCACTAAGCCCTCCAATCGCAATCCCTGGCGTCCCGCGCGCCGCCATCGCCTCGCAGCACTCGCGACGCATATCCAGATCCAGCCCGCCCTGGATAATGCAGAAGAGGTTTTGGGACTCAGGCTTCGCGTGCGCGGCGATGCAGCGGTCGAGCCAGCGGATGGAGCGGAGCATGGCTTCGCGCATGCGGGCGGTGTCGGGGGAGGTGGTCACGAGGACGTCGTCGAGTTGCATGATTATGTCGGAGCCGATGGTGTTTTGGAGACTGATGGAGTGTTCGGGGGTGAGGAGCATGGGGGAGCCGTCGTGGGGGGAGAGGAAGCGGACTCCTTCTTCGGTGATGGTGGCGAGCTCGAGGAGGGAGACCATTTGGAAGCTGTGGGGGGTGGAAATTAGTTTGGGGTGCGTGGTGGGGGGAGTTGTTGGTAAATGGAGGGGGAGAGGTTAGATTGGGGTGCGTGGTGGGAGGGGTATTGGTAAATGGAGGAAAGAGGTTTGTTTAGGGTGTGTGGTGGGAGGGGTAATGGAAAAATAGGGGTGAGGACTAACCCGCCGCTGTCAGTAAGGAGGTTGTGTTTCCAGCCCTGCAGTTTATGTGCCCCGCCGATGGTATCAAGCACCTCCTGACCAGGCTTGAGACCTAGATGGTAGGTGTTGTTCAAACATAGTCGACAGCCTGTCTCTTCCAATTGCTCTGGCGTAAGGCCCTTAAGAGACGCCTGCGTCGCAACGGGCATGAAGAGGGGCAGCTGAACAGGGCCATGAGGGAGGACAAGCGTGGCTGCACGTGCCTTTGTAGTCTGGGTTCGTATTAGCACAGCTCGGGTTCACAGTATAGAAGTCCCTGATCGACTTACAGAGCACCGTGCAACCAGCTTAAAGGTCAGCGCCGAGGGCATGGGCGGCATCAGGGGCGGTTCAGTTGTCATGGTAGTCGTCGACGTCTTGGCACTTTCAAACGTGAGACCCTCACGTGTAGGCCCTGTGGAAAGAAATTCGTGTGGCGTGGCTTATCGTGGCGTGGCTTATCCCTTATCTTATCGCGGAAAAGGGCAAGGAACGAACGGCAATCAATCGCGTTGGGGGTACGTACCACGTAGATCAATGTCTAGTACTTCGCGTGCCGTACATATGGCGGTAGGGGGCGAGGTACCTTGGCGCCAAGAGTTAGCCAAACTTCTTAACGTTGTCTAAATGGTGCCCAACAGTCTGGATTTCCCCATTACTCCAGCTTCAACTCTTCCAATTATAGATATATAGATATATAAGATATGCTTGGAAGGAGTAGGTTATATGCTATATACTGCATATATTTCTACTTTATCGGAATAGTTATATTGTAATTCTCCCTTTTTCTATTTCTCCAGCTTCACCTCTTCCAATGCTAGCCACACTCGATCCAGTTGCGCCTTTTAACTGCTTTATCAGAACAGCAATATCAATATCAATATTACAATCTCGATTATACTATATTATACCGTCTTATACGATCTTATAATATCCCTAAAATCACCCACTCTAGCTACTGCTTACTTTAATCCGTGCGGTGTAGGGAAGGAGTAGGGAAGGGAAATATATCCCTCAAAACACATGTGTTGCGACCCATCGCACTACACGTAGCTGGGTGACAGGTACCGTACCTTTTCTCTCCCATGGGCCAGCTTAACTCTATCGTTTCCTCTCCGTTTGCCCCCGTTTCTTCTCTCCTTCCTTCTTCTATTTCTCTTCTAATAAATATCAATATTCCTATAACTTCAATTGCTTCATCATTCCCTATCCAACTTCCCTGTTTACACGCCGCCTGCCTGCGGATTGTTCCTAGTCCATCCCGCCAGGCCTCGGCGCCTCTTAGTCGCTTAGCGCCCTCGAATATGTCGTCATAGTGGTCAGATTCCATAAATTGTCAGTCCACAAACCACGACGCTAAGTCCAGTCAGGCTTAGCCCGACCCAATCGATCCCAGCCGCCCAGCCATTTCCAAGGGTCACTTACAGGGATCTCTAGGGACACGCGAGCCTAACGTTCCCACGATTTAATTCCCATTCTTATATATAGGGCCGAGGCCTTCCCCATGTTGCCTGTTGATGCCCAGCTTCACCATAAAACAACGAGAAAACCACGTTTCCTCACTGCAATGAACCAAGACTCTTACAACAGACCTATACCGATACATCTCAGAACGACCGTGCCATCAGACATATCATCATCGCCGCTTTTCATTCGCCACCACCAGCGCCCGGAGACGGACGAGAATTCAATGTGTACCGACGTCCGGTCAAGAACGCCAAGAAGAACGCAGAACAGCATTATAAGAAGAAGAAGAGGGATCTCGACCTGAATCTCCCGTAGAACCTCTTTAAAAATGCCACACGCAGTTCCTACTTATGAGGCGTGCGCCTACAATGACCCCGCACCCCTCACACCCACCACACCCGACTTGGCCCTCACAACCAAGTCACCAGCCGCAACCACCACCTCCTCTACCACATCCACATCTCCCTCCTCCTCCTCCTCCTCACCACCAGCCCTAACATCCTTCCACCTCTTCCCCCACCTCTACCCCGAGCTCCGCCTCAAAATCTGGCACATGGCCCTCGACCTCGGCCCCCGCGTCGTAACAATCCACTACGAGCCCACGACACACTCCTTCCGCTCCCCCACCCCACCCCCCTCCCTCCTCCACACCAACCGCGAAAGCCGCCACGAAGCCCAGCGCGCATACCCCCTCCTCTTCGGTACCGCCTCCGCACCATCACATATCCCGTTCCACCCTGCGCACGACACACTTTACTTCCCCCGCCGCAGCACGATGGGGTATGACGACTCCCTCCGGGATTTCGGGGCCTTCATGGCTACACCTGCCGACCTGGACCGCGTGCGCGTCGTAGCGCTCGACTCGGTTGATTCCCGCGAGAAGAGGCCGTGGGAGGCGTACGATAAGGCGGTGTTCGTGAAGTCGTTCCCGCGCCTCGAGAACGTGGTCTTAGTCCGCGGCCCGAAACGCGCGTGGTTGAGTAATATCCCGCGCGCGATGGGGCCGGTAGTTGAGGAGAGGGAGGTGGAGTTTTTGAGGGTAGAAGAGGAGGAAGAGAAGAGGGTTGTGAAGGGGTTTGAGGCTGCGTTTTTTGGGGAGGAGGAGGCGCTGGCGAGGATTCATTGTGAGAGGGGGGAGGATTATGTTGTGGCGAGGTTGCCGCCTGTGATGGTGGTTTCGAAGAGGAGAGTTGAAAGGGAATGAGGAAGATGAGGAAGATGAGAGGGATTGTGTGCTATTATTTTCGACAGCGAGCATGTTTTACTTTTTGGGAGCATGTTTTGATATTTATTTGGGGGATTTTTTGTAGGATGACGGATGGATGGATGGGGTGTACAGCATATATGAGCGACGATAGTAGACGAGATACCCGACCTAAGCGTCAGCGAGTCAATTCAGCACCTGATCTAGACTATCTTCAGGGTGGTGTCGATATTATGCTGTATTGATTTCTGAACATCTCGAAGCTTAAGGTCGTCGACAAGCTGTAGTGTGTTGTTTGGATGGCATCTTTGTATTTATCAAGCATTGGCTAAGGCCTTGTGTTTAGACTAGTTATAATACCTCTTCATTATTCCAATATGCTTCTCGCTATCGCTTTATTCCTTGACTTCGCTCCAATATGCTTCTCGCTATCGCTTTGTGCCGTGAATTCGCTGTGGTCGCCATGATCTAAGCCGTAGATACAAGATGCTCTCTATAAACACCAACAAAAAACCACACGCACATCCATCCACCCCCCTCCCCCTCCACACAACTAACACACCACCCCCCTCCTCCTCCTCCACTCCCCCACCCCCCTCTCAAACTCCCCCCCATCCAACCCATCCGGAACCCACCACATCGTAACCCCCAACTCCTCCACCTCCCTATTCCTCTTCTCATCATCAAAAAACAACATCTCCCCAAACTCCACCCCCGTCGTCTCCCTCAACCGCGTAAAATGCTTCTTCTTACTCCCCGGATAAATCTCCATGTGTCCGAGAAACTCGATCGCTTTCCGAGCCTTCCCCCTTCCCGCGCCTCTCTCTTTGTTTAACGCCTTTTCCCTAGCTTTTTCTTTCTCCCGAGCTTTTTTGGATGTTGAACCAGACGAGGAGGCGTCGTCGGTGGTGGATCCATCAAGAGGTGCAGGGACAGGTACATCAAACCACGGAATCTGCAACATCCTCAACAAATCCCTCGCCACCTCCGGCGCCCCCGTCCGACTCGCCACACCCACCCTAACCCTCGGATGCGCATCCAGCGCCGCCAGAATCGCCGGCACATGCGGGTAGAAACTGAATTCCTCGCCGTGCTTGTCGCGCGCGGCGTGCGTGTAGGGGGGGGTGGTGGAGGAGAGGAGCGGCTTGAGGGGGGGGGAGGCGTGCGTGTCTACCCAGAAGGGCCAGAGGGTGTAGTCGAGGTCGAAGACTATGAGGGTGGGGAGGGGGAGGGGGGAGGCTAGGGAGGGGGGGAGGGAGGGGGGGAAGGAGGGGGTTTGGGGGATGGAGGGGGTGGAGGGGGGTTTGGGTTTGGGCATTGTTGGTGGTGGTGAGGCGTGGTGTGATGGGGTGAGGTGTCTGTTTTTGTGATTTGCGTATGGTTTGCGTGTGGTGAGGGTGTTTTGTTGATATTTTGTTGATGTTGGAGTGTTGGCGGTGGAGGTTGATGGAGGGGTAGTTGTTTTGGCGACAAGATATAAGATGGTGATCTTTGTTGCGTAGACTCAATACGGATGCCTGGTATTGTCTCAGAGACGAGTCAATATATCTGTATTCTTCGCAATTGATAGAATACCAGTGATATATTGAACCCCTCTGGACGTTGACGTTAATTCGTTGTTGTCCAGTATCCAACTCGCTGTGTTGTCGTCGATAATCACGTGCAACCTCTCCAAGGGTATATAATGTCCTTTACGGCTGCTCTCATCAATAATCTCCTTCCATCTAAGATGGTGGAATGGTGTAATGGTAGCACGTGACGTTGTGGTATAACGCTCACCCGTTGTAACATACAATCCCGTTTCAATCTGGGTTCGATTCCCAGTTCCGCCAGGAGATTGAAAACGTAGGTGGTTTGATTCCACCACACCAAACAATTTTTTTTGGTTATTTTTTTATTTTTATTTTTAGTGTTTCAATTCCTGTCCCATTAGGCTATTTAGCCGAGTGACAACCGAGCGGGAACTCAAACAAACACGTGACGATGCACCTGCTTTTCCCCACACAATGGGGTACCAAGACTACTTTCGGCCGCGGCAATTACCCCGCAGCCTCGGGAATACTGGAATTGGAGTCAGCGCGCATTACTATATTTACTGTATTTAGAGCTATCCTGAGCTTATTCCGATGCATCTCCACCTTTATGTCCTTCAATTGACTGCCCTTCAAACTGTTTAATACTTGTGCAATTCTTAAGATACCCGAGCCGTGACTTCCGTTTATTCTTCTATTAAATACCACGGCAGCGTCACTTTCACTCTTTCTCCCTCACTAAATCCCTGTTTATCACAATCCCCGCAAAAATGTCCACCTCCACAGTCGCAGTTCCCTTCGCTGAGCCCCCGTGGTTGAACGGCCTCCCCAGCGCCTACTACAATGATTCTCACCGCAAATGGCAGAAGACGGTGCGCGCGTTCGTTGACCGTGTTATGCTCCCATATGCGGGAGACTGGGAGGCCGCTGGTGATGCGCCACGTAGGTACCAATTGCTCCAAATTCATTAGAGATCCGCTAATGAAAGGCAGCAACGCTCTACAAAACCTTCGCGGACAACAACATGCTGATCCCCAACCTGTCTGCGCCGCTACCAATTGAGGCGCTCAAGAGCGTTGGCATCCACGAGCTCGCCGGTGGACTGAAGGTAGAGGACTACGACTACCTGCACACCTCCATCTACGTCGACGAGGTAAGCTTCCCCACCGCCCCATCTTTTATGCTCTATCTAACGACCTCAGCTCTCACGATGTGGAACTGGCGGCCCTGCAGGATCCGTCACCGTTGGATTCGCCTTCGGTCTTCCTCCCATCATCAAGTTCGGCAACAAGCAGCTGCGCGACCGCTTCGTCGGACCTCTCGTCACCGGCAAGATCCGCATCTGTATCGCCATCACCGAGCCCGGAGCAGGTTCCGATGTCGCCAACATCGAGACCACCGCCGTGAAATCTGCGGATGGAAAGCACTACATCGTTAACGGTGCCAAGAAGTGGTATGTGAACCCTCTCCCCCACCTGTAAGCATAAACAGTAGCTAAGTATACCCCAGGATCACCAACGGCATCTTCTCCGACTACGCCTCCATGGCCGTCCGCACCGGCGGCCCCGGCGCCGCCGGCCTCTCTATGCTCGTCGTCCCCCTCAAAGCCAAGGGCGTCAACATGACCCGCATCCACGTCGGCGGCGGCAGAGCCTCCGGAACCACCTACATCGACCTCGACGACGTGCAGGTCCCCGTCGAGAACCTCATCGGCATAGAGGGCATGGGCATGATCTACATCATGCAAAACTTCAACCACGAGCGCCTCACCATCGCCATCGGCGTCAACCGCCAGTCGCGCGTCGCTCTCAGCGCCGCATTCGAGTACTGCCTCAAGCGCGAGGCGTTCGGGAAGCCTCTCATGGATCAACCTGTTGTTAGACATCGTCTTGCTAAGGCTGGTGCGGTTCTCGAGAGCCACTATGCTTGGGTTGAGAATATCGTCTACCAAATGACCAAACTTAATCACGCGGATGCGAACCGTGAGTTGGGCGGGCTTACGGCGCTGGCTAAGGCCCAGTCGGGTCTGGTGATAGAGCAGTGCGCGTCGACGGCTGTGCTGCTGTTTGGTGGAAATGGATACACCCAGTCGGGACAGGGTGCGAATGTTGAGCGTATCTACAGGGAGATCCCGGGTATTAGGATTCCGGGTGGCTCGGAGGATGTTATGCTTGATTTGTCGGTGAGGCAGATGGTTAAGAACTTCCAAAAGAAGTTGAAGGATTTGGAGGCTGCGAATGCGAAGCTTTGAGTGGGTGGAGTGGGGAGCGTTGAGGGGGAGCAGGTGTTTCTATGAAGTGTATGATCTGGTACATATCGTCCTATTTAGACTTTCTCACATAACGTAGTGTATGGCCTAATGCGCCAGTAAATCCGACCCCACCCTCTTTGATCGTGTTCTGCGTGCTACATAATCAACCAACTCGTTATCTGATGCTGACGATGAGTTGCCTAGTACCTCTGCATCCTCTTCCTCCTCAACTTCCTCAACAGGGCGCTTGCGTGGGCGCCCACGGGGTCGTTTTGCAACTAGCTTAGTCTCCACCTCTCGCGCAACATCTAACACATCTTGTGTACTATAGACGAACGTGCCTTCCAATCTAACTCTTTTCCCTCTTTTATGAGCCTTTCGTGCCTGTAGTAATTCTTCTTTCTCTTGTAGCTGCTTACAGAGAATAAGGAGCTCAGTATTTTGTGTTTCGGCCATGCAGGTGACCCGGTCTATATATCGCTTTGCGGGTGATGTAAGGCCTGGCACTTGTGCAAGCACTGAATTCAAAAGTACATTTGACTCCCGTAGCTTAGTCCCATCTAGAGGTGAGCTCTTAAGTAGCGAGAAGTCTAGGTTGTCTTAGTTAGGTAGTGTATGTGGCTTTTCGAGGACGGGAGTAGGTTGAGCTGCAAGCTGATTGAGTATCTTTTGTAGGTTTAAAGGCATTAAACCTAATCCTCTCTATCCACTAAGAATGTTATCTAACGTAACGGCCTTCTTACGAGCCTAGATAAACATTTGCATCCATTTAGCACGTAGGATCTGGTGTGAACTATGTTAGGAGATGGCGTCTGTCTCTCTTGCATGCGCACGCTTAAATGCTAAGAACACTCTAACGTTAAGCAGTTGAAGAAGATGCGAGTAATGTGGAGGCATTATAAGCAAGTCAATACTGTTCTCTATATAGTATGCAATGAAATCAGCTCGTATGTGACTTCCGTGGCCATCTACAATTAACAATCAGCGTTAGTTCCCTGCTATTTCTCGTGTTTGAGGCTCAAATACCTTTATTAGCTAATGTAAACCAAGATCATTAGATGTCTAGCCATTCTTACTAACTGCAAAATGCCAGCTAGAAGGAGTTTTAGAAGGTAGCTAGCTAGAGTTTAGATTTTTGGCTTTAAAGATAATCATTAGCGTTAACGATACGCTAGCTGTATTAATGCATTCAATATCAGTTACCCACTCTTGTTTGCCTACTACGCTCTTATGCTTTTGGTTTAAGTTAGCTAGAACAAGGACCCGTGTCGTCTAGCTTTCTCTAACACTAAACCCTAACTCGTCTATGTTCCAGATGTTCTGCACTTCGTATGAATGTTCCTGTAGTTGCGCTACAACTGCATTAAACCAGCACTTAATCACCTCGTAGGAAGCTCCATTAGATCGTGCATTCTGCATTTAGCGAGCATAGATACCCTAAACCGTTGGGTGCCGATTCTGAAAGCGATAGAGCCATTCGTGGCCAATTAGAGGAGTTGTGTTAACGACGGCTTCATTTCCTGAGACGCGTCTAACGCGTTGACGTCGAATCAATTCAGCCAACTCCTTTAGTAGCAAAGGTGTCATTAGCGATCCAGCACGTGTATAACGCGTAATCCATCGTACTAAAGTCTTCTCTTCTACATTTGAAAGAATCTGATTTATCTCGCGAGCCTAGGCTCGTGAGTTACCTCTAGCCATTCTTCGACGAAGGGTATCGCGTGAGACTTTAAAGTGGTAGGCAGCGGCACGAACGGACGAAAAGCTGCCGTCTTTTAGTGACTGGATAGCGTCCTGGATATCAGCTTCATAACGCGATGATTTTGAACGGTTGGTAGGATGCATTGCGAAAGTTGTTATAATTTAAAGGTAGTGGGGTCGGATTTACTGGCGCATTAGGCCATATGGCGCATTAGGCCATACACTACGTTATAGAAAGAACATACTATATTTATATTCTTAGTTTTTCTTAAGCCGAAGTGAGCGTGCAAGGCGCCCTAGCCTCCCGCGAAATCCACCCACAGCTGCCGCAGACCCCTGATCTTTGCACTGCTTCTCGTTCCCTTGTCCCCTATCAATAGCACGAACAAGGTCATGAAAAGCCTTGTCAATATTATACCCCTCCTTAGCAGACGTCTCAACAAAACCACAACCCAGACTCTTCGCAAGCTCAACGCCTTCATTGACTGAGACCTCTCTGTCAGCACTCCGATCCGATTTATTCCCCACCAAACCAATCTGGATCGGCCTCACCCTCGCTTCCCCTACCACCTCACCACCCCCTCCATCCTCCCCCATCTCAGCCGGAACCCCAAGCATCTCATCCCTCAGCGCAGTAACCCTCACGAAGCTCTCCCGCGACGTAATCGAGTACACCAGCAGCGCAGCATCCGCATGACGGATCTGGTGCTCCCATCCCGCGCGCAAGTACTGCTCCATCTCGGCGTCGGTGGGGGTGATAGTATCTGAGACGTCGAGGAAGGCGACGCGGTCGTCGAGGACGATTTGTTTCCTGTAGTTGGTCCATATTAGGCCGTCGTGGTCTTCGATGAAGGTGTTTAGGATGAACTTGGGAGGAGAGGTTAGCTTTGGTGGTGCAGGGTCATGGGAGGATCTGGTGATACGTACCTGGTCGATTATTTTTGTTTTGCCAACACCTTTCTCGCCGACTACTATGATTTTAGATACTTTGGGAATCGTCCTCAAGCTTAATCCCGCCATATTGCCTTTCTTTGGTTAAGGCCAAACTAGGGAGCCGTGTAATTACTCTATATTTCTTTCGGACTAATCGTGGAAGCCCTTATTAAATATTTCGTGCCAACAAATACACCATTGCTAATGTGATAATAGACTTATGGCTACAAATCACTATAATGGGCTGGCAAAATTGTCGGTCCCAAGCGAGTGGTGTGAGGCATAATAAGAAATCATTTGTGGCTGGCACTTTGCTGCGCCTCATGCTGCGCATTTCCATTTTGAGAATATGCGAACTCACGCTGTTGTTGTCTCCAAAGAAATCGCCAACATTTCCTATTTTCTCCTTCAAACTCTAAACCTGAAATTATCTTCATGCATTGCTTACCATCGAATCAGCGGGAATAATGACACCCCCCAGCCTCGACAATCTAGTCGTGGATACAGTAGCTACTGCCACCTCCAAAGTCACACCCAGCGATCTCGCCTCCAATATCGCCCACAGCCGTGATGTCTGCTTCCCAGACGTATTAGCCACGGCAAACATGCTTTCCCTAATGGAAATAGCCAGTGCCCGAGTTCTCACGCCACACCTTTCAGGCGCGCAGACATCTGTAGCAACGCGATCCGATATCGCTCATTTAGCTGCGACGCCTCTTGGTGCTCAGGTGACAGCAACTGCGCGCTTTCTGGGGCTAGAGGGCACGCTCTATAAGTTTGAAGCAATTGCTTCTGATCCCGGAGGGGAGATTGGCAGGGCGCATATGTGGCGGGCGGTGGTCTTTAAAGAACGGGTTGAGAATAGTGCGTCTCAGCGGCAGCCGCAGCATGTGAATCCAGATGAAAAGAAGTCGGAACGGAAGTACATACGCGTGCAACTGAGGTCTAATGCAGCTACCGGAGTTCCTGCGCCGAGGATACCTTGGAGGCACGGCGGCGAGGAAGACATCCATCGTGTAGTAGAAGAAGGTCCTGATGAACTGGCCGAGCGCTGGCTTGAGGGCGGTGCGGATCTTACCGCTCTGGATATCTTCGGTTGGACAGCCCTCCATGTCACTGCGAGATATCGAAATGTCAAAATACCTCGACTAATGCTTAAGGGCGGTGCCGATGCCAACGCAGTCACTGCCTGTGGGATGACGGTGCTATTCATCGCTGTGGCTAGTGGGAAAGCTGATACAGTGAAGTTATTATTGGAGAATGGCGCCGACCCGAAGGGTGTTTATGAATCTCGCAATACGTTATTGCACACAGCTGTCGAAAATATAGGGGATGAGGTGCTGAGCGTTTTACTCGAAAGGCGACTGGAGCCCAATGCGCAAAATAGCGATATGTGGACCCCTCTTCATGTTGCCGTGAAGAACCGCTCAACAAACAAAGTGAGATTACTACTTAGGCACGGAGCGGATCCAAATATATCAGAGGATGAATCCTGGACAAGCCTTCACCTAGCTGTGGATTCCGGGGATGAAGGAATCGTCAAGATCTTGCTTGAAAACGGAGCGGATCCTAAAAGTGAGAATATACGCGGGGACACGCCGATGAAGCTAGCAGTACGAATTGGGAATGAGCGCATGGTGAAGACTTTGCTTGAAAAGGGCGTCGATCCTTCCCTGGGGTATGGAAGGTGCACAGCTGTAGAATGGTTGAAGGGGCACCCAGTCACTGGTCTATCACCTCCTACTCGCGCCTGAGTCCGTAACAAGCCCACCGATCTCTAGAGCAGTGTTAATAAATCTAATAATTAACAGTCCCTGCGAAGCCTTTTGGGATGTATGAGTATTCCAATACCTTATCCATCGTGGGTGGTGCCATCTTTGTATTTTGTGGTCTTATAATTAATTTAGGGGCCCAAGTGCATATATAATATGAGACAATCACCTCATCAATCTTGCAACCAACATCAACGTCATCACCCATTGCCACGCTTACAATCACATCGATCAGAATGGAGTTTTCAGCATCTCGAATCAAAGACTGGCTACAGACATGCGATCGTGATCACGAGGGATGTTATGACTTGCCAGACAACAATCCTCTGGTAGTTAGTGCCTCTATCCCCTAATATCTACCTATCATTTTCTAATATCTGATTTCAAGAGAGGAGAAATAACTTTCCAATTTCGCGAGGAAGTACAGTCAAATTTTAGACTAATTGATGTTGAGTTGGAATGTGTCAAAGATGCTCGCCTTGGTGACAGATATATTGCGCTGAGCTATGTCTGTAATCTGCCGTCTATGTTCACGCTGAGGAATGACAACGCCGAGCTGCTATATGTAGAAGGGTATCTAGAGAGAGTTCGACCGGACCTCCCAAAGACTATCAATGATGCCATTGACCTCGTGCAAGCTATCGGCGAGAGATATCTCTGGGTTGATTCCCTGTGCCTCATAAACGACAACGAAGGCGATATTGCTCTCGGCATTAGATTGATGAACTCTGTTTTTCAAGGCTCATACTTTAACATTATAGCCGCTTCGGGAACCGATGCGAATGCCGGCCTCTGGGGACTTGGGTTAGATACTAAAGAACTGATGGTACCACAGAGTTTCGAGGTTGGAATCGACTTAAAAACGAGGCTGTCGAAATCGGAGTATAGCAAACGGGCCTGGACTCTACAAGAACTTACCCTGTCCCAAAGAGCCCTCATCTTCGTCGACAATCGACTCTTCTTCCGTTGCCAGGCGGCGAGCTGGGATGAAACATCTTCGACAGACAAACTGCCCAGTTTAGTCGAGTGCGGCACCAACGAGCCACGCATCTGCGGTCTTCCCGGTCCGTCAGATGGCGCATTACCATCCCTAGCGGCATACGTAGAACTTTTCGAGGAGTATTCCCGCCGAGAGCTGCGTTACGATGGCGATGCAATACGTGCCTTTTATGGACTTCTTCAGACCCTGTTCGGGGGGATGGAAACCCCTTCCGCGGAAGGCCTTCCCGCATTCTATATCAACGCGTTCATGTTGTTCACGTCACCTGGTAGCAACCTTCGCCGCCGACATGAGTTTGCGAGTTTTTCGTGGGCGGGCTGGGCAGGAGAACTCAAGTGGCCGCGAGAGAATCTGATCTGCTACGACGGAGATGGGCGGCGAACACAAGGTATGTCTAACATCTTTAGGTGGCTAAAACGTAATGAAATCGCGGAGTGGAATCTGTTTCAAACGCCCATCGATCAAGGAAAACTCCTTCAGCTTGGGTATCCGCGTGGTAGGCTCCAAGGACGGAATTCTCATCTGCTCGAACTTTTAAGAGAATTCCCGCATGTCTTCGACAGTGAGACTGTGGAAGTTTGGAGGAGGCATAGAGACATCTCTACCTGTAGTAGCTTTCCTATACCTTCTTGGGACGAAGAAATCTCGAGAATAGAAAACCCGCCAGCAGCCAGCGGAACCTCTAAATCATGCTTCAGTAAATGGCACATGCACGCCGTTAACTCTCAGGCTGAGTTCAACCGGCTCGCAACTAAGCTGGATTTGGGACCACTCGAACTTGGCTATACATTTCGTAGCTGGATTGCATACCACGGATGTCGTAAGTCCTCGCGCCCCCCCCCCTTAATATTCTACCGTTTATCTTGCATGAAGCAACTGACGCGTTGGCGGAAGATCTTCGCAAATTGCGAGACATGGCCAACCTTGAATATACGAAAGACATCAGATTCCTGGGCAGAGATTGGCCTGTCGCCCTGCGCCCCAACACTGCCATATCAGAATACCAAAAGCTACTGCAAGGAAACGATCGTCGAGTCACGACTTGGGAAAGAACAATTGAATTTATATTGCAAGATCGCAATGAACCCCAGGACACCCCACTGCCCGTGCCACCGTGAGTCCTCCACACCTCAATCTTAAATCTCCAACACCAACACAACTTCCCTAGCAAATTTCCGGACTATGACGTCTTACTGTCGTGGACCATCTGCCTCCGCCTCACCCTCGCCGCGCCCAAGCCAGCAAGAAATGCCCCCCATCCCCTCCTCTCAGTTTCAGGAACCGTAGTCGGCTCCTTGCACCCCGACAACACCTCCCTCCTTTCACCCACCTCCTGCGAAATCGAACTCATAGTCCTCTCGCGCTGCCAAACCCCCATTTACGGCTCCGCACTCTTGGGAATCGAGAAAGAGCGCATGCCCACCCCAGGGCAGCCATGGAATCTTCTATAGGTCATGCATGTCGAGTGGAGGGATGGGATTGCAGAGCGGCGGGGGATTGGGCAGGTGCTTGTTAGAGGCGCGTTCGAGGGGGCGGCAGGCGCGACACCGGATGTGAAATTGGTAGTTCTTAAGTGAAGGCTTTTCTTATACTAATACTGTTTCTTCATTAATTACTAAATATAAGCATGTAAATATAATATATATATTAACGTACATGCATAGCGAATGATACAACATAGCGAATGACACAGAATATCGCGACTACACAACAAGAATTGCAATAAACCCACCACAACATAAGGAATCAACTAAAACTACTCAGAGCCCTCTTCCTTAGACGTGTCTGTTACAATCTGACAAGTGCGTGCATTGTGTCCTGTCCCACCACACTTTCCATAGCGACGTGCACGGGTTTCTTCCCTTGGCTTGCGACCACCACTTGCCCTTATCTCCTGCTCTACTTGCTGCGCAACGTCCCTCTCGTCCTATAGATCCTACGCTTCCTGTTGACTAAGTGATCCTCCTTGCCGTAGGCGTGTTTTTTTTGCCCTCCGGCGCTTGCTTAGTACTTCATTTGCCTGTCGTAGGTTTTGGTTCTCTACCTTTAACAATGCTAATTGATGCATTATTTGCGATGCGCCCTTTGTAAACTAGTCAACAGCTGCATAGATTGAGGTTAGAGAGCTATTTTAATAGCGTGAAATCCGAGTTTTAATAAATGTAGACTATAACATAGCTTTAATTGGGTTGTTTAGCGTCTAGGAAACCTAAGGTTGAGCAGTACCTAGGCGGGAGCTTAGAGGTGTTAGTGTCTTTAACTTAAGATTAAGTGTAGAGATTACTCTATTTGGGTCGAATAGAAGAAGTCTAGTACCTTGGAAGCCTCCTTAAATGTTGCTTTCTGTTATTATAATGTTAAATGTAGCGTGGAAGGTAGGAAAGAAGTCGTCCTTAGTAATATGAGAAATATGAGCTTGTATCATATCTTTAATTTGCCGACTATAAGCCTTTTTTAAAGGGCTAAAACAGCTAATATCAAGCGGTTAGAGTATATAGGAAGAATGAGTAGGCATGTAGAGAGTTATAATGTTGTGTTCCTTGCAGTACTCCTCAAACTCATCTAAATGGTAGCTCTCATGACCATTAAGGACTAAGAGGCGATAACTACCAACACTTTAGGGCTTTGTATGCTTCTTAAAATGCCAAATCCAATCTATGCCTCTCTCGTTTGTAGTCTAGCCATTTTCTGTAACAGCAATTACCTAATCGCTTAGAAATCTACTATTCTTATACTAAGATGTAAGGTGGTTTTTACTAGTAACAATGATGAATGGCGGTACTGCCTAGCCTTAAGAACTAACGCCTTAGATTACTGTAACCCATTCCTGATTGCTAGGCTGCACCTTCTTTGCTTGTGCACGCCTATCTGAGCTTGTTATAACTATAGTAGTTGAGATAACGCCTATTATAAACCTAGTCTCATCAAAGTTGTAGATATCTACATCGTTGATTCTATACTTTGCAATTGTGTTCTGTACAAGCTTAAACTAACCACGGATAACTTCTAGGTCCTTACACTTAGCCCTCTAGTAGTCGTATTTGCGCTAGAAGCGTGTCTGGAGCTCTGTATGGCGCTTCACAAAGTTTAAAGCCTAACGCGACCTGACGCGTGGCGCGTCGCGTGTTGCAAGTAGTCGATTTGCCATATCTTCAACAATAGACATCTGTGGAGGAAATCCTTTGGTAGCTAGGTTGAGTATATATTGAACAATTACTGATTCCTCTAAATCAGTTAGTTTCCGTGAATTGGCTGGAATGTCGCGTCGTGATGGCATGCTATGCTTACAGCGACTAATCTTCTAGTGGTCGGTAGGATAGATCTTAGCAGCAGCTCGAGCACTTAGCTTTGGATTATTCTTCATTGCCTGAAGGGCTATTACAATTTGGCTTTCGTCATTTTGTTGGGGCATCTTCTGTTGTGGAGGAATTTAGTGTTTAGTAGACGGCATGTGTGGTCGCGATATTCTGTATCATTCGCTATGTTGTATCATTCGCTATGCATGTACGTTATTCTAATTATTAAAATTAGTATAGTTATAACTATGCTAAATTAATAAGACTGAGTTTGAACGACGTCGGTAGTGCCAACATAGGCAACGAAATTGTAATGGATACCAGGTTGCATCGACGGTTCATACATTCCTGGGCTAACGTAGGCTCTTCTGAAATTTGGCTTAATGTAGTTGAATGTTGTCATCGCCGATGACCTGTCTGGTGCCATAATTATAACCTTAGTAACACGGCGGCCACGTAGTCCTTCTTGACGTTTTGCTTCAGCACAACCTTCAAGCGTAACCTCCCTCCAGAAGTTAAAGCTAACATGGGCAGCTACTATACACTCGGTTGTAGTGAAAAAGTGGATAGAAATGCAGCCATTTACACCCTCATTTACAGCATTCCTCCCAGCAGGGATAGAATCAGCCTCATCCATCGCAACATAGTAGTCATTTAGGTGACGCTGGAACCACGCTACATTTAACCGTGTATAATCACTTGGGATCGGCTTTCCATCTTGAGGGTATGCGAGCGTATCGCTATTATGCTTTACGATGTCGGTTTCGATGTCGGTGTTGCTAACAATAGTATGTTGGTAAATTATTTAGTAAATAAAAATGAGAATTACTTACTTGCTCGAGTCTTGAAGTGCATATGCAAGACTAGTGACGCTCAATAGAGCTGCGGCGATCAACTTCGTGAAACGCATGGTGTCAAGTTGCTGGTAGAGATAAAAAGGAAACATCGATTACGGGGATATCTAAGACTTTTAATAATTTACAATCGTAATATTTTATCACCTGTTATTTACGAGGCGGACAGTTCATTCATAGTGGCACGGTTTCACATTAGTTATGGCATGTTACTACGTACAATTTTATTTAGTCTATCAGTCCCTATTATCCTACTATATACAAAAAAAGTACGATCCTACGGAGAGCTAAAGTGATATATAAAAATAACCTACATAATTCAATATAAATTCCTAGTAATACCTAAAACGCCGTGCGTCATGCTAACTCCACCATGCACCCTATAGCTTCCCAATGCCATTAAGCCTCAGATAAACATCACATCCCCACCCATACAAGCTCTGCACCGCAATCCCACCCCCAAAATACTCCGCATAAGTCCTACTAAGCGGTAACCCATACCCCAGTCCCGCAATACTGCTATTCACACCTCCCCCCGCCGCAATCGCATTTCAGCCATTTCGTATAATTTAGGTGGCACTTCGGTCATTTATCGAACTTTATAAGCCAGGTGAAAAATAGCCTGGAGATATATTCTCATCGATCAAGTTCTTATCCTAATGCTCTAGAACCATTTTCGCTAGGCCCAGAATCTTCGTTCTCGGGCTCAGTAATTCCAAAAAACTGATATTTACTTCGAATATCTTGAACAGCCAACTCCTGAATTCCGCTGCAATCATGCTATCTATGCCGTAGGTCATAGCTGCCTTCCGCGGGTCGATAGACCCGGAAGCAAGATAACACAGGCTTTCTAGTTTCGTGCACATAGATCGTATGACGATTTCTTCTCTCTCTTCCGGACCTGAGTCCTTCAGGCTATCTAGAACACTCATTTCCTGTGTTTTAAGTACTTTGTTTCGTGTCACATCTTCCACGGCGGTGAGTACTCTGGCGAATCTCGCATCAAAGTGCCATACAACCTGGCTGCCAATACGTTTTTGATGAAGTTTATGCAGCTGCTGAGGCTCCATTCCCGTTATTAGATGCGCACCAGCGAAAGGGTCACAATCTTGAGGAATCTTTGGGCTAGCTAGAGCTAGCTCGAATAGCCTTAGAAATTCGTACTCTGTTGTACTTGAAAGTCCAATGCGCTGAAGCGCTGTCTGTACCAAGGCCGGATCCGCCACAGACCCAACCTCCAACACCGGTCCAAAAGAGATAGTTTGACCAGGAAGACCTTTGGATCTTCTGTGCCTAGCGAACGAATCTTGGAATGCGTTTGCGGCGACATAGAGGCCTGATCTCGCAGCGCCAACCGTTGCAACAATCGAGGAGGTCATAACAAAGAAGTCTAGTGGGCATTGAAGAGTCACTTCGTGTAGATTGATAGCGCCTTGTACCTTGTGGTTGAACATATGTTGCAGCTGATCTTGTGTCGCACTTTCGAATGCAGCATTCTAACATTGTCAGCGGCTATCAAGACTGCTATTATTTGAAAAACCAAAACTTACATCTTCTCCCACTGTACCATGAACAACACCTTTGACGGTGCTTCTTTGCATAATTTCCTCGACAGCAGTCACCAATGCTTCTTTATCACTCACGCTGCAAGTCACTATATCCGTTTTAACGCCCATCATGTGTAGCTCTTGAATGGCATCCATGGCTTCAGGCTTGGTACCACCGGTTTTGGACACGAAGACCAGGTGTCTCGCACCTCGCTCAGCCATCCACGTACTGATACTCGTCCCAAGGCCACCTAGTCCTCCGGCGATAATATAGGCCGCTTTGGGGTCAAGGGTTACAGGTATTGCAAATACTGCCCCAAGTGATTCGAGGGTTGGGTACTTGGTAATGGCCTGTTCGTTCGCTATCTCAGTGTACCAGGCATTTAGGCACTCTTCCGGCTCTAAACGACCTATTTTAACAGTGCCGTTGTCGAGTACATACTCATGGTCGTAGGGTTCGCCAGGGTTCACATTCTGGAGATGGTATTCTCTCTCGATAACGATCATAGCTACTGAACCAAGGCTCGAGCAGAAAGATTTTTCCAGACCCAAGGAGGCGATCTTGACATGAGGAAGCTCTGTAACAAGCGACCTCAATAGGCCGACACTGACTCCCGACTCAGGCCTGAATCCTTCAATCGGGTTACCAGCATATACCCAAAGGATCGAAAGCGCCTGAGAGATGAAGTCTCTCATGCCTTTAAATTCCTGTTGTGATATTTTGAAGAAGGCGTTGCTTGAGATATCTACCAGCGAGATAATCCTTGAGTGTGGAGAAATCATCGTCGGTGCCTCACTTAGTCTTATATATATAGGCTGTGCGCCACCCATGAGTGCTTTCTCTATTTCTCGACCAAGGGGGTGGATGAAGTCTTTATATATCAAATATATGACAGGGCTTCGGCTAGGCTGCATCGTGATAGCTGACTTAGTTTCCGTGGCCGTTGCTACAATGACAGAGGTTAAGGTATACGGCTGTTCGTGATCATCAAGGCTGATGTCAATACCAGAGAAGCCAGAAGCGGTAAGAAGCTGCTGCCAGCCGTTGCTATTGATGAAGGGACTGTCAAGCCGTCCATCATTGTGACCATTCCAGTAACCAGGAAGGGTCCCTAGCACGATGCCAGCACCGAGCCAGACACGAGTTAGCTCCAGCATCACAAGCTTACCTCCAGGTTTGAGAAGTTTTCGCGCATGATGAACCGATTTGAGTATGGAACGTGTGGTGTGCAGGACCTGAGAAGCAATGACTAAGTCGAAAGTTGATTCGTACCCTTGATCCTTTAGATCAAGTTCCAAGTCTAGCGTCTTATATATCATACCCTTGTGATCAGAAAATTCGTTCTCAACTGCTGATAAAAAGCCGTTGCTAACGTCTGTAAAGGTATAACTGTGGTACTTCTTGAAGGTCGGTGCGCCTAAAGCCTTAAGGACTTCACGTGTAGCGCCCCCAGTTCCACCGCCGACTTCGATGATATGCATGCGTGGGTTTTTATGTGCTAGACTGTCAATAACACTGATAAGCTGAGGGTAAGCCCTTGTAATCGAATAGCCTGAGGTGTACAACTCCGCAAGCAGATTATTCTCGAGGGCAACTTGCAGACCACTAGTTGTGCCAGCCAAAATCGCGGGTAGATTGTGAAAAATGGCAGAGATCAACTTTGCTTCGATCATATTCTCAAGCGCAGAATTGAGATAATTAATTCTCTCTCTCCTTTTCGCGGCGCTAGCTGCAAGTGCTTCAAAGCCATATGGTATCTTGCCATCTTCCGCATATTCAACCGTGCGCTGAATCCAATCGAGGAACCTCTGTAGTTCATCACATCGTTTATCCTGGTACTCGTGTTTCTGCTGCTTGTAGATACCAACCACTGAATATATGGCGAGCTCTTCGAGCTTGTCGAACTTGTCGCCTACCTCGTTCGCCTTCGAAGGCGCTGGATATTTGGCGCGCATTGCTTCATTGGTCATAGCAGTCACATCCGGCTTCCAGACAAGCTTAAGGAAAGGGTTATATGCCGGCTCTAGCATCCCTTCTAGCGCATCATGGCGATTCAGCTCAATCCCCTTGACCTCAACTAGCGGCATGCCAAACTCCGACGAAAGCTGGGCCGTTGCCGTCAAGCGGAGATTGTCCATGGTGCCTTTGGCGAATACCTTTCCGTTGAGCGAATGTGGGCTTATCTTAGAAGCTTTCCAGATGGTGCATTCTTTGATTATGCTTGGCGTGAAGGGCGCGCGAATTTTCTCCGTCTGCCCAGAATGGCCTGCTATTATACCAAGCATAAATACGGAGTCCAGCGTCGCAGGATGGATCACATATCGCGATTCCTGGCTTTCGTCTTCTGTTGGCCTCATGTTCACTATCGCGCTAGCACTGTCATTGCCGTCTCGGGCTCTTAAGCCTGAAAGCGATTGAAACGAAGGTCCACGTGCCGCTCCAAGTTCCGTGAGTCGCTCATACCACCGCTCTATATCAATGTGTCTTAGTGACTTGATGCTAGTGATCGATTCACCAAATGGCCTTCTTTCAGGTTCAATCTCGATGCTACCGGAGCAAATGTCGACCCATTCGCCTCCATCCGCAGGAACTGAACTAACATTGAATTCGAACCACTTTCTCTCTCCTCTATCTTTCGCTGGTTGCCTTGTCCGCAAATCGAATACCGTCTCAATGCCAAAATCGTTATCTGGGATTTGCAACAGTCCTTTAATCTCAATGTCTTTGAGCGAGAAGCCCGCGGTCTCTGTTTGATCTTTGTCCTCGTCACAGATCTGAGTGACCGCCTCGATGGCCATTGCTAAATACGACCCTGAGCTCAGCACCGTCTGACCATGAATTTGCAGGTCTCTAAGCCAAGACAAGTCTTTTGCCTTAAGAATGTTCCTCCACGCTGGTCGGAATTTTGAGCATCCCTGAATCCTAGCTCCAAGAATATCGTGTCGTAGGTGCTTCCTAAATCGCCACTCTTTATTCAATCTATTTTCGTAATAGATATTTGGACCGTAGTTGAAGCAATACGTCGGTAGGTCTACGCAACAGCTTCCTCGTGCGAGAGCCCATTGCTGTCCTTCGAAGATGTCCACCGCATTCACTCTTGCAAGGTCAATGGGTGCATTGCGCAAGAACAGATTACCAGCAAGCCTCAACATGTCTTCTAGATTGTCTGATGCGCGAGAGATACTGCTGAGCGAAGGTCCAAGCTTGTCTCCAATTTTTGCTCGAATCTGCTTTAACGGGCCGTTGAGAGCCGGGTGTGGACCTAGCTCAACCAATATCGATCCATGGAGTGATGCAATCTCTGAGATGTTTTCAATAGCTTGCATAAACTGCACAGGTGACTCAAGATTTTTTCGCCAGTATGACGGACCGCATACTTGCGTGGTCATGTCCTTACTCGGAGTGACTGATGATACCCATAGTGTTCGATGGCGGTTCAAACTTTCCCTCTCTAAATTGATATCGCTAGCAATGTCACTGAGTCCTTTAGTAGCTAGATCCTCATACACCTGGCCCAATTCCGCCATATGGTGTGAGTGGTAAGCATTGTTGCTTGTTTTCAGCACTCTATTAAACACTTTGTCAACTTCGAGCCTCTCCGAAGCCAGGTCAATTGCATCCGCATCTCCAGAGAGCGTGGTACTTGAAGGAGAGTTATAACAGGCGATCACCACTCGCCCTTCCATATCATGCAGGTATGGCTGAACCTCATCAGGCCCAAGTCCAACGGCTAGCATGCGGCCAACCTTCTGGCTCATCTCAACGGCTTTGCCGCGATAGTATGCCAAAGCTATGGCTTCGGCAGCCGTTAGATGCCCACTCGCATACGCTGCCGCTATCTCGCCAGAGGAATGACCGACCGAAACAACCGGACTCACGCGCCACGATCTGAGCAAGTCAACCAAGGCAATTTGTATAGACGTGCAGAGCGCCTGCGAGAATTGAGTTTTGTGGACGCTGCTACTAGCATAGGGCTCCATAAGCACCTCCTCAATGGTCCAACCGGGCCCGTCTCTTAATTTGTGAAGGACATTATTTTGATAGCGAATCGATGATCGAAAAGCTTCGTATTCTTTGTACAATCCGAGCCCCATGCCAGGCCACTGAGCGCCTTGTCCAGTAAACACGAAGCCTACTTGTTGGTCTCTCAAGTCTGAAGAGCCGGTAACCACCTCATCTTTGTGAATGTGACTATCTTCAAGGCCGATCACGGCGAATGCACGCTGGGCGAATCTCGACCTGCGAGCCGATAATGTATATACTAGGTCCGAAAGGTTGTAGTTTTGCAGAATGGAGCTGACTGCAGCAAGATTGTCTTCAAGAGACTTGTCATCAAAAGCGGAGAATGGCAAAAGTACCTTTTTTCTCGTGCTACAGGATTGTTGATGGATCAGCTTGCCATCTGGCCTCATTGGACTCTCTTCGTTGACTTTGTCCAATCCATTAGGTACTGTGGTTTTGTCTCTGTGATAGGATCTGTTGCCATTTTCTCCGTTGCTGGTGGCTATAGGGGTCGCAGTACCCGTCAAGTTCGTTGATCGTCTCCTCACGCTCGACTTATATCCATGGACAACAGACGATACGTGTTCTATTATGCAGTGTGCGTTTGCGCCTCCAAAGCCAAATGAGTTTACGCTTGCTCTCCGTATTGGCTTATCGGCAGGCCATTTTGTAGCCTCAGTAACGACTTCGACTCTGGCACCTTTGAAGTCGATATTGGGATTCGGGTTTATTAACCCAATCGTTGGCGGAATGATCCCATTCTCGACCGCAAGTACCGCTTTCATTAGACCAGCAATACCGCTAGCAGCTTCAGCATGGCCAAGGTTGGGTTTTATCGAGCCTATTAACAAAGGATTTTCTTCCTTCCTCCCAGACCCGAACACGCGTCCTATTGCGCTAACTTCCAAGGGATCGCCAACCTGCGTACCGGTTCCGTGGCATTCGAATAGTCCAGTGAGATCCGGATCCAGGCCACCAGCATTTTTGTAAGCACTTCTAATTACTGCTTCCTGTCCCTCTGGGCTGGGGTGTGCGATTCCGGCAGTTCGTCCATTGGTGTTTACTGCCGTCCCTCTAATCACAGCTCGGATGGGATCGCTGTTCTTGATCGCATCGGATAATCTTTTGATGTATACAGACCCAAACCCTTCTGCTCTTGCGTAGCCGTCTGCTGCAGCATCAAATGTATGGCATTGGGAAGTTGGGGAGAGGGCACCTAACCTGGCGCAAGATATTTGTATTTCAGGCCCAAGTATTAGCTGTGTGCCAGCCACCAGAGCAGCATCGCAGTCCTTGTTGCGAAGGGCGTTCACGGCAAGATGAAGGGCATACATAGATGAGGAGCATGCAGTATCGAGAGTCATGCTGCACCACGTTAGAACTTCTTCTATGGATAAGATGCAACCTCTTTTAGTTGCATTTGCGTACCTTGGTCCTTTGAGATTGAAGACATAGTTTACACGATTACTTAAGATCGTCGGGCTCCCTCCTGTCGTTAGATATGGAAGAGTAAAGTCCGCATCCCGTAGTTGCATCATGTAGTGTTCGAATAGGATATTCCCAACATACACTCCGGTTCTTGACCCTGACAGCGACTCCAGTGTCTCTCCTCCATTCTCAAAAGCTTCATACGCTGTTTCAAGAAGCTTCCTCTGGGTTGGGTCCAAATTTATCGTCTCTAGAGGTGTAATACCAAAGAATCCATGGTCAAACTGCCGAGGATCCTCATCTATGAAATATCCTCCTTTGGTATACAGGCTTCCGGGTCTATCTTTATTGGGATGATAGAATCCATCGATATTAATTCTATCCGATGGAAAATCCGAGTATGCATTTCGTTTGCTGATAAGTAGATCCCAAAGCTTCGATGGGTCCGAAGCTCCTCCAGGCAAACGACAGCCTAGGACATGTCATCAGCAGCTGCCACTTCGCCGACATTGATGCAATCCAGGACGAGGAGCTCACCCATTCCCACAATGGCAATTGGCTCAGGACATTCTGATAACGGTGGGTCTTTGCCATAGTGCGGCGGGGCCTGGATACCAGGCTCTGTCCATGCCGTCGACATGAGTAGAATACAAGCAACGAAGCCCAGTCTTGTTCGATGCACACTGCTCTGAAAACACCACTTGGAAATGCTTGCTATTGGCGGACTGCAGATCTTGTTGTGAAAACTATATGTGCGATGGGGGTAATTCACACTGTCGGCCTTTATCTGCAAGTAATCTATGGAAAGTTTCGGCGATAGGTTTTGTCTTGGAATCCCATACGTACAGAGTTTTAATGTCTGGCCTGTTCGTAGTCAGTCACTGCAACATGAAAGACAGGCAGGTATTAATCTTAGTGATGTGACTGCTATTTGTAATTTCTTTCTGTGGTGCTGCATGCTATGAGGTCGGGGTCAAATTTTTGCTCCCACAGGCGGTCAAGTAGTAGCTGCATGTTTGCCACTACCTTGTATGGACTTTGGCCCGTCGTCAAGGTCTACCAAAGCTGCAAGATTAACCGAATTGCAACCTTCACCGCTAGGGGCTATCATTCACGTACTTCCTTGGATACACTCTTGTGTATAAAAGTGTACTGTCTCCTCTGCACGGAGATTCAGCCTAAAAGTAATGAGATTTTATTTAATTAAGTAATAGATCAAATTGGGGGCTTCATGCACTTTCCTAGGTTAATTAGATTAGTTAGCTCTCCTAAGTAATAGCACGCATACGGTAACAACGCTTTGCTAGCAGGTACTATCCCCGTATGCATATTTTACTGGGGTACACAGCCTATTGTTGCTTACCTCGTTGGACGAAGCGTATTGCAGGACAACCTATTATTTTCATCATTTGCAGTTGAACATGTACCCCCCTAGAATTACTTTTCGTGCCGAAAATGATAATGTAAAGATTTAAGCTGCACAGCATATTCATAGAGATTTTCTGCTAAACTATCCCTTTTGGGAATACCTCGGAATAGTTGCTTTTTCCTATATAGGTGATTGTGAGAGGCACAAAAGCTCGTGATTGTGGCCCCTAATTGCCAAGTACAACTTCTACAAGCCCAATATTAAGATTGCCATGGATTTTCTTGATCTGGGGCAGTTGTCAGCGCCAGTTCGTTCCATGGGGTGATCCATCCGGAGCAATATCTTACCTCGAATCGTGGGTCGGCCTGTTTGACTAGAGCATGGAATTGCGAAGCACTTCGCTGCTTTGCACCTAGCACCACAAACATAGCAATATCAGTCTGCCGCATGATTCGCTCTTTGTATCTCTCTTTGGAATTTAGCTCCGGCAGCACTACGTCGTTTATGAGTACTGGGGTTCCAGGCCGTTTCTCGAGTGCTGGGATAAGCGCGCGGAGGATTTTCACGCACTCACTGTCCACATAGTTATGAGAGATGTGGCGGAGGAAGAACGCCCTTGCATCGTGTATAGGCTGTGGCTCAAAGAAGTCATGTTGCATGAAAGTCACTCGGCCTTCTAGCCCATCCATCTCTTTACGTAGGGATGCTTGACGCATCATGTCCTCTGATATGTCTTGAACAATGAACTCAAGGTCCGGGAATTCCTGATACCGTGTCAATACAAGCTTAAAAATTCCGACTGAGGTAGCCAACCTTCGCCAGCATCATGGAGATAGAGCCATTGCCTCCACCAACATCAACAACTTTACCTCTGCCTAGCGATGCCCATGGGTATTCATCGCGAAGAGGGGAGATGGGACGATCTAACTTCGAAAACCCAGTCATAGCCTGTGCGAATCGAGCCCCTTTCCGCGGATTCTTGGAGTACCAGTCATAAGCAATGTCTCCATGTCTGATATTAAAAGGCGCTGACTCGTGGCTATAGTTTTTGGGCTCCTTTCTCAGTGCAAGATCAATATCTGAAGCGGCCTTGAACATGTCATCGACTCTATGTGGCAATTAGTAAACGGACAGGGGACCCATTGAGAACCTACTCCATATGTATGGCAGCCTGGATGTCGTCATCTCTGCCCAACACAGCGGATATCGAAGTGTGCTGGAACACACCAGGCTCACTCTCCACAAATATTCTTTGAGTAGCTAGTAGACGTACAGCGGAGGCCGTGATGTCTTCACCTATTCCAGCCGCCCTTGCCAGCTCCCTCGAGGTTATTGATCCTTCCAGTGGGATATTTTTGAAGAAGTTAAATTCCAGCGCAATCTGAAATGCGGCAAGATCCTGGAAGGCGAGGCCGAAAGTCCGAAGGAAAATCTTTGGTCCCTGAACGAGTAGTGATAAATCCGCAAGAGCTTCAATAAGGGGAGCCTGAATCTCTTCGAACTCGGGATCATTGGGAGTCCCGTGATATGAAGCATCGAAACTTGGCTCTGGCAGGTTCTTTTCAGAAAAATAAGCGGCGACTCTTTCAGTGAGAGTCAAAATCTCGCGAGAGAGGTTGATGATTGATATTGGTTTCAGAGCCATGTCGGCGAACTTGTAGAATCGAATAGAGATTTTTCTAAGTGTAGTATTTAAACGAACTGGCAAAAAAAGTATATAAATTTTGTTAATGCTACTCCACAACGTAGTAAAAGTCTAGGCCGTCTAGCGCTTATTCTCCTGTAACGGTTCGGGAAGTGATGCTACCCCATAACGTAGTAAAAATCCAGGCCGTCTAGCGCTTATTCTCCTGTAAGGGTTCCGGAAGTGATGCGTGGTCCCCGGGCCACAAAGCGCCGAGAATAAGCCACTCAAATGTGGGGATCCAATTGGATTGACGGTACCGTACATGGGTAATGGCAAAAGGGGACATATCAGAGTGCCAGGGGTAGAGCACAAACGTCGTGCATGCATTAGCGCCATGCCCGTTAGTTAGTACTAGTTTCCAGGTTACCCATATCATATGAGTACCTACTCTACTGTAGCGCCATGTATATTCAAACACGGGGAGGGATTTCCAAATCGTAAGTGGCTCTCGTGTACAGGTAGTATGGCCGTAGAAATCTTTGAAACTTGGCAAAGAAACATCCCACTTCTTCTACAGTAGTTCTTATCGTCGATTATATTTTGTAGTTCTCGTATTCTAACAAAGGGAGGGTATGCTGGTAACTTCCGCCTACAAGCCTTCTGTGCTGAACCCTGATGTTACAGCCGTCGCATGGAGTACCCTCTTTCGGATCACCTCTGAACTGTACCTCCGTCATAATATGATCGTGTGGCACAGTTTTGGTTCCAGAGAGCACCAAAGGCTTATGAGGGCATCCAAATCGCTAAAATTGCAGGTTCGAGATGGACGACGTAGGATCTGTGTTGTTACATTACTATCTGCGAGTACCTATTTGTAACAGATCGCATCCGCATTTTGAGCGTGTCCGCTGCCGGCCATCTCCAGCAGCTGGCAAGGGAACAGCTCGCGCGGCAGGTGTGAAGAGCAGCCAGTGCCTTCATGTGCAAACTGATTTTCAGGTTGCAGAAGCTATGCAAACGACTACTGTGATCTGCCTATTCTTGACGTAATTCACATCTAAGTGCGAGATCAATCGTAACGTCCACCCCCTTTCCGGCGGCATACTATATCACTGTATGTAGGGCTATGATTACAGGAGAACATCAAACGTAGCCTAGTGAGCAATTCCCAGACCTTTACTCGTAGTCTCATCATTATCAGACTTACTGGATGAATACTCAAGGTCCCACTTCCTGGAGACACGAATATTATTGCCAAACTCCTCAGAGATATCCCTTCGCGCATCTAAACTTGAGAGTCAGCGTGGGTTTCTTGGGGCTCGATCCGATGTTGCCTACTCCTTCGTATGTCATTGAGAGGATACTCGTCCTCAAGCCTCTCGAATTGCCGTCCCGTAGACGCAGATGAGACTAAACCAGTGCCTTTGTGACTGCTGAAGTTCTTGAAGTCACTTGTGCCTGTGGAGTTTTTTTGTGCGGTTCCCTTGAATGTGCTTCGAAATGCGGCGCTGCGGAATAATTTGGCAATCACCGGTGGGAGCACCGGCAAGCAGGCGTTGATAATACCAAGAAGGGGTTCGAGGGCAGCAAAAATGTTAAACTTGATCTGGCTAAACTGCGGATCCAATACATCGATCTCGCCAATAAACTTCAAGCGGACGGCGGTAATGCAACAGATACTGCGACGAAAGTTAGCAATGCTCCAATTCCACTGGTCGCATAGGGGACAGCAAGGAGTCTACGTACGCAGCACCGAGTCCAAAGACAGCACTAATTGCAATCTTTTTACTGAATGCCATCTGAAGATTCCATACAACAGGCATAGGCAGGAAGACCACCAGCAAGTCGAGAATTAGATCGATGGAGGCCAAAGACATATACATGGTGTGCAGGTCGCCGCAAGTACCACCTGGTGTAGTGAAGTCCCAGTTCATTGCAACGGGCCGGCAAATCAATGCTCTAACAAAGATGAACGCAACACCGGTTGTTGCGCAGATGGCGAAAACAATCCAATTTATCGTCGAAAAGACAGGTCTCTGGAAGATCTTGTCGTATAGATCGAGTACGGAAAGCTTGATGAGGGTGACCAAGGCAAGCCATAGCATATCGTCTGCAAAGGACAACTGTATCTCTGATCAGTCTCATACTCTCACGTCGCAAGCTCGTGGTCCAACATACCATGCCGAACTGAGTGATTTTTTCGGATCCATACTCTGCCTCAATATTCGTGGCGTGCAATCCGAAACCAGCTACAACAACCACTACCAAGCGAGTCAAAAGAGGACGATTCCGAGTGGAAGAGGATACCCGTACTGCTAATCTCATTGCCATATCGCGCAATCATAACGACCAAGGCGACGATGATGCTCCAGTCGTTGAACTGAAGCGCTTTTTGCTGGATCCGTCGCGACCATATTCGCCCTGCCACGGCCACAACATCAAAGAAGATGAAGATTGTCTCGACGATGATGAGTTTCGCGCCTCGAGGGTTTCCGCCGATGGAAATTATTCCCATGTTGGTCGCTATGCTGGTCGTTTTGCTGGGTGGGTCAATGAGCGCTGTGTTGTCTTCAAGTTCTCAATCCCGCGATTCCTGTCCTGCCGCTGAAGCTAGTATATTATATAGGAACGGTGTTGCCGACTTATAGAAAGGAGACTGGTATCCGCAATGAATAGAATACCATTCACAAACAACCCGTGGAAAATACTATATGTCCGTCTCCATACGGGCCATAAGCCGAGCCATAACCTGGGATAAGCTTGTTTAGTGCCAAGGACAGATTTTAGACCTAGGGGTGGCAACGAAAGATCCATTGTACAGTATGTATGGTGATTGCCGGCATGCAAAAGTAAATTTGTTCAAACGGGGGATTAGGGGATTACAAAGTATTACAATGCAGAAAAGTGTTCTAGATTAGGAATAGGTTCGGCTTGCTGATTATTCTTCCACATCCCTCCACGTCGCAAATGAACAAATAACAGAGCAAGCAGTAAGCAGCGATACCGCAACCACAAGCTACCTGTTGCAAAGGTAGTAACAGTCAGTCAGTATAGCAACAAATACCTATCTTGCTATGCTTTTGAGAGAGTTGCGCTCAGCATATGAAACTATCTCAGTATTAAGAATGAGTCTGAGTCGCTAAAACTCAAACGGCCGAAATCCTACAGCAGCGATGAAACCCAGAGAGTCCATGCAAGACATGCTAACAAAAGTTGCTGTGGCGTCTGTGGTAAGGTATGTCTGCAATCACAGTTGTAAGAAGCAAGGTAGGGATTCCCATCAGAAGCCCACAGGGCCTTCCTGATTCGCACAATACCCCTGGATCACAACCACAGTTGGCAATACCGTCCCTGTTAAAATCGGGCCTTCTGTTCGTTAGTTCACTCATACTTTCAATACGCGTATGGATGGAGTGGCCTCACAATGACCATACTGGTGTGGAAATAGACGGGTTGCGATTCTCAAAGATAGCATCCTGTTTCTACTGCAGATTTGTGGGTCAGTGAAGGCAAGATACTACCTTAATTACAGTACACTCTGTCCGAAACAAACGAGACACACGGAGAATCTTACCCAAATAACGAACACAAAGATTAGCTACTATGTAACTGCATAACAGAGAATTCCGCCGTGGAGATATTACTTCAGTATGCCCTGAGAGATCCTTGTCGTACCATACCGTACCGTACCGTACCGTACCGTACCTTGGCAACCTTCCTCAAATACTGTATAGCACCCTAAGCACATTATCTACAGTTGGCGGTCACTATATGCTGTACATGTGCGAATAGGTGTTCTAAAGCAACGGTATTTAGCCCCTCATAATCGACTCTCTTTGCTACATACATACAGCACAAGAACAGCTTCGCTGCAAGACTGCGGCGACTGTGTAGGTACCAGCAACCCAAGGGTTCCAAGACGAAGCAGCAAGATTGCCAAACTCCCATCGAAGAATATTAATTTCAAGGGGCATGGACAGCGTCTTCGAGGGCGGGACGGCTACAACCCCAATCTGCTTATACGACGCACACTGGTAAGGATTATATTTTTCGTACATGGGTTCCGTTTCGTCTTGGGTCCCCCTCCAACATCCTCCAACATCCTCCAACATCCACTTGCATGCATGCACGCACATTCGCGAACGGACCTTGTGATTTGGTTGCGGTATCGTGGTAGCTGCCTTGTAATTACTTACCATACCCTTCTTACCCAAAGGTGTACTCGGGTTTCTCCCGAGTGTTCTGATATTATACCCTGTACGAGTACAATGGCAGAGGGATAGCACAACGTACAACAGTATTGTTCCCTTGGCGGCATATGCAAGGGACGAGAGAATGTTTGCACCTCATCTTAGTCGCAATGACGTGAAGCTACAAAGTTCACCACTTTTTATTTTCATAAATGTGGGGGTTATTTCAGAATTATCAATATCTATTAGGTTAAGCACATTGAATCCTTCTTTGCTTCCGGCTAGTGTACTTGTACTGTACACACAATGCAAGAAATGCTCCATGGCATGATTCTACCCTACGCCTTGATCGGAGCGTAATAAACCAATTTGTTGTCCGGGTCATACTTCTTCTTCAAGCTCTTCAGCCTCTGGATCCTCCATTTCTCGTGGCCGTACCAGTCTTCCTCCGACTCGTCGCCGTGCGCATAGTTTACATATGCGTTGAGTGGTCCAGACTTGCCTTCCAAGGCGATTTTCCTGAGCTCCTGCCCGGCCTGAACAGCCTGGTCGTTAAGCGAAGAGTCGAAGTAGATGATCACAGGGCTGATGAGATGGTGATTAAAGCGATCCGGAAACGCGGTGGAATCGGCATCGACGGCCGACACACCCCGGGTTGAGTAGTCCTCGAAGAGGAAGAAGCTGTTAGCGAACGCGGGCTGCTGGGAAGTGATGTCGGCGAATTTATTGAAGAGTTTGCGGTTGGTGGTGAGATTATAGGTCTTGAAGCCAGTAGGGAAGCGCAGAGCACTGTACTCGCCGTGGACGCAAGCGATGCCGTCGTTGCCGTTTCCGGTTAGAGACGAGATCTGCGTATAGTCGGTTTTGACGATGGTGATATTCGCTGGACCCAGCGCCTTGTACATATCGATATAATTCTGCGCCTTTTGGGGGGTTCCCTGGTAAAGCATGTACACGCTGACCACGGGGAGCTTAGCATCAATCTCAGCTACGCGCTGGAACCAGACAAAGTCGATGTATGCGACGTCGCCCTCGCCGTTGTTAGTTATCTTATTGACCAGACCGAAGACCGCCTCGAGCTTGTCCTGCTTAAAGATGAGGTTTGCGTATGTCCAATCTCTTCCGCCATTGTTAGACACGTCATAGACCTTGTACTTGACCTCTATCACGACGCCAAAGTTGTGACCGGCGCCTTTCAGAGCCCAGAAGAGGTCACGATATTCCGAATGCTCGCTGACTGTCACGAGCTGCCCGTTCGGAAGGACCACGCGCGCCTCGATGAGCTGGTCTGCAGAGAGTCCATTACGACCTTGTAGCCAGCCATGGCCACCGCCCAGCATGGGACCAACGAGAGAAGTACACTCGCATGCACCTGTTACAGTCTGCTTGCCCTTCGCCCAAAGAGTGTCGGTGATTTTTTTAGAGAGCGTTCCGCCCCCAATACGAGCCGTCCGTCCATCGGCACTAAGGTTAATGTCGTTGAAGCTCTCCATCGAAATCTGGATGCCGAGTTTGAAGGTTCCCAGGCTGTTTATAGACCCGTGGTGGCCTGAGATAGCAAGCCATGGAAGACCGAACCAGTTTGCCAGTTGAATCTTTGGTTTCAATCAGCCTGATTCCCAAGCCCAGCTTTATGGCGTTGACTTACGGTCAGCTGCACGTCCCGTTCACACCTAGGGACTACAACAGCGATGAATGTTGGAGGGGCAAATAGCTGCCATCGCTCCGTGAGGATGTCGAATTTATCAGACCCCGAGAGATAGACCAGCGCACCCTGTGACAGCTGCGGCCCAAGTTTGTCAGTCATCTTGTTAATCCTCATCGCGGCATCTGCCGACCCCTCAAGGTTGCCAGCTGGCAGGACGGTGGCTGCTGCTGCAACGGAGCAGCTCGACAGCTGGATTGTCACGAAAGATGCCAGGCATTTCAACGAGAAGGCGAGAAACGCTTTTGACTAGGAAGCTTCCACGTCAGTACATCAAACCCTCATGCCCATTGATATAGCTCGAGGCTGCCCAGCGGCCGCCGCGACAGGGACGTGACTTCTACTTACGGACACCATCGTGAATGCACTGTGACTGTGACTGCTTGCGAGCCTCGAGCTTATTTTCCAGAGGACCTGGGATAACGTGACCGGAGGGACAAGTTCGCTAATTGACAGCAATCCCCAGAACACAAGCAGCGTCTAATGTCGTTTCACAACAATGAAGCCCCAACGCGATGTTTCTCGTCGGTAGGAAGCAACGGGACAGGCGCAAGTACTGACAACGAGACTGGGGGGCCGCAGATTTAAAAACAGAATATGAGAGTCTCGCTTCGACCAACAGCCCTCAAGGACCTCCACGCAGCGCGGTGAACGGGTAAATTCACCCGTATCAATAACAATGAGTGAGGTAAAATTCGCAACGCGGGTTAATGAAAGTACTTCCACAAAGGCACTAGCGGGCAGGGGCCAATACTTTCCCTAGTAAGTTCAGGGACCGTGCAGGGTTAGCGTGTGGGATTAGGTGGGTTCGCGGGAGGGAGGAGCCGGACGGCTTGTGGGACGGCCAGTAGTGCTACAGCACCCAAGTGAGAAACAAAAGAGAGCGAGTGTACCCGCTAAATAGTACAGTACAATTAACGGTCTAGCCAACTTTTGAATCACATCTCAACAGTGCTCTATCCGTTCCCCGTGCCGTGAGGAACAATTATTATGGATTAATTGTTAACTTTGGTTGTTGCTTGTTGGTTATGGTTGTTGATTGCGGGTTATTATTGCTAACACTACGCTGCTACAGGTACAGTTTACTCTCGTCTTTTTGTACTGTACAGTGAAGTACAGTACAGTAGCTACAGGTAAGATTAGCTGGCGTACTGTCACCCGTAAAGCAAGGGAGGGATAGAGGAACAGACAGTACACGTGGTTGCACTACATGCCCCTTTTTCGTAGTACGCCGTAGTATGTGGTAGTTCGCCGTAGTTCGTAGTTTGGTAGTATTCTCGTAGTAATGAGAGCTCACTTCTTACCTGACTTCAATTTCCACTTCCATACCCTGCTGCGTTTACGTGGTACTTGTAGTTGTGGTACTTGCAGCGGTGGCTCATAATAAGGGACTTCCAGGAACCATCAATGATCAACGCACTGATGGGGTTCGTGCCACGCAGTGCTACGAGTACGTATCTTCAGCAGAATGGGCGCAATACCCTGCACCTAACATTCAGTACGCATACTCTCATATTTTAGTACATGTACATACTAAATTACCAATTGGGGCAGTGAGCAAGATTTGTCGACGACGGTGCTGTAATCTACAGAATACAGTACCACGTTGTACTCACCTAACGTGCACTCTGCACTCTGCACTCTAGCACTCTGCACTCTGCACTCTGGCACTCTGGACCCTCCACGTGGGCGCTAGCGAGGTATTAAAAGTTGGTTCTATACTTCTATACTTATATTGTGTATTTCTGGATTTCATAGGGGGTAAAAGTAAAAAGAAAAGACAAGCAAAAAAATAAAAAATAACTGCTCCAACACCAGCTTCCACGCCGAAACTTGCGAGAATGACACCCTTGATAATCCCAGCTGGCACATCTCCAGATGATCAAGCCAGTAAGCGACTGGGAGGTCCAATACATGCCGAGAGACATGTGAATATCATTTGTATTGGCGCCGGGCCTTCTGGCCTGCTGATGGCGTACAAGATTCAGCGACATTTTAGAAATTATTCTTTGACGGTATTTGAGAAGAATTCGGGGGTGGGTGGCACTTGGTTTGAGCAGAGATATCCAGGGTATGTATGTTTGATAATAATCACGATATGGTGGCTGGCTTCCTGACAGTGATGATGGACGTAGTGTTGCGTGTGATGTTCCCGCCCATAATTACACTTGGAGTTTTGAGCCAAACCCTGACTTTTCTGCTGTGTATGCAAGCGGCAAGGAGATATACGATTACTTCAACTCGTTCGCAGCAAAATATCATCTCAACGAATACATCAGAGGTCAGCATCAGGTTATTGGCGCGTGCTGGAACAATGAGACGGCGGGTTATGATGTCAAGATTCGAGACCTAAGGGGGGGTCAGGAGTTTAGTCAGCACTGCGATATCCTGATCAACGCGTCAGGGCTTCTAAACAATTGGAAATGGCCAGCGATTCCTGGGCTCGACAGCTATGAGGGTACTCTACTCCATACCTCGGACTGGGATGAGAACATAGATCTCACTGGGAAACATGTCGGGCTGATCGGGAATGGGTGAGGAAACATGCCCCCCTTTTTCAGAAACACAAACCCTAACGTCTAGTAGATCGACTGGCGTCCAGATCCTCCCACAGCTCCAACCCATTGCAAAGCATGTCACTACGTTCATCCGCGAGCCAACTTGGGTATCGCCAGTGCAGGGATTTGAACAGCATAGCTTTTCCGATGAGGAAAGACGCGAATTTGCACGGAAGCCCCAAGTTCTTACTGAATACCGAAAGGGGATCGAGCGCGGTCTGAGTGGACAATTTGGAATCTTCTTGAAAGACACGAAGCCCAACAAAGATGCGCATGAGTATATAGCGGGACAGATGAGAGAAAAGCTTCGGAATGAACGCCTCGAAACGCAATTAATTCCCAAGTGGGCTGTAGGGTGTAGGCGATTTACTCCAGGGGTTGGATACCTCGAAAGCTTGGGTAAGGACAACGTCACTGTCGTCGTTGGTGAGATCAACCAAATTACCGGAAAAGGATGCCTCTGTGACAACGGATGTGAATACCCAGTCGACATTCTCATTTGTGCCACCGGCTTCGACACTACGTTCAAGCCCCGCTTCCATGTCATCGGTCCAGATGGAACAAATCTTCAAGACCAGTGGAAAGAAGAAGCACAATCTTATCTCGGCATGGCAGCAGCCGGGTTCCCTAATTACCTGATTTTCCTTGGCCCCAACTCACCCGTCGGTAACGGCCCTTTATTATCAGCGATCGAAGCGCAGGCGGATTATATGCTCCAGCTGATCGACCGCTATCAAACTCGAAATATCCGTTCGTTCGCCCCAACACGAGAGGCAGTTAGTGACTTCATCGTTTATAAGGATAACTTCATGGAGAAATCCGTATGGGCCGACCCTTGTCGCTCATGGTACAAGAATGGTCGGGATGGTCCCGTTACCGGTGTCTGGCCCGGCTCAACACTTCACTACATCGAAGCCATCTCGGAAGTAAGGCTTGAGGATTGGGATGTGAAGTATAGCGGGAATAGATTTGCGTGGCTTGGAAATGGTTATGGTCAGACTGAGCTGGACAGGACTGCTGACTGGGGATATTATATACGGGAGGCAGATGATGACTCGCCAGCTACCACCGGGGGAAGGAGGATGTTATTAAGCAAGAGCGGGACGGTCAAGAACACCGGGGGCATGAGCCTTCTAGGAAAACAACCAGAGGAGTCAATAAAAGTGGCAAAGGCAAATCTTTAGATTTTCTGTCTTCGTAATTATTACTTGTTCTTCTGGTCCGGGCACGCACACAAACGGAATTTCGCAACCCCGTAGAGTCTAGGCTTGTGTAGAGCAGTCCATCGCGCTGCCTATGGGTGAATTTGAGAACCAACGCCGAGCAATGGTACAGGTCCAAGAAGCGGAGACTAATGATGGTCTGAAATCAGGTCGCCAACAAGAGAAGAAGTGGGCGAGACTAGCCCCTGAGGCATAATTGAGCCCCCGCTCCTTGCGTCAAGCACATCCAAACCGTACAACCCTCATATAATAAATGGTAAATGACTAAAATGCTACCCAAATGATAATTAACGGAAGTGCCACTCAAATTAATATAAATGGGCTGCCACGCCGCCTTCCTATTACTTCTGTAAAATCTCTGCTATTCCTGTCATTTCTGATCTGCCATTGCACTGTCTATTACAATTGTTGGGTGGAAGGGCCAGTTCTGGGCACGGAGCCGGGACTCCAGAATAGCTGGGGTCCAGGCTATGGGCACGACGCAGTAAGGCCCTACTCAGGAGGCACGCGCAGTATATAGTAGAGTCTGCACACTTCTATAGAGGGGGCAGAGACTACTTTATTAAATGCAACTACCTTCTGCGCAAGAATATCCTATTTGCTACATGAGTTAGGCTTCTATACATGCACGGTTCGAGCGCCCATAGACCACGGCCCGCTCATGGTGCGAACTGCTCGGAACGAAGACCTAAGCCCGGACTCGCAACGCCTGATACTGGATCGTACCACCACGTAGTCGCGAGTCATGACTCCCTACCCAATCGTCCCTAACACATAGGGCCCTAGTATTGTGATTACAGCTTGACTTAGCTTCTTAGAATAGTAAACTCTAACTTTAAAGCTACAGCCTGCATCCTTACAAATAAAGATGTACCGTGTGATATCTGTCTTATACACCTTGTACGAGAAACCAGTGTTAAGCAAGAATAGCGAAGTGGCCTAAAAGGCATCGAGCCTATGTATATAACTTTCGCAATTAGGAGGGCACTAAATCTAGTGTGGCATACCTCGCGACTGAGATTATAAGCTGTGAATCTATTATTATTATTTAAGGGGCATTAGGATTCAGGGGATAAGGGAGGGGGACGTTATAGCACTTTCACTAGTAATAGATGGAGAGAAAAGTAACTTGTCTAATTTTTTTAATACAGCTGACGCTGCATTAAATACATGTCTGGTCGACAGCTACATAAATTAACAGTGTCTCTTGCTATTTACATGCTAGGCATATAGTATTTACATGAAGAACTCGGGCTGAAGTATCTTATTGCAGTGTCAGCACACCAGGCTGGTAAGGCAGCAGGTTGTAGCTCGGATTGTTGTTAGGGTTGCGTCCTTGGTAAAGTAATTGCAGGCTGCCGCTACAAGCATTGATGGGCTTGGTCTGATCGTTCGTGGCGCGGACGAGATCGCCACTGCTGATATCGTTGGTCCATGTGGCGCCGCTGTTGGCCTTGCCCGCGAAGGGAGACGACTCGCTTGTGGCTCCTGACTGCGGTGTCCAGGTACCGCCGAGACTAGACGCTGTGAATGAGCGAAAATAACGTCCGTTAGCGCCAATACATTCGACGATCATGAGATACTGATTCTGGCCCTGGACACTGTAGACTTCAACTGCTTCGAACAAGTTGTAAGTCGAGTCGGTTAGGATTGTCTCGTATGATGTCCCAAAGCTGGAAGGGAAGTTTCCGATAGGCATGCTTGACCGGTAAATGTGACCGTTGTCACCAGCAAAGAACAGGTACATATTTTCGTCATCGCCAATGAGAGCTGGATCAATGGGGTTACTGCCGCCACCTAAGCTGCCGGTGAAGAGGGGCTTTTCCGATGACCATCCGTTGGGATTGGTAGGGTCGCTTGATGTCATGTAGTTGAAGGGAGCTGCTCCCCATTCCTGTGCAAGAACCCAGATATTCTTTGGCGCGAAGTAGAAGAGATCGGGCGCAACGGCACTGTTGGTCATCTGGGTCTGACTGGCCGAGGCCAACCCGCTCCAGCTGGAAACAAGGCCAAATGCCATGGAGGCGTAGTTCCCATTAGAGACTATTGATCCATACACGAGATGCTCGCCGTTGATCGGGACAGTGCTGAAATCCTTGAGCGAAGCCCATGGAGATTTAGGGGTTGCTAAAGAGCCGGTCGATTTCCAGCGATATGTCGATGGCAGAGGGCAGCCGGTTGGGCCAGCTGAACCTCCACTTCCAGTGCTGGCTGGAGGTTTTGACGAAGTCGTTGCTGACGATGACCCACTTCCGCATGGAAGACATTGCGAATAGTAAGGATTAGAGAAGGTGCAGCACGACCCAGACGCACAAGTTGTTGCCCCAGTCCATCCACTTCCACCGCCTGAAACCGTCAGCCACGCCGTTGGAAGATGTGGGTGACTTACATTGACCCCATAGCTGTGATTGCCCCGTTACAAGCGGCAGTGCTGTAAGCAATGCAGCAGCAAAACCTTTCATGGTGGCAGATTACTGAATAAAGCTTGAGAAAGAGCAGTCACTGTTGACAACTATACAACTTGAAGCCTGACGCTCGTCTATTTATAAAGTCAGCGGACAGTCTAGATTCTGAATATCGGACATCTGGTGGTATAACTCAGGGATGGAAGATATAGGACACATAGCATTCGGAGTAATCAAGTTCAGCGAGCCTAAAGCAAGGATTATCGGCATCGCTATCCGTGTGAATCGCTATCGTACCTTATGCATTTCGACTCATTTATTGCTAAGTGAAACTTCGGGGCCATTTAACCGCTCGCGGGTATGGACAGACTTCACGGAGAAATTAGAGTGAAGCAGGCATGTACCCCGCTTCTCCATCGGGTGCAGCAGGTGGCGCTGGACTGCTTAGCCATAGGGTGGCTAGTTGTAGGAGCAAGGCTACTAATTATAAGACAAGAGACTCAATATGCGTTTACTGTAGTTTCACAAGTAATTGCAAGAGGGAAAACACATAGCTACCCTTTTTGAGTAGAACACGTCAAATAATGTTAAATTACCTGACTGGCAGAATTCGCGAGCGCCAGCTGTAAATAGTAAGCGGTCAAGAGTAGATCCCTACATTTTACAACTCTGGTGGAACTGCGACGTGCTATATACCCTCGAAGGGGTTAGAAGGAGTAAAATAAAGTTGGATTCAGAAAGCTTAGTAAGGCTTAGCATATACCCTGGTACATACCTACCTACTTGAAATACCTAATTCTCAAAAAAAAAGGGGGTAGGTATATACCCGGGTATATACCCGAATACTCTGGGTATATACCTACCCGTGCCGAACCCTGCTTCGAAGTTTGGGACCGGACCAGACTATAGTCCAGTCTAGGGTCGGTCCTCCGGTGGGGTCGGTCCCCTGTGACGCACACTAAGAGTAAGGGCGATGAATCGGAGCCTGGATACCCCGCATGCAAATGTAACCTCCCTATTAATACCCCAGCCCTGCCTTGAACACTAGAGGTGTAGGGGCGGTTAATTTATCTAAATCCCTGCCTTTCATCTAAGACTTGAAATACCGGATATTGTCAAGACACTCCGTGATAAATAGGCACTAAAAATCGCTAGGATCAGAATCAAGAACAAAGCTTATTCGATTCTGACATGTACCCCGCTCTGATTATTCGATTCTGATTGGTGCCTATGCTTTATATTAAAGACAGTAGTAAACAATAAACGTGGCTAAACTCATTGTTAAGAGCTTCATACATATACGGAGCAAATCTCGGCGTTGTCTGGTGACCTCTTCGTTGGAATATCCACCGCCATCGCAATTAACAAATTCTGTAGTTCCCCATGTCCCTATGCACTTGCATAGTCGAGAGGCACAGCTAGCAAAGCTTCGCAATGTGAGTACAGTCGCACAGCAACTGTGTCATATGTTCCGGAGGATTGCATCAACTCCACCAGCACATATGTCCTCATCGCGATTTTCGGCAGCGGATCCGGCAATATATGTGCCTCATTCCAATTCGAGATGCTCTACTCCATTCAACATGTGGGTGGTTATATTATTAGTGTTACATTGTGAGGGTTAACAACATATACATCCATATCGACTTTTATGATACTACAGAGGTACAACTCTCAGAGACATTATCGGAAACCCCTCCCGCGAGATAAATTGCGCTGTGAATTGTTTCGAGCAATCGACTCAATTTTATTTGAACGTCGCTCGGGCAGTTTAGAAACTGGAGATAGAACATTTCTAGTTTGCAAATTTCCTTTTATGGTTTTAAGTTCTATTAAGCCATCTTCGGTCAGTAACCCTACTGGGTACCGTCCTGCCCTGGAGGATCCTTTAGGCTGTTTCAAAAACAAAAAATATATATTATTTTAAATTAAAGGCTGTTTGTTTGTTTTAGCTATGTAATTACAGTCGACCACGAAAAACGATTCATAAGATGAGTTCAGCAGCTTCGTTCTCACGCCTTTCAAGCACAAGACTTTTCTTTAAACACAATTCCTTTCTCTGCATCGTTTCTTGACGAAACCTTCATTCAGACATCATGTTCTCTTTCACCAGTGCTTTCGTTGCTGCTGTGGTTGCGGTTGGCGTCCTCGCCGGCCCTGGTGGAGCACCCGCCGCGCTTGCCAAGCGCAATAGTCCCAACTCATCAGGCACGAACAACGGCTACTACTACCAATTCTGTATGTGCAATGACGGCATTAATCCTTAATCTTCAAAAATCATTTGGCTAACCCAACATTGAGGGGATGATGGCACCAGTGGCACTACCACCTACACCAACGGGGCTGCCGGCGCATACTCCGTGACCTGGTCGAATGTTGGTGATTTCACCGCGGGTAAGGGCTGGTCGCAGGCTCAGCCCAGGACCATCAACTTCTCTGGTACCATCAATTGTGGAGGCAACTTTTACCTTGCTGTATACACTTGGTCAGGACAAGGCGAGAACTATGTAGGTCCTCTCTGCGGACTGACGCATTGATATGCGACTGCAATCTGACCCTGGATAGATTCTCGAGGACTACGGCAACTACAATCCGTGCTCTGATGGCACGAGCAAGGGCAGTCTTTACAGCGATGGGAGCGAGTACCAAGTCTGCCTGGTCGACCGTGGCAACAACTACCTCCAGAACTGGTCTGTCCGCCAGAACAAGCGCTCCAGCGGCACCGTTACAACGGCAAACCACTACAATTACTACCAGTCTCAGGGCATGACCCACAACCCGCTCAGCAGCGCCGCTTATCAGATCGTCTCTACGGAGGCCTTCGGCAGCTCTGGTTCCGCCAGCATCACCGTCTCCGAGGCTGCAGCTGGTTCAGTTTCGAGCTCTCCAAGCACGCCAAGCACATCTACATCTTCTGCCCCGTCCTCGACCCATTCCTCTGGCACTTGCTCTCAGCTCTACGGCCAATGTGGTGGCACGGGCTGGACCGGTGGTCTATGCTGTGTATCTGGCAGCTGTAAGTATTCCAATCCTTGGTACTCCCAGTGCCTGTAGACACGAGGTACACTTGCAACAATTGGCGCAATAGCAGAAGGGTAACGTGCAGCCCTGCATCGAGGGACGCACTCCGTGACAGGACAAATATTAGTACTTTGAATACAATTGATTATAAATTTATGAATCTATTGAAAATTCTAGTTTTTTTGTATTAGCTATGTTGTATGACTACTCCCGAACAGTCTAAACTACAGCTACTATAAAAGTTACAATTACTTTGTTACTATTATGCCTAATTACAGAGTGCGTTAATTTAAAGCATAATAGAGCCCCTTAACCTATAGCATTACTACGATCTCTTTACACCTTTTAAACTTATATAACACTTTAATCTAGGTTCCTAAGCCTTACTATAATGCTAAAAAATCATTTTTAGCCATTTAGTAACTAGGGAGTACTATGTTATATAACGTCATTATATAAGTTAGTAACGTATTTCACATGTAAGTAGCCTACCTAAGTGAGTAGCCTATCCTATTTTACACCTAAAATCAGAAACTCTATAACTAAGTATCTTAACAACTATTTAATAATAAACTATAAAAATGTATATTTAGCCTTTTATAGACATTTTAAGTAACTTCTCTAAGTTTTAAAGCAATTAGTCTTACATTTATTAAGATATTACAATTAGGACCTAAAGGAGGGGCTAAAACTTAGTATCTTAATAACTATAACGTACATGTATAGCGAATGTGCAAAACAAGCGAATGTGCAAAAATATCGCAACCACCCTACCCCCTAACTAAACTCGATAATTCCACCACAACATAACATGCCTTTTAAAAATGACGAGAGAGAGTTGACCTTAGCTATCCAAGCTATTTAAAGAGACCCTACGCTACGCCTTTACGCTATAGCTAAGACCTATTCTGTAGACCACTATAAGCTTGCTCGCCGTCTACATGGTATGCAACTACGACGTGATATTATAGCCAATTCACGAAAATTGTCAAACCTAGAGGAATCAGTCCTTGTTTAACACATACTTAACCTAGCTGCTAAAGGATTTCCTCTGCGGATGTCTATTGTTGAAGATATAGCAAATCGACTACTTGCAACACGCAACGCGCTACGCGTCAGGTCGCGTTAGGCTTTAAACTTTGTGAAGCGCTACACAGAGCTCTAGACACGCTTCTAGTGCAAATACGACTACTAGAGGGCTAAGTGTAAGGACCTAGAAGTTATCTATAGTTAGTTTAAGCTTGTACAGAACACAATTGTAAAGTATAGAATCAACGATGTAGATATCTACAACTTTGATGAGACTAGGTTTATAATGGGCGTTATCTCAACTGCTATAGTTGTAACAAGCTTAGATAGGCGTACACAAGCAAAGAAGGTGTAGCCTAGCAATCAGGAATAGGTTATAGTAATCTAAGGCGTTAGTTCTTAAGGCTAAGTAGTACTGCCATTCATTATTGTTGCTAGCAAAAACTACCTTACATCTTAGTATAAGAATAGTAGATTTCTAAGCGATTGGGTAATTGCTGTTATAGAAAATGGCTAGACTACAAACGAGAGAGGCATAGATTAGATTTAGCATTTCGAGAAGCATATAAAGCCCTAGAGTGTTAGTGGTTATTGCCTCTTAGTCCTTAATGGTTATAAGAGCTACTACTCAGATGAGTTTAAGGAGTACTGTAAGGAACACAACATTATTACGCTTTGTATGCCTGCTCATTCTTCCTATATACTCTAACCACTTGATATTAGCTGTTTTGGCCCTTTAAAAAAGGCTTACGGTCAGCAAATTGAAGATATAATGCGAGCTTATATTTCTTACATTACTAAGGATGACTTCTTTCCTACCTTCTACACTGCATTTAACATTGCAATGATAGAAAGTAACATTTAAGGAGGCTTCTAAGGTGTTAGACTTCTTCTATTCAACCTAAATAGAGTGATCTCTACACTTAATCTTAAGTTAAAGACACTAACACCTCTAAGCTCCCGCCTTAGTACTGCTTAACCTTAGGTTTCCTAGACGCTAAACAACCTAATTAAAGCTATGTTACAGTCTACATTTATTAAAACTTAGATTTTACGCTATTAAAATAGCTCTCTAACCTTAATCTATGTAGCTATTAACTAGTTTACAAAGGGCGCATCGTAAATAATGCATTAATTAGCATTATTAAAGGCAGAGAACCAAAACCTACGACAGGCAAATGAAGTACTAAGCAAGCGCTAGAGGGCAAAAAAAACACGCCTACGGCAAGGAGGATCACTTAGTCAACAGGAAGCGTAGGATCTACAGGATGAGAGGGACGTTGTGCAGTAAGTAGAGCAGGAAATAAGGGCAAGTGGTGGTTGTAAGCCGAGGGAAGAAACCTGTGCTCGTCGCTGTAGAAAATGTAGTGGGACTAAGCATAATGCGCGCACTTGTTAGATTGAAATAGACACGTCTAAGGAAGAGGTCTCCGAGTAGTTTTAATTGATTTCTAGTGTTGTGGTAGATTTATCACAATTCATATAGGGTAGTTGCGATATTTTTGCACATTCGCTTGTTTTGCACATTCGCTATACATGTACGTTAAGGCTAATTCCTTTAAAATCTAAATAGAGCTCTTTAAACACCTATTAATAACTAAGTATTTAGATACCCTTAATTATAATAAGCTTTTACTATAATTTAGTCTATATATATAGGATTTTAGAGCATTTTAAGTAGCTTTCTATAACACTAGGTCTTAAACTATAAGACTTATAGAGGTTTTGTTATATTAGTTAACTTAATAGAGGAGGTAGGGGATTAGACATAAAGGCTTTTATAAAACACATTACTAGTATATAACAAATACTATATTAAGTTAAGTATAAAGCTCCTATCTAAGAACTAACTACCTACTTATATAGAGGTATTATGCTAAAGGGGACTATAAGGAACTATAGGAACTATCACCCCAGCAAGGGTGTGCCCTAGGCGGAGCCTCCTACGGGAGGCCGGGCTTGCGGCCCGGAAACGCTCGATCCACGCATGGAGGGTATGGGTTGGGTGATCCTCATTCCCAACATAGTAGGGGTCGTCAGGGCGGCGGGAGGGAGGGGCGCGGGCAGCAGCAGCGCGAGCAGGCGACAACGTGCGGGCGCGGCGGGACGGGCCCGTATCTTTCGACGGGGGGGCAGCCCGCTTCGACCCACGGCCCACCCCACCCGTAAGCACCTCGACGGCGCATGATGCGGCCGCCGCAGCAGGGCGGCGGGCACGCAGACCTTCTAAAAGTTAGTTACGGAGTACAAACAATAAGGGAGGGAGGGCATTTACCTGAAAGTCCCGAAGGACTGCCTGTAACGGGCGCGGAGGGGGCCGCAGAAGCTGTTCCATCGAAATGAGTACAGAAACAAAAACAAGAGGGGAGAGAGAAAACTTACCGCGCAGCGAGCAGCGCGCGCCTTCGCCACCGAAGTGGCAGTTCGTGCAGCTCCCATGAGGAATCCCTCCACCCGGACGCACCCGCAAACTGGCCGTATCCAGCCGCGCAGTCAGTACATGGCGGCTGGACAAGCTCGCCGACCGTATACCCAACCGCCGCCTCGAGGTTCTGCATCCTCGAGAGGTTCGGCGGGTCGCTAGGGACAAGGGCACGAAACTCCAAGTGGCGGGCGTCGGGGAGGGTGAGGAGGGCAGCGAGGGCGCGGGAGCGACGAGGATCCTCCCCAAGTCCAGAGCGCAGGAGCTGCAGGGCCATCTGCTAGGTCGTATTAAAATTATAAATTTTGAATTTCGCCCTTAAATCTCCCACCCCATCCCGGATGTCATATCCATCCCTCTCTGACTTCGCCATTGCACTTCTCCGCCAAAACTACCCTATATAACAATATTGCCACACACTTGCCACCCATATACAAATCTTATCCCCCAGTACTCCACTTCGTCTCTTTTCTCTGCATCGCAACTCCAAAACTGCCCAAGGAGGCGCGTCTGTTCCATAAGTCTAATTGCCTTTATGACTAGTTTTGCCTCATTCAGGATTGCCCTCAGGTGTATTCGTCCTCCTCTTCCAAATATCCTTCACCGTGCGTCATTGTATGTACTGACGCGAAGCTGAACTTTCAGTACTTTCATGAGCAACCACGTGCCTGCTTTTGCTGTTTTCACGTGACTCTTCAATGAAACCTAACGAAATAAGCGATCACAGGCAGCCCGCTGTGTGGCCCGTGCTGATCAATGATTCGCCCTTATTTTGAGGGGCCGCGCATCACTGATCCACTGCCACTTACAAATGGCCCCAAACACTGCTCCATCGCAACCCAACCTAACCCAACCCGCCTCCTCCAGTTCAAATCCAGCTAAGTCAAACTTAGGAATATTAAGATCTCCCAGTTCCTTCTAATAACCTTTTACACACATTGAAAATTCGAGACACAGGACTCTAAAGGCGGATAACTCACGTACCTACGAACGAATCTGCGAGGAACTGATTATATCGACGCGAGCGCATAACACAACCTACCACGTATCACCTCAGAAATAGAAGTGCACGCTTAAACGATGGCTGACGAAGGACCCCAAGGCAAGGGAGCGGGCTTAATCAGTGGGAAACCCGTGAGCTCTTGTCGATTGATTAAGAGGAGCGAATGCTGATGATTGTAGATGGATGGTAAAGGTGGTGGGGGGCTTCTTTTGCAGCTTGGTAATACCGCGCAGCAATTACTGTATGGACGTCAAAACCCAACGGATCAAAGGAACGCGCAGCAAAACTTAAGACAGGACAGCGCGCCGCCACAGTACAGCGGGCCGCCACCAATCTCAAGCACACATAGATCACTGCCACAGCAGCATTATGGACAGCAAGGGCCACCAGGTCAGGGACAGTATGGGGCACCGAATCAAGGACAGTATGGGCCATCAGGTCAGGGACAGTATGGGGCACCGAATCAGGGACAG